TATCATTTTGAATGTCACTTAGTATGATAGTGTTTTTAGTATTTAAATTTATATATATGTATGTTTTACTTGAAAATTATATTTTCTACATATCCTATTTTGATTTTTCTATATCATTGAAGACAATATCATTTCTAAGTTAGGTGATGAAGTATTAATTTTTTTAATAGTTACTATACAATGACTAAATATGTATGTTTGCATTTGTTTTCATGTTCACCTAGAAAAAGAATTAGAAAAAAAAAATTGTGAAAAATGATAGCATCTTTTTTCATGTTTATTGTCAAAAACAACAAAAAATAATCTCAAATTCAAAAAATTGATAACCTTTTTCTCCAATTATAATACTTCAAACAAATATATTTTGAAATTCTAAAATTATGTCCACAAGAAGGATTATTTTGACTGATTTCCACAATTTTTTGACAAATTCTTACTTGCCAAAAACATAGAATTGTTATAGTCATATATACCAAGTTTTGTACATCATGTTGTATGCAAGAGAAATTAAATCAATTAGAATGATACATATCAAAGTATATGAGGATGATTAATATTGAGTTAGAAGAATGATTTAGTAGCATGTTAGAATGCTCCTTAGATACATGAGAGATAATCTTTATTTTAATTTATATGTTTTCACTTCATGATCCCATTAGATAATATTTGCTTGATGTGAAAATTTGATTCATCAGTTGAGTGTAATAGAGATTTTTTTGTCTTGATCTATATGACTTGTGAAGAGAAATCATTTATTATGAATTTATGAAATAAATAACTATGTAAAAATCTAGTAACAAGAAGTACACATAGAAGATGTGAGACATCATTCTCATTGTTGAAAATTATTTATGGAAAGAAATGTTTGATGAAAAATAAGGGGATGGAGAGACAATCTTAAAATGAAGAATACCCATGGGATACACATTTAAGATGTGAGACATTGTTCTCATTGTCGAAATTTATTTACATGAAAAGCTTTATTATAAAAAAAATTAGAAAAATATATTACAAACTTCAAAATCAAGCTATATAACAAGGTAATACAAGGTCAATATTATTTTTGAATGATATTTATCATTTGACTGAATAAGTGATAATTATGTGAATAGAAGTAAATTCTAAATTATTATTTTGATGAATACTTAAACATTTAAACACAACTTCTTTTTTTTACTTGATATGAGAATCCAAGATATCTAGAAGTTCATCATTCTTAAATTGTATTTTCTTACATCATAATATGATGTTTGAATTTTTTTAGCATTAATTAATTTTTGTATTTCCATTACTAAGGGACTATCAACGATTTAAGTTGGGGATTTAATTAGTATCTATTATTATAAGTTAATAATAATTTAAAGTATTAATTTTCTAAACTAACTCATGATAAATAAACACTTATTTGCACTTTAAAGTTTTTATGTGACTAATGTGAACTTTTGGTTAATTATGTGATTTTATATGCTTTCTAAATATATATTATTGAGTTAAAATGAAGATAAATAAAATAAATACAAAAAGGGGGGAGAGATGCATTGACCAGCTAGCACTCAACAGTTGACTTAGAGGGTGACACACATGAGTGGGTAAGACTTACTTGAGGAAGCCACAAGCTAGGCCTTAGTGACTTAGGACCCACAAACACGTCCATCACACCTCTTCCATGTCACTAGGGGGGAATTGTGCATAGAGCAAAGTATGAGCATGTCATACATGGGGTTGGACCACTTGGCTCCATCTTCTAGTGATAATTCTTTAAATTATATGATTAGGATATTAATTTTTATATGTGTTTTATGCTTTATTATTTTTAAGAAGACACATTGATATAGTTTTAAAAAAAACAAAGTTTTATGCATTTATATTAATTCACTGATATTGTTTTAAAAAATAGGTTAAATATGATAGGGGTAATGGTGGTTAAGGACCCATGGACATGTGTGCATCACACTTCTTCCACATCACTAAGAGGGGACCGTGCATGGGGCAAGGTATGAACACATAACATGTGTGTACATAGGGATGGACCACTTTCTTCCATCTTCTCCCCTAGTGATCCTAGTGATAATTCCCTGAATTATATGATTAAGACATCAACTTTTATCTATGTTTTATGATTTATTTTTCTTGAAAATATACATTGATATAATTTTCATAAAAACAAAGTTTTATTTATTTAAATTTATTTATTTATATCTTTGAAAATAATAGGTTAAATATAAGCATGACTTATGATCGTTAAAAACATTAATATTTAAAATTAAAAAAATATCTGATAATTTTTTATAAATTTTTAGGATTTACATTCTGAATTGAAAAAAAAAATCAGAATTTTTATGATGTTTTCTGAATTTTTGTGAGTTTATTATAATTAAAATAATAAAATAATAAAAGTGTGTAACCAGTTGACCGTTGACCTGATTGTCAAGTGGGTGACCATGTTCAAATCTTGTCTTCCACAAATTAACTTGAAATGGAAAAAAAAAATAGAATAATTAGAAGTAAACAATTGATGATCCAAAAATCATGATTCTCCACATATACTTGGCAAAAATTGGAGTGCAAAATGATAGTTAAAGATTGAAGACAAAAATAAGAAAAATAATTAAATCAAAACTAAATGAGAGATTTTCAGATCTGAGAAAGGAAAAAGGAGAGTCCTAACTCATCTAAGAGGGGAGAGGGATGATTGGCTAGAGGGTAAGAGGATAGAAGGCAAGGAAGAAGGTTGGAGAACGATGAATGAGGAAGATCCAATTGAACTAGCCAGCTGTGAATCAATAGAGTTCTTTGTATTTTTAATTTTTCTTATTATTTTATTGCATATCTTTTCTTTTCTTTTCTTTGGGTGATAGACATTGATTAGAAAGACTTTTTTTTCTAAATTCATTTAATTTAAGTATTCATTCTTCTCATTTTCTTAGGTGATAGATAAAGAAATGAGAAGATTTTCATTTTTGTTCTTAGTCTTCATCATTACGAATTTAATTAAAACTCTTATTGATATTACTTGCAATCTCTTGTCTCATCTTTGAGTGTCATATAAGGAAAGCGAAAGAATTTTATTTGAGGGTATAAGATTTAGTTTAGATTTTATATGATAACTAAAAACTTCTTTTATTATCTTATTTTACCCTTGATTGACAACCAAGGTATTGACATAGTCTATTTTTTTTAATTTATTTTTATATATTAGTTTTAATTATTTCAAAACATTCCATGTCAATAGAAGTCATTCTATTGACAGCCACCCTTCTTATCTTTTTATTTCATAATCTTTAATTTATTTTCCTCTAATTACGATTTAATCATCTCATCATTAAATATTTCTAATTATCTAGAGCTGATAAGGGAATTAAATTTACGAAATTAATTGAGGAAAGAGGATATTAAGAATTGAAAAGAAGATTATATCATTTCTCTCATCTCATTTTGTTTCTTTCTTTCTAGTTAGTGCTTGTGTCAGAAAAAGTAGAGAAAAATAATTATCACCATTCATAATGATCAACTTGAACCAATTTGTTTAGAAGCTTTAGTTATAAATTTTGTTAAATTTACATGAAATAAAACCAACAACTAAATCATGATCACCTAGTCATTTTATTCATGTGAGAAGGCATTGATTACTCGAGATGCCCTAGAGTTTTATTCATTTCAAACCTCCCAAAATAACTAATGTGAGACTAAAACTAAGCCAGAACACATTGGTAAAATAATATCAGAAAAACCCTTACATTAAAATAAGGTAATCTAGTCATGTGTTTACTATTTCAAGGATATAAGAGTAAAATGTTTTACCTCACTTAAACCAGCAAACAAATAATGGAGGTTTGAACATCGAGAGGCCAAGTAAACCCTCTACCCTAACAAGCTCCACGTTACTAGAAGAGCACATTAGGGATGCCACACAGTGCTTGAGGAGCAGCTTGGTTTCCAACTTGAGGAGCTCCATATACAAGGGTTGTTGCAATAGGGCTAATTGATAGAAGAGTAAAGGAAGGAACATATAATTGTAATTGATCAAAAAATCTTGTTCATTGTTGTATGGATGTCAAGAGTTGTAAAAGGCATACAAATTTAAGCCACATAATATTTAATTAAACATATCACCAAATATTCAGTGTTCATGTAATGAAATATTTTTTGGGGTTGTTATGTCCTAAGTGTCTGCTTGCTTCATTGTCCTTCAGTCCAGGACGGAGATCATCATCAAGTAAATAGTAGAAAAAGTATAACAGAAATTGATAAAGTTGAGAATTTCTTAAAGTTCATTAAGCCTTGATTTGGGGTTGTTTCACTTCACTTGTTTCGTTTGATTTCAAATTATCCATTGAGAATACACATAACTATTCTTTCTGCAGAATTTATAATGACGAGATAGACAACATTTTTGCCATAAATCTGAGTTTTTTTATTTTTACTTAGTAGTTTATATATTAAGTGTTATAATAAATGTCAAGCCAATGCCTAATTTTCTGTCATTTTCTTACTGAGTACCTTAAGAAAATTAACATTTTTATTCATCTAACCATTCAGCCATAAAAGATTAGACCCCTTTAAAATCATAACTGTTTCCAAACCCATTGTTTTTTTAAAATCATATTTTTAGGGTACAACTTTCAGAGATCAGGTTGAATTATTAATTTTCCGTTGGAAAATCTAAAATTTTATAAGAATTTTGTTTATTGTTTATTTCGAGGGCAGCTTCGGCGTGAAACGGAAGTCTTCGAACAGTAACTTTGAACAGAAATCAAGGCATGGCGTCCTGTGACGAGTGTTTCGGGCAGAAAATCCATCGTACCACACGGTGAAGGATTCTTATTGATTTGACCTGATAGAGAAAAGGCAGGCGTGGAGCCCGTCGTCCGAGGAAGGAAGGCCGCCCAATCCGATTGTTCAGAGGTAGAAGATCCAGCACCAGCAATGGCGGGTACATTGCCGAGGAGAGGCAAGACGATTGCACCGAGGTGCGTCTCCGTCTTCTTCCTCGCCTCGCGCTAAAAAAGGTTCCGCGAGTACACGCACATGCCGAGCTTCTGAGCAACGAAGGACGTCTGCGCGGCGAGCTGGACCTGAAAGTCGTTCATCGGCCAAGTGCAGGGCAGAAGGCTCCCAAGATCCGTGACATGAAGAAGGCCTGTATCCAGGTCCGTGAGAAGAACCACCCCCAGAGCCACGTGAGGCGGAACCTCGCCGGCGAACACGGTCGCGGGGGAGACGCCGCAGATCCGCGCCACCTCGGTCAGCTCCATCGTGAAACTGTGCCTGCAGCGGCCGTAAAACCCTAGTGCATGTAGGCTCCGGTGGATGTCCTCGCCGAAGAAGATGTTGCGGAGATCGCAGAGGAAGTTGACGAGGCTGGTAGAGATGACGCCGTTGACCTCCGCGGAGAGGTGGTAAACCAGCAATTTCCCCACGTAGGAGACGTGGATGGAGTAGATTGTCCGCCGGAGTGAGCCGTCGGGGAGGGAGCAGACATCCCAGAAGAAGGAGAGACCGACGATCTTCGTCCCCCCACATGGATCCTCCAACTGCTGCACCCACTCGTCTACGTCCTGAGCTCTGTTGGTCACGAAAGCCTCAATTGCTGCACCGGCGACTTCCAAATGCCTGAGATTTCCTGGCGGAAGCCCCGACGCCATTCCCACAGCCGCTACCAGTTTGCTCCTCGGAGAACTTTGCGATTCTTCAGAGAGAAATCAGGACAATGGCGGTCCTTCCGGCCTCTTCTCGGTGAGCTTTCTTGATTCTAGACAGAAAGACATACCGTAGTGAGAGCAGGAGGATGGACTGCTGCATTATCGAATAACAAGGCGATCTGATTAGAATAATATCGTTGTCCTCCGGCAGGGGCAGTTCATCCCTCCCTTTCCCCCTTTTTCTTCCCCTCTCCGTGAAAGAGATGACACACCGTGCGTAGTAGCACTCAAGGGGAAGACCTACGTCGTTTCCCGTTGACGCTTGTCCGGCCATCGAAATCTTTCACCTCCGAGGTTTCCGGAAGCGGCAAAACGGATCAGAAGAAAGCTGAAGAGCCCTAGGATTCTAGTCAGCGCATCTCATGAAATATCCTCCTGTAAATTTGATCCTCAATCCCACCTAGAGGCAGTCGCTCACTGCAACGTCACACTATATCCTTCTGTGAATTTGATCGTTAATCCAGCCTAATTTGCCAGATCCTTTCGCAGGGGATCGGTCAGTCATCTCAAGACGAGAAAATTTTTTGCGAGGGTTTATGAAACCTGTGATTCTTGAAAAGATTCGATGATAAGAACCGAGGCCGGATCACAGCTCAATCAAGATTCCGGTATAGATTAGCTTACCTCTGACGCTGTACAACCGTCCTCTCTGTTCTAGCGGGCAGACAATCTCAGTTACCGGCGCCCCTCAAGGAAAACCTCCCGTTGAAAGAATGCACGTATTCAAGTGAAGAACAGGAATCGATCTCGAACATCATCAGACCTGAACCAAAGATCAAGAAGCTAGAAATATTCGGATCGCACTCAGACGTACGTATACCTAGATCAGAGAAACGCCGATCAGTGACTGGAGAATTATCGAACATCCGAGCGGAGCGTCGTCCGATCCTCTGCATTGCTCACGTTCGGTCTTCACCTGAGTGAATGTCATTCGACCGATTCTTGAGATCCGGCGTCCGATCGGCGGGAGGGTGCAGCGTTCTCCATGGATGTATTCGAGTAGGAGCAAGGCGCGAGATCAGAGCAGCGGCCGACGGAGGAAGAAGAGAGTTAGTGGGAGTCGACTTCCCGCCAGAGCTGGTGGCCCGGAGGTCATTTTAAACCGATGTTTAAAAAGACCGAATCGGGTCAGATAAACAAATGCTGAACCGGGCGGCTCAATCGCTCAAGCAAATCATATTTTAAGGTACTTAGTAATCTTTACTTACCTCACAAGCTCTCGATATATATATTTATTTTTATTATTTCGACAATTCTTAAAAATAATATTTATATGAAGCTGGGAAATTTCAAACGACGGAGTCAAAGCTTGAAATCTCAAGCAGTCGAGAGAGAGAGAGAGACGGCAACGTTCCTTGTTCTTGTAGAGAGAGAGAGAGAGATGGAGCTGTCCCGGATTCCGTTCCCGGCGAAGATAAACGACGGCAACGACGAAAGGAAGCTGTCGATAGGTTGAAATCTCAAGCAGGCGATAGAGAGAGACGGAGACCTTCCTTGTTCTAGGGGAGAGACAGACAGAGACAGAGACAGAGACAGAGACAGAGACAGAGAGACAGAGAGAGAGAGAAGAGAGACAAAAGGTGGAGCTGTCACGGATTCCGTCTCCAGCGAAGATGGCAACGGCAGGGAAATATCAGACTATGCAGTCTAAGGTTGAAATCTCAAGCAGTGGAAATAGAGAAGCGGAGACATTTCTTGCTCTTGGGGAGAGGAGAGAGCGAGAAGGGATGGAGCTGTCGAGAGACAAGAACCGAGATCCATCGTCTTCTTCCTCTCCGGCGCCGAAGAAGAGGTTGCCAGGGTCGGAGAGGAAGAAGATGACCTGGTTGGCGAAGGCGGCCTCCGCCGCCCGTGTGAGAAGGTGAACCCCTCCAAGCCTCTGTTGCACTGTCTCCTTCGTCGTCGCCATGGCGGTGCTCCGCCATCCTCTCCTCTCCGGCGACGGCCGAACGGAGCGTCATGTGATTCGAGACGCTATAGAAGTTACTCTTTGAGCTTTTGAAGATTGCATGAAGTAAGTCGACGTCTCTCTCAGATCTGTACGCCTAAACTTACGAAAAAACTTGACCCGACTTCGCATAATAAATTGGATTACTCAGAGTCATTTGCCTTCCACATCCAATGGGTTGTTTCGCTCTTCAAGTTAGCGTATATCAGGCAAGTTTTATCAACCGTCCTCTCTCTCTCTCTCTCTCTCTCTCTCTCTCTCTCTCTCTCTCTCTCTCTCTCTCTCTCTCTCTCTCTCTCTCTCTCTCTCTCTCTCTCTCTCTCTCTCTCTCTCTCTCTCTCTCTCTCTCTCTCTCTCTCTCTCTCTCTCCCTCTCTCTCTCTCTCTCTCTCTCTCTCTCTCTCTCCTCTCTCTCTCTCTCTCTCCTCTCTCTCTCTCCCTCTCTCTCTCTCTCTCTCTCTCTCCCTCTCTCTCTCCTCTCTCTCTCCCTCTCTCTCTCTCTCTCTCTCTCTCTCTCTCTCTCTCTCTCTCTCCTCTCTCTCTCTCTCCCTCTCTCTCTCCCTCTCTCTCTCTCTCTCTCTCTCTCTCTCTCTCTCCCCCTCTCTCTCTCCCTCTCTCTCTCCCTCTCTCTCTCCCTCTCTCTCTCCCCCTCTCTCAGAGAGTCAGTTGTTCATGTAAATATCTTTTTGAAGACGTAGGACAGGGAGCTTCCCCTTGATTCTGTCTGACATCACGGGTAAAGGAGGGTGGCGGCGACTCATCCGAAGAAATGTCAACGCCGAAGACCTTCCTCAGAAACATCCTGCCCGTTCATGAACGATAGTCAACGACATATTTCAGCCTTGCGTACGCAAGGAACATGCGGCTGCCTTCCCCTCTCTCCTCTCCAAAGTATCTTCCATATATTCGCCATTTTAAAAACTCGCGGTGAAAATCAGAATCTGATGGGCAGCGATCAGACGAAATTATAATATTGAGAAGAATATAATTAGGTATAACTACCAAATAAATTATCCACCCAATTTCCCTAGCTTTATTTTGAGTTCGTTGGAATCGGTTTGACGGCTGACCTAGCCACACCAAGTCCTGAGCTTAATCAGTCCGTTGACTCTCATAAGATGAGATTTTCTAACCAACCAGCAAAACGATAAGCTGTAAATTAAGGGTTTATTGTTAACATAAAATGTTAGTCCGTTGAAGAGGGTTTATTTAATTGAACTTAGGTGAGCCAAGAGCATGCATAGATAATATGAGATATATAAAATAAAATAAGAAATGGGGGAGATATATCTAATTATAATTTCGTTTGGATAAGATGGGTTGACTAACATCATTTCCTACATAATTTCAATCTTACATAAGTCACACCTTTTATTCTTAAAATAACTTTAGACGTATTATAGTACTTAAAGTAAATGCATTTAAAATTTGAAAATTAAGGCATTAATTCATGAATAAATTAAATGGCCTCTCAAGTTCATTTAATATGATGAATCGTAAAAGATGACAACCAACTTCAAGCAAAAATTATAGACACTCCCATGAAGGATTTAATATTTTATAATTAATATTTATTTTAGACTTTATTTATACTTTTTTTCTGTAAAATCATTAAATATTATGTAGTTCAATAAAACAATTTCAAGGCCATGTTTAATTCAATAAATAAATCATACACAAACATTACTATCATAAAACGATGCTTTGTTTGAATTTAATTCAGTGAAAATCTTGTTGAATATTATGCCCATTACTACATGTTTAATTTAGTCCATAAATAGTAGTTAAATGAATATAATGATCTTTGGTTCATGTTGGTTGACTTGGCCTTTATTTCTTTCATTTTTTCATATATATTGAATTGCCCATAAATACTATATACATCAACATCCGGCGTCTAGATGTTCACATAGATTCTTTCTAACGAAATCTTTTTAAATGCCAACCCCAATTGAATTGACTTTGACAGCCCACATTTTTTTCAACGCCATGTTTAATTTAGTCAGTAAAATAGTAGATATCTCATAATCTAGGAACTGGGTTCATATAGATAAGTCTACAAGAACTTACTAAATTACCACACTGAATGATTTGACCTTGACTTCGCACCTGTCCAATTCAATCCGATAATACCATATAAACCAACGTCTAGAACTTATAGTGGTTTTGTCGGCATCATGAAAGCGTTGCTCGTTTGAAACCCTAGCGAGCTGTGAATTGCGGAGATTTGTGGACAGTGAGGGTGAGGGAGGGAACGGAGGAAAGAAGAAGACGAAGAAGACAACGGGGAGGTCGCTTCTCCGCGTGTCCGTCGTCCAACAACCCCGTCGGCGAGGTCGCCTTCCCTCTGTGACGTCACCACCACCACCACCACCACCACCATCACCACCAACTTCTTCGGTTCTTCTTCCCTCTGAGCAACGCAATAATAACTCCACTCCATCACTCATGGCCACCTTCTCCCCGTCGGCCCCCCGTTCCCTCCCCTCCCGGACCACCCCTGCCGACGGATTTAACTTTCCTCACGAACCCTGCCGGTAAAACCTCTCTCTCTCTCTCTCTCTCTCTCTCTCTCTCTCTACTGGTCTGGAGGGAAGCACATGCACAGTGGAGCAGTACCTGTTTGACCCATTTATAAAGGCAGCCCCACAGCCACCGGTCGCAGCCCCCCCACTACCACCTGAAGCGACCGGCCAGCGGCTCAGACCGCCGCCGTGGACGGAGGACACCGCCCAGTTTTGACTTTGTGTGGAGGCGGAAGGTGGGGTCCTCGGGGGCTGGTCCTCAAAGGGGTCGGCATCACTGCTGCGGTGGGAGAGATCGTCACGGCGAACCGGCCGAGCCCAGCGAATCCGCCGCTCGAGGTTTCGACCCGAGCCCTGCACCAGATCCGCTGTGAAACCCTCTTCCTCCATCCTGAACAGCTTGCTCGATCCCGTTCCATTGTGAAACGGGGGGCTTTGACTGCTCCCCGCCGCCGGAAGCTCCGCAACCAGAGAAAGGTTGCCAACCAGAAGAGAAAGAGGAAGAGAAGTAAACCATCTCTCTCTCTCTCTCTCTCTTTCTCTTTGTCCACTCTTACGCCTGTTTTTGCCCTTTTTCTCCGGGATTCCTGTCTTTGCCAGCCTTTACGCCCCCCCTTCCGGCTCGTCCTCCCTCTCTCGGGACGCCGCCGCCCCTGTTACCGCCTATCGCGGGAACCCTTCTCGAAATTCCCCTTTCCCCACGCCGGGAAATAGGGTTTCGTCGGAGCGCCGCCGATCCGATCAGAGATTCGGTGCGCAGAGGCGGCTCTTCGATCCGATCTGTCGTCTGTTATTCTCCGCTAGGTGGCAGGCTATGGTGGTGATATGGCCGGAGCGCGACGGTGCGTGGCGGATGGCAGGAGCTGAGAGATGAGCTTTCGCTTGGGGAACAACCATGGGGTGCGTTTTCGGTAGAGAGGCGTCCTCTGCGGCTTCTGCAACTCGTAGGAGGAAGGAGGCAAGCAGGCCATCGCTGTCTCAGTCTCAGGCGACGTTAACTACAGTCGAGACCGGCGTTGATGTCCCCAACGCGGGGCATGGCGGCGACAAGGAGAAGAAGACGAAGGACGGCGGCGGCGGAGTGGCCGCTGTTCTTCGCCGCGGCTCCCATGCGCAGCAGGGGCCTGAGAGGAAGCAGAAACCAGACCCAAAGCATGGGAACCTCTCAAAGCAGGCTTATGGGGAGCAAGTGGCGGCGGGGTGGCCAGCATGGCTTTCGCATGTCGCCGGCGAGGCCATCAGGGGGATGGTCCCCCGCCGGGCAGATTCCTTCGAGAAGATTGTCAAGGTAAGTCCCTTGGGTCTTCTTCTTCTTCTTCCTTTTCCGACTGGTCTCCCCTTCTCTTTTGGTAGAACTGGAGATTGACTCCGTGTTCTTGATCTGCTCTTGTTGTAGATAGGGCAAGGGACTTACAGCAACGTATACAAGGCCAGAGACAACTTGACGGGGAAGATTGTGGCCCTGAAGAAAGTGAGGTTCGACAGCTTAGAACCAGAGAGCGTCAAGTTCATGGCGAGGGAGATTCTCATTCTGAGGAGACTGAATCACCCCAACGTAGTGAAGTTGGAAGGTCTGGCGACGTCCAGGATGTCATGCAGCTTGTACCTTGTGTTTGAATACATGGAGCACGATCTTGCTGGTCTCGCTGCGGCTCCTGGGATCAAGTTCACCGAGCCCCAGGTGCGTTGACATATTTCCCTCCTAAAAAGGTGGAGATCCTCTCCTTGAGTCTTGTTTTGATTCTCAAGCGCTTCTCCTTGAAAACAGGTGAAGTGCTACATGCATCAGCTGCTGTCAGGGCTCGAGCACTGTCACAATAACGGCGTACTGCACCGTGACATAAAGGGGTCAAACCTCCTGCTTGATAATGGCGGGCTACTCAAGATTGCAGACTTTGGCTTAGCTACCAGCTTCAATCCAAACCGCAAGCGGCCCATGACGAGCAGGGTTGTGACGCTGTGGTATCGGGCCCCGGAGCTTCTCTTGGGGGCCACTGACTATGGTGTGGGGGTTGACCTTTGGAGCGCTGGCTGCATCCTGGCAGAGCTTCTGGCTGAAAAGCCCATTATGCCTGGCCGCACTGAGGTAAGCCCAGCACCTAATGCAGTGACGTTATCCTCTTAGACTTTTTTGTCCAGCTCACACTTACATATGCATGTTGGAAAGGTATTCTCATTAGTTTTTGCTCTGATCCAGTTTGACCATTTTCTGATTGACTATTTACCTGCATGTGAACCTCTTGCTTTTTTTGTTATAGCGTGTATGCTTGACCTCTCTGTGGGAGGAACTCTTAGGCAGAAGAAATAGTGAATGTGCTCCGGTCGGAGAGCTGTCTTTAACCGAGCCCTATCTTTGATTTGAGCCATGTGTATGGGTTGACCTTTTTTATGTTGTTAAATATCGCTGTTAGTTGCTTAATTGTATGAAGTATCCTGTTCTACTCTGATGATTGACCGTTTTGACTAATTTTTAGGAATATTGGGGTTCTGTCTCATTAGATTTATATAGATGAGATTCAAAAGATAATATCTCTTGGAGTCCTGGGGTGAATAGCGCAGATACCGAATTGGTACCTGTGGAAATAACTCCCAGACCTATAAACCTCAGGACTCAATCCACAGGCTTCTTATAAGGGTAACTTGGTCATAATATAAATAATCCAATATATGAGCATGTGACGTCATCCCAGTAAGTATGTAGAAAATCCTCGAAAAGGTCATCTTATCTGCATGCGACTTCATCCCACTAATATGTAGAAAATCTTATAAAAGGTCATCTAATCTTTGCTCAGTTCTGTTGGAGCAAACAACATCCGCACAGGATTGCCCCTGTTTATATGATGACTTGAAGCATCTTCAACCATATCAATATTAGCCTCCATCTTGTTATGGCCATTGGTTTTTTTCTTTGCTAAACCTTATTATTTGAGTTCTTTCACTCATTTCATGATTGTTTGTGTCAAGGACCTTTCAAATGGAAGAGAAGATCCTTACATATAGCAGAAACCATCTTGTTGATTCTTTTTCTGCTTCTTGTCATTGATTTCGCTTGAAGAGGTTTCTCATGGCAGGTGTTGTTTAAGAATTTCAACAAGTTCGTAGTAATCTCTGGCATTCTCCTTAAATATTAAATTTTTTATTTTATTGTTATGATCATGCTCTCAAGATTCGGGGAGAATAATTGCCATTAAATGAACAACTTCCCAAATTTCGCTGAACTTTTTTTTTGGATTTTGATTCTTCTGGGTCTAAACTACGAGATTGAATCGTGCGTGCACAATTATCTTCAGATAGTGCACTTGCTGCATTACCTCTGGTTTTCTATGTTTTTCTTAGTGCTTGTCGTTTTTGTTATGTAAATGTTCTCTGCTGCTGAAATCCAAAGAAGAATATGAAATGCTATCCTCCACAATATGTTTTTTTATTTAATGTAATTGGATCCCTGCTATATCATAAATTATCTGGAAATAAATTACGACGTATTTTTCTTCTTTTTTTTTTTATCAGGTTGAGCAACTTCACAGGATTTTCAAGTTATGTGGCTCACCACCGGAGGAATACTGGAGGAAATCAAAATTGCCACATGCGACAATTTTTAAACCTCAGCAACCATATAAAAGATGTATTGCAGAGACTTTCAAGCATTTTCCGAAATCATCTTTGCCATTAATCGAAACTCTTCTCGCAATTGATCCAGCAGAACGTCAAACTGCTACTGCTGCATTGAAAAGTGAAGTGAGTCTTCTTGAAACGATTACATTTATTCTCTGTGAATTGACTGATGGGATTGCATTTTCTACTTGTCCTTAAGTTGGATAGTTTTCCATTCAGTAAAGATCATTGGCGAGATAATCACATTTAGTGCTGATTCATAACTGCCCCTGTATTTTGGACTTACTATAATAACTGTGCTAACATATTTCTTCAAAAGAAATTTGTGAAGGAATGTGATTCGTGTACAGTAGTATTTTTAAAATGGATATTCACCAATCTTAAGCTAGTCTGTGTGTCATTTGTTTCTAAGGTGAAATTTCCAACTGGGTCGACGAAAATTGTATTCTGTATTGAAAGGACAACTTTGTCTTGAGTTCTTTCAGTTTCATCTGATGAAATTACAATTATTGAGGTGCTGGGTCTGAATCTCATGTCTTTCCAAATAAAAAGGATCTCCGTTAAGTCTCAACTATTTCAAAAGCCTTTGTGCTCTTTCTTAAATTTTGCTAGACAAACTAAGAAACGCAATTATACAAAGTTCTTTCAGCTAAGCAGATCCTATAATTTTGGAATCTGTTGATTGCGAATTATATTGATATGTAGAAACTCATTAAATAAGAGACGTGATTGTGGATATCAAGTTGCCTGCATTATTAAAAATTATGGTCGTTTTTGTTGGAGAATTGTGTTTATCATTTACATCTATAGCTTATATTATCATTTTTTCTGCCGTAAAATTAATTTATTCATGGATCGATAATCATTAGGCTATCTCAAGTGTCAACACACTATAGATAGAATATTTTGTGGCGAAACTATAATATGAACTACATAGTAGAGGCCAATGACGTGCTTGGCATCTAGTGTGAAGGGGTATAGACAATATGTGGAAGACCTAAGCTAGGTAATTTTATGAAAGATTAGTCTTGTTTTATTCACCAGTCATAGAACCTGATCAGGATACTAAGCTGTGAGGCGTGGTGTGAGGTATTTAATGCATAGTCGTTTGAATCATGCAACCCTTGCGAGTTGTAGTGTTCTTGTTGGGCCCTAAATTGGATACTAAGCTGTTGAATTTAACTTTTGAACTCAGAATGGTGTCTCAATTGATGCTTTTAGCTGCATCCAACATGGATATCAGTCCAGCTCAGGTGATTGCACCACTGTGGACTGTGACAGGCTAAAATGTAGTGCATGAATGTGGAGAAGAAATCCAGTAAACAGGTTTCCTTCATCAGGTTAAATGAACGGAGCAGGAGAGGAAAGGGCAAGCAATTTTGTTCCATGCAGAGTTGTGGTAGCGTAGTACATAACTAAGATCACTGGATAATGTATGCCTTCTCGAGATTGTTATGGTTAGGGATAATGTATGTAGCATGGGAGGATTTCTTGGGCAATTCTTCAAGGCTTTGTAGAGGTTTATCTTCTAAATGCTGCATGTAGAAGAACATGATAGTAACTCCCCTGCATTAAATTAACCAGTGAAATTCCAACTTAACTAATAATGCCAGAAGTATATAATTATGTGGAGCTTGCCGACCCCAGATTGGAAAGTTCTCCAAGTATCTGCCCATATTGGTACATTTTAATTAATCTCACCCGCGTGAAAGTACTTGACGGGATTCATCAGATTGATATTAACTTCTTCCATTCCTTAAAATATGGAATTGAAGGTAAAAAAACTTGCAGACATTGGGTTTGATCCTAATCATGCTTTTCTTAATAATGCTGAATCTTCTTACTAAATATGGGCTGTGGATATCACTGTGGGGAAGCTGGTCTTCTGACTCATTGCTTGTGGATTACTTGTGAGTGCAGTTTTTCACCACTGAACCGTATGCATGCGATCCGTCAAGCCTTCCCCAGTACCCTCCAAGCAAGGAAATGGATGTGAAGCTGAGAGACGAAGAGGCCAGGAGGTTTGTTCGCCTAGTGTTCCCCTTTGTTTTGCTTGGTCGATCTCTTTGGTTCTTTGCAGGTTTTCCTTGATTACTTTCACCTTTATTGCCCGGATCCATTTCCTTGATGGGTCACCTTTCTTGCGATAAGTTTTCAACATCTTGTTTGCGGTGGAATGGGTTTCGGCAGGATTTGCGTCAAGTCTGTGAAATGGGAAGACTTTTCGGAAATGTTGGTCATAAATACTAAGATTGTGAGCTAATTTACTAGAATGCTGTTCTGTGTGCTACTGCTTTGGATAAGTTGTAAATTAAATAGACGAAAGTAGCCTGCAACTGCTTTGGATCTTGACAAGAAGAAATAGAGAGAAAGATGAAGAACAATATCTTTCGAAGTGGTAAAGAGGAGCAATATCTTTCAGTATCTTTCCTTGTTTTATCTTCTCTTATCGGTTTTCCTTTTTGGGTGAAAATAAAAAACCCGCCTTTTTTCTCCCATCATCGAGGAAGAACAGAGAAAGATTTCCTCAGATTTTTCCTTTTTTGTTTTTTTGATTTTCTATTTTCTAGCATAGAAGACCAGCCAGACCAGCTCATTCGAGTGTCTTTCAATCCGCATCCGGCGATTTATATCCGTGGTCTTTGCTAAATATGTGATAGATATATCCCTTCATAGACATTATTATTCTTCTTGTATTTAACATTAGTTCATATTCCTGTAGACTCAGGGCGAACAGCCGTGCAAGGGCCAATGCCGATGCTCCGAAGAAGGTGCGTACACGTGATCGACCCCCCAAGGGGGCCATTCCTGCCCCCGATGCCAACGCAGAGCTACAAGTCAACGTTGACGTACGCCATTCTAGATCATTCTCCTCTTCTCCTCTTATCCCATTTATTTATTTATTTATTTATTTATTTATTTATTCTGTGCTCTGGAAAGAGTTAGAATCATTTTATTTTAGAGGGCATAAAATATCAATTTAAGAGATTTAAAAATGGGGCGCATGATTCTAAGAGACTGGAAATAGGATGGACGGATGGATGCCTTCTTGGGGATTTCTCTTGGACTTGCTCTTTCGTCCGTTGACTCTTCTTCTGATGATGATGGTTGGCAGCGGCGGCGCATGATCACGCATGCAAACGCGAAGAGCAAGAGCGAGAAGTTCCCGCCGCCGCACCAGGACGGCGCACTCGGCTTCCCCCTGGAATCCTCCAGCTTCATGGACACCTACGACCCCCCTGAGGCCTCCTTCACAACGGTAATCGGCACCCAGAAGGGCGGCGGTGGTGGCGGCGGCGGCGGTGGTATCTCCACCTGGTCCGGCCCATTGGGTGATCCCACCGCCATCCGCCCGAGGAAGAAATCTAAAGCCAGCCTCAGAAACCTGAAGAAATGACCATCACCACTGCCGCCACCGCCACTGCCATGCATGGAGTCGCTTGTCTATCCTGCAGAGAGGTAAAGATCACTTTTTTATTTATTCTTTGGGTCTCTCTCTCTCTCTCTCTCCCTCTCTCTCTCTCTCTGGGCAGAAGATTTCTCTATAGGGGGTTCACTGTGTACATTTTGATTTTTTTTTTCTTATCAGTGGTGAATGACTGAATCTGGATGGGGTAGTTACACCGAATAAACGTTGTGGAATTCAATTGTTCATTCAACGTGGCGGTTCCTGGTCTTCCCTCACCGATTCCTCTTCTTCCCGGATAATTGGAGCTCCTCTGACCATAACCATGTTGATGGGCCGGGCCGGGCCGGAGGTGAAGGAAAGCCCGAAAAATGGGATTCTTTGAACCCGGATAAAGAGGCCCATGAATAAACACCTATCATATCGTTTGCTCTCATTGACTTTTTTAAATATCATTAAAAGATGGATCTGTCGGTTGAATAAAAAGTATACTAAAAAAATTAAAAGAAGGATAAAAATATAGGGCAATTACTTATTGGTGTAACTCTTTTTTTTTGGTGCAGTGTGTTTTTTCTAATAATAGAAACAGCGGCGGTGGTGGAAATTTAATCATTTTTTTCTAAATCATCATTTCTAGAAATAATATAACCTGATTTGGGTATCTTACCCCATTTTCTGATATTCCTAATGCTACCATGAAAATGATTTTATTTGTTCATGCAAATATTATACGATAAACCAAGGTTAATACTATGTTACTAGCCAATATGTGACTAATTTATATGCATGCCGATCCCTGAAGAACACGTGGCGTCGCTCCTGTTCTCAACGGGCGGAAGCGCGGGCTGGTCGCCCTGCGGAACTCGTCAAACCCATCTCCTTCCCTCGTTACACCCACGCCACGGCACCAACCTCCGGCCAGCCCAGCACTCTCACGACGGTTAGAGAGAGAGAGAGAGAGAGAGACAGACAGACAGACAGAGACAGAGAGACAAGAACGGCATCGAGGAGAAGGATATTATCGTCGCTCTCACCTGTCTTCCAGAGGCGACGGCAGCAATGGGTTGTGGCGGATCGAAGCAGGAGGTGGCGACAGGGGCGACGCTAAGTGTCCGCCGCCGTCTGAGGAAGAAGCCCGACTCCGCCGCCGTCACCGGCGGCGCCGCCCATCCTTCTCCTCCTCTTTCTCCGGCCGCCGACGTCAAGGACATCACCGTCAACACGGACGGAGAGGCGGCGGTTGACCTCGTGGGGAGCTCCCCCGACAGGTACTTCTCGTGGAGAAAGGACGACGAGTCGGTGGACGCCATCACCGGAGCGCAGTACTTCTCTCCCCGCTGCGAGCCCCACGGCGAGGAGACCGGAGATAAGGAGGCCCCGCTGCCGGCCATGGAAGGAGCTGCAGGTGATGCCGCCGACGGGCCCAAATCTCCGGCGGGCGTGCCCATCAGCTCTGCCTCCGCCGCCAATGGTTCCTCTCCAGTGGGAGAAAGTGGTACGTACCCGATTTAAGGAGACAAGTATAGACCACTATCTACGGCGTGTGATTAATCATTAAAACTATGAGCTAGAACATTCTTGAAGAAAACTGGCGTGAGGATTTGAAACCCTAAAACGATTGTTTCTAGAAGCATAGAGAAAATTATGGATACATAGATTGTTTCATGTATAGAATAGAACACAAGCAATTTAGTTGATTTATCCTGAGTTAAAAGATACAATTCCCTAGAAAAATGATGACATTGTGAACTAGAATCCTTTAGTGTTCTATTTATTGAAGTAGAGAGGGAATCATTGATAATTATATTAATTTATAGAGATAATAGAATACAAAATATAACTAATACAATTGATTTTGAGTAAGAAGAGATAAAAAATTGATATAAAGTAAAATGTTGAAAAATATAATCAAAGACTAAGATAAACTCTATTGTCATTTTGTCTCTACAGGGGAGTTAAATAGTAATGCAAAGGTGAAAGAACCCCTTTTGATTGAAGAAACAAAGGTGGAGCAAGTCATCATTGTGAAGAAGAGAAACATCAACACTAGTGAGATTGTGGCTGACGTTTCAGACCACTAACAGCTATTGAGTGAATGCCAATTGAAGGAGAAAATGAGAGAGAGAGAGAAAGAGAGAGAGAGAGTCAACGAGAAAGTCTGGTCTCATGACTGCTGTTCCATCTGATGATAATTGTTGCAAGAAAAAGAAGAATCTTCATCATCCCTTATTGGTAAAATGTAAAGAATTTGCTCCATTCATTTGTCTTTGTAAGAATCATTTTATGATTTTATTCACATATAAGGTATAATTAATGGTTTAAATGGACTGATTGTTAAGGAAAGCTTTGAGAATAGGCTCAATAGCTGAACTCCAGTGACCACTAGCCCATCCTTGATAAAGCCCCACCCAGCCCTAGTTATACATGTATCCTAAGATAAATAGGTCAATATCATGGTTGGTACGACAATTTCTCTATTTTACATAATTTTCAACGTATGTCCAATTATTGGTTCCAAATTGGTCATGCATACACTATAATACCCAATTAATGACCATTATAGACTTTGACTTCGTCATGTTAGTAGCCATGGTATGACACCAACGAACGTATGTGACAATTAATGACCTTATAGATTATTAACATGTATTAACAAGCAATATGCATTTCAATAATCAAGGTTAATGTTGTGGTTTATAAAATGATATTCTCCATGAAAAACATAATTACAAAATATTGTTTCCTAACTAGCTATACAACAATGAAATGTGCAGTTGACGACTAATCTCCAAGCATTATCAAAAAACTCAAGCCGTATAGTCTCATTAGCTTAATTAAGTTTAGCTAGATCCATGATCATATGTGATGATTTTTAAAGGCTCTCAATAGAATGAAGGGAAGAGGTCAACTTTAGTTAATCCGATTCATATCATTTGCCTAACCAATCCATTATTTATCACATATCATACTACAGATAGTTATTGCTCTTTTATTCAATTGTAAACGCCAATTGAAACTTAAATGCCTTCACTCATAATGGGTGTAGATAATGATGCCACTTATGATATTGTTCCTTCGACTCATCTCTTTCATAAACTTCGTCTTTAACCATAATATTATCATTTTATTATTAAGAAGAGGATGCTTGGCTTGAGAGGGCACATAATGGTCTATACTTTTAAGAAGAGGATCATTTCATCTTCAACTTTCAGATATATTTACCAAACGAATGGGAAAAGCTTAGTCGTCTCTCTCTCTCTATCTCTCTCTCTCTCTCTCTCTCCCTCCCTCCCTCCCTCCTCCCTCCCCAATCAAGAAGTCTTTCCTCCACCACCATGGAATCTACAGAAAAATCGACATCCTCTTTGTACACTGAGCTTCCTGCTACCTCTTTCGGAGCACTCCAGTCGCTACCGCCTTGCCGGAATATTCCTTGCTTGGCGGTGGCGCCGTCGCCGGGCAATCCAAGGCAAATCCAGATCAATGTGCTCCATCCTGGTCACCGACAGAGCTGACGAAGCAGCGGAGTGGGCACGGTTGCTTCTCCTCGATCTGCCAGCAGAGTGCTCCCGCGAGTTCTTCAGCTTCCTCTGCAGTGCCGACGATCCCTTCGTCAGCGAGAGAATCTATCAACTGGGCAAGCGTTGACCAAGGAGATGAGCTGGGTGTCAGAGCTTTGCGCCGTTCCCCAGTTGGTCCGAGGACCTCCGATCCTGCGAGGAAGAAGATGATGACCTCTCTCCCTCCTCCTCCCATCTCGTTTCCTTCCTCAGCGATCTTTTTGTTTCGTTTTCTTGGAACCGCGGCCTTCAGATTCCATAGATGAAACCAGACATGATTGACAAAGCTCTTGATTGGTTGTGATGAAACTCAGTTTTCAAACGACGGAGCGGAGCGACAGGTGAAATCGCCGCAAAAATAGGACGGGGAAATCGCGGTCCTCTTGTTCCTCCGCCGCCCGGTGGCGGACGCTTTTCCGAGGCCTGCAACCTCCCCGGAGCAGAGGAAGATTTCTCTGCCTTCGTCGGAGGTGGGTTTCTCCATTCCGCAGCTTCGTCTCTGCTATGGTCCTTAGAGATATATAACCATATCTTGAGGGGCGGCTTCTCCGTTGCACCCTGCGGGCCTGTAAATCCTAACGTCGCCTTTCACTCCAAGAAACCAAACCAGAAAAAGCGCGCCACCCAATCTTCCTTGGTTTCCCTCTGCGGAAATGGCGTCGGGGTCGGCGCCGCCGCAGCCGCCGCCGGGTAATCTCAGGTCGTTCATCGTCGGTTGCCGGCGGCACTTCGCGGTGGTGACCAACCGGGCAGACGAGGCAGCGGAGTGGGTGGCGGCCGTCCGCCACCTGCCCCTGGTGAAAGTCAGGTTGGTGGGCTTGTCTTTCATGTGGGGCAAGCACTCCCAGTCCGGCGGCAGCGGCGTCCTCTGGCGAGTGGAGTCCATCCACTTCTCCTTCCTTGCCAGGGTCCTGGTCTACTTCCTGGGTCAAGAACCCTTCTCCCCCGCGGTCATGGAGTTCCTCCGTGACCCAGAGAATCTCTTCGTCGGCGGAGGCCTCGTCGCAGCCTTCGACGAACTCGGCGTGGGCCGCCGGCGGGAGGCGGCGCCGCCGCGAGTGGACCTCCTCGACGTGGGCCGCATCTGCGGCGTCGCCAGCATGGCCGCCACCGCCTACGGCATGGGGCATCTGTACCCGGCGCTGGCCGAGGCCATCCTCAGAGACGTCGACCTGGGGCTCCTCCGGTCGCCGGAGCTGGGGCGACAGCCTTGGCAGTGGCCGCTGAGCGACACCCAGATTGAGCTCGCCGTCCAGACCGCCGTCATCTCCCAGAGCCTCAGCCATCGCGCCTTTGGCCGACTAAAGATCCTTCTGTAGAACGACCCCCCCAATTCCTCTTCTTCTTCTTCTTCTTCTTCTTCTTCTTCTTCTTCTTCTTCTTCTTCTTCTTCTTCTTCTTCCTCGCTCTTTCGTTCCCCTGCTCTTCGCCGCCTCTACGGCGACTTCCCCGATCAAAATAATCAGGACATCTTATGGTCAACCCAAGATCTGGGATCTTGTTCTTGCCGCAGGCACCTTCACAGAAACCCAAGATTTCTGTTCTTAATAGACCATCGCTTCCGACTCCATTAAAACCCCAAAATCCGTCCTGATGGGCACACTGAGATCCCATTCCGAGATCAAAGATAATCATTGATCCCATTTTCTGCATCTCTTCTCGAACAGAGTCTATACAGATAATTATATATGGTTATTAACATTTACAGAAAACATCCTGTACACAATTACAAGCATATATTGGATGAAGACGGGAGTAATTACATATAGTTATTCACATTTATGGAAAACCAGCCGCAAACCTTGAAGAAATGCAGGGATTTCTACGAGGGGTCGCCGACGACCTTAGTGATCTGAACCCGCAGCACCTCGTGGATGACCCCTCGGTTGAGAACACTGCGGACTTCTTCCTCCGAAGTGGCGAGCTCCCAGAGGGAGACCCTGCGAGAGCGGGACTCGTCAGGGTGACGGAAGACATAGAACCACCTCCCCAGTGTGAACCAGTTCACACAGACCCGTCGCTCTGCTATGCAGGAGCTTCGGAGGGCTTCCGTCACATCAATGCCCTGCCGAGATTGTCAACAAGACGGAAAATTTTAAGATCAAGATGGAAAACTTCCGCCTCAATTTTGCTGGAAGATGAAACAGGTTCGTGTGATGGAAGATGAACAGAATGAGCCAGATCCATCTGAGATGAATCAAGTTTCTCGGCAGAATCTATTCAAAAAGTGAAGATGATGATGCATTCTTCTTGCGGGTCAAAAGGAAAATCTTACAAAAGAGGAAAGAAATATCAACAGTATGTTATTAAACAGGAATCGAGCAGGATAAGGGAATTTTGAAAAAAAAATGGTTGCTTACAGGGACTCGTAGAGAAAAGATCAGATAGTGCAGGCCGATCAGATTAAGCAGCACACTGTGCTTCACCGTCAGTAGGAAGAACTTGATATCCAGAAATCCGGCGCCCATTGATTGCAAATCTGCAACTGCTTTCAAGAAATCGCTACCCTCGAGTGATTCGTTCTGAGAACAGTTTTTCACAAAAGTCACGACATTGGAGACCCTCGAGGCCATCTCTTGGTGGCGCCTGATGTAGAATTCTTTCCATTCCTGCAGCATTCATGTTGATCTTTCATCAATCCGAAGAATTATCAGAAGATGGAATTGGACGAATTTTATGCACAGTTTTCAATCAAGAATAAACGCCATGATTCATGATACACTGGTATCATATGCCGGGCATGAGCAGCAGATTCAGTGGTGGTTCAATCCGATTCATCATGGGTCACCCATCATGATCCATGAGAACCGCAACAGAGCGAATCATTCCAAGGTTTCATCACTGTAATCTTCCATGGATGCTCATGTGTCCTCTTCTCTCTCATGATCTCTCAGCCCGCATGCTTGATTCTAAGTGAATTCCAGAGGGACTAACTCCTCTACCTAAATCATCCCAGAAATGCATTGGAATTCGGTTCACTTCGCTCTTTGGGCAGCAGCAGAAACAGACGATGATGAAATTCATCACCATCATCAGTCCAAAGAATTATCACAGCAGCCGAGAACTAAAGAAGTGCGACGAGTAATTGAGAATGGAGAAGCTTATGGTAAAAGAAGAAATTGGGGAAAACAGAATCCCACAGAGTGAAGACCTGAACAGAAACGCCTGCAGCAGAAACAGACGATGACCGCGATGATGAGGATGAGGAGGATGATGATCCTTCGGCAACGAGAGACGGCAAGCACGGCGGGACAAGTAAAGGCCACCTGCATGCGGAGAGGGAGGCCCAGAGGTAGTCGGAAGCGCAGAGATGATACCAGAAATGGGAGCAGCTACCCAGAGACAAGAGGTCGCGCGGGCCAAGGTAGGAGGCGATGGCGATGACGAGGTCTTCGGGGATGGAATCCAAGCCAATCCCCCTCCGGTGGCTACTTCCCGGCTCGGTGGGGCGCAGAGGAGCTTCCATCGGCGGCGGCGAAGAGGAAGAAAATGATGATGACAATGAGGATGTAGCAGAAACCCAGGAGGGGATCGATTGGGCAGGAGAATAGGGCGGAGGAGGGACCTCAGGAAAAGGGTTGACCCCCGTCTTCAACCTCCGTGTCCATTTGTGAAGGGACAGCCGCTATGTCGGTTGTTGCGTCTGGCGATCCCCTAACGGGCACGTGGAGGAAGAGTACAGGATGATGCTTACTCCTCTTTAAAAGATTGGCTTCAGAATTCTCTCCTCCTCAAAGCACTGACTTCTTACTCTTCTTGTAGAGAGAGAATCCTCCCAACCACCGTTTGAAAGCCCATAGTATCATGACCTTCGTTGACCTTAGGTCTATACCCACCTGCTAAACATAAATAATTAGTCATTATTTTTTTTGTATTTCCTAGATATTCTAGATGTTTTTGGAAGTCTTAGAATCACGCAGCATATGAGTTATATAAGAATCTTATAGTAAGTAGCAAAGATTGGAGATTGCTACAATATAAATTATAAACAAGGAATGGTATTATGTGTGAGGAGGTGGTTGAATAATCACATAATTTCCTCCTGAATAATTGTATTTCTTAAATAAGTTTTTTTGCAATATTTACGCCACCCATTATAATTTTGTGTCAATGATGTGTTGCTAGTCCAGCTATGCATCCAAAGTTGAGTCAACATATGTGAATATATTTAGCAAGCTACGAGTATTTATTAATTAAGAGTTTTTTTCATTTTACTATTAATGTGTAAACACGATAACTAACATTCTGACCCCATGATTGTCGGATTTTATTCATTCTGTATTTTTATGTCGTAAGATTAACCAAGTAGTATAAATTATTTATGTGGTAAAACATCTTCCATGCCCACAACTTATTATCATGGCCGTAAAACCTAGATCATTATGATATGAATTAATGTGGTCATTTTCTTTCCTAGATATTTGGTACATAGTTTTAAGCTGAGAAATATTGTAGCTAAATATCATGTAAATGATGAACTTTATTTGTAAAATAGTTAACTTTCTCAATTTTTTGCATTCATCATTTTAGTGATTATACTATCAAGAAACATTAAAAACATTATACCCAATGTACTTCCTCAACAAAATCTTGGAGTTTTTCATTTTTTAATTATCTAATTGATTCATTAATCTTGAACTTTACTTTTTTTAAAAGGTAAACTAATACATAAAAACATCCTATTTAATTTTAAATATGTAAATTGCATTTTATCCATTTTTCTCCTCCAAACCCCACCCACTAGATGACTTGAGAGGTTGTGGCTTTTCAATCTTCTTGATGCTTTTAAAACTTTTTTTTGGTTATCATCTTAGCTATTTAAATAATTTATAAATAATTTCACATTCTCTATATTGACTTTATAAAGGGTCATAACTCATAATATTTAATGCCTCAAATTTTCTCTCACTTTTATTTGAGATGTTCCCATTGTACAGAAGAAACCCTGTGGAGATGTCAGCCCTTGAGGAATCCTTGAGGGAAAGGGGACTCAGACCTAGAGAAATCCAAGAGCATGCCAAGTCGTTGACCTAGAGAAATCCTCAAGGGAAAGGGAATAGGACAAGAATAAAGAGATGATCATCCACAAGGATGAGACAATAATTGATAGAATCATGTTGATGGTCTCAGTCCATCACGATTGACCTGCTCGAGAGACATGTGAGAAAACCTCTCTCATCTCAACCATTCAAAAGACATGAGAGAGAGCTCTCCTATTTGATTCACTTGGGAGACATGCAAGGAGTAAGGGGGTGGAGACACAATAGTCACGTCAACCCTTATGGCCCATTCAAGAGTTGTGTAGAGAGAGAACAAAGGTGGTTGCAGCTGTCACATCCTGCTATGCATAGATCAAGATAGTTCCTTTTAAGAAATAGTTATCTTTTCCTATTTTCTATAAATAGGTCATGTATTTCCTCTTTTTTAAAGATGATGTACGATGATTTCTTTTTTTATTATACCGTCCCTCTTCATCAACTCTATTCCTTTTCTTGATAGCTTCTCTTTCTTCTATTGTAGGTGAAGTTATTATAGAAGGAGAGAAGAGTTTATTATTGACTCTCCAATGTGTGAGTCATCTCGAGGACATTGAGACGTGGATTAGCAATGTTTCGTGGAAGTCTTGTTCTCATCAGAATTAATGATAGTTTAGTAATTTCTTTTCTATTTACTTTCATTGATATCTAGAAATTGAGTTTTCATTGTTATTGTGATCATGTGCTTACATATTTTCTCCTACAAATCACCATGACGGAAACAAGATCACAAGATGACCGAGGAGAAGAGATTGACATGTCGAACTGCTTGACCACCCTAATGGCAATGGCGGCACTCTTAGTGACACTGTCAAGCAATGGCAGTGATGGGGGATATCAATGAGCTCACCGGTAGAGGGAACACACAGACATGATCTTCCAACTAATGATAGGGGAAAAAACTTGGCACAGTGAGTAAACAAGTTGATAGACGATTTGATTAAGTATCTTCTAACTAGTTATCTAAGTTCTTCATTGCCATTTTTGCATACTTCATTTAGCTTTCATGGCAGATTGTTAGTTATCTATGGGATATCAAGACTCCTTAAATGTTATTATCGATAATGATAATATCATAATTAAATGAAATGATAAAAAAATAATACTTCAAAAAAGATTAATAATAATTATGGGACCAAAGTTTGTATTGAATGACAAAAGATAGCTCTTGATATAAATATTTCTATTTTTGGAAAACTTTAATGCTACTTTCTACTTCCATCTTTACAAAACTTATAATTATATAGATTTTCTAATGCACCGAGACACACCAAAGCTTCCTACTACTAGAGAATATGCTTTCAAATACATTGACTTGCATGGAGAAATCTCATTTCTTTGTTGAACATGAAATAAAATAATATATATATCATTTACTAGACAAAGTGGAGGATGCGGCTGTGGTTTTCATAAACTCCATTATATATCATTTACTAGACAAAGTGGAGGATGGAGCCATGGTTTTCATAAACTACTTTGAGTGAAGAACTGGTCGAGACATCTTCCTGCTGGGGATTCTTGAAGTTACCCACATGAGATAAACAACATCCGTGCACAAAGCAGCAAGTCTAGTCTTTCACGAACATTCATAGCGTATTGAGTTAAGAGTGCCACTAGTTCTACATCAAATCGAATCTAATACGTATGACTTTCCTACCTCTTTCATACTGGGGAAAACTTAGTCCTCTCTCTCCCCCCTCCCTCTCTCTCTCTCCTCCTCTCTCTCTCTCTCTGTTTTCAATCGACGGAGCGACAGGTGTGGATGCTGCTAAAATGCCTTCAAATAGAGGACCGAAAATCGGTTGGAAGTCGGCATCATTTTTAATTTTTGTTTCAATAATAATTTGGAACAGAGAAAAATACGCAATATTATAAAGCGGGGCCCGCCCACCTACCTCTACAGACGGCATCTGCCAGCGGGAGATTAATGATGAGATATGTTTACAATGTTATAAGGGTATAGTGCGACTTAGGTCTCAGGTCGAAAAAAACTTTGAAAGCTAAGCAAGATCGTGTCGCCACCGTCTCGCCTCTTGCATCAACTTTGAAGGTGAAGACTCCCAAAACTCAGAAAGCTAAGCAAGAGCTTGAGAAGCGTGCACCAAAGCTGGTTAGCAATACTATTTATTCTATCTTCCGTCTATTTCGTTTTTTAGTTTATAGAAACTGTTATCAATTTTTTTCATCTTATATGTCAATGTAATGTATTATCCTGTGTTTTGGTAGGTTGAGAATCCAAAGAAGTCTCTAATTCTTCAGGGAGCACGGTCTAGTGCTGTACTGAATGCCGTGCTTACTCAAATCTATCACCTTAAAAGGGATAATGCTATGAGATTTACGAAGAAGAATGACAGAGTCATGCCCTTTGAGAGTGCTGGTGAGGCATCACTGAAGTTTCTTTCTCAGAATTGATTGTAGCCTCTTTGTGGTAAGTGGGAAATTTTAGCCCGTGCACAAAGTTTGTCTATGAGCACTTTAAAATCTACCCTTTATTCACCTCTGGTCGTCTTTTACTCGTGATATAAATTTTTTCCATTTTTAGATGGTTTTTATGTACGCAATCTATAGAAAAATGGCCTTATTTTCTATGCGAGTTCTGCAAAAGATAATCCTTGTTCAACTGTTGTGTCTTGTGAGCCATGATGTTTGGGTATGATTACTGTTGATCTTAGGCTCTCATTCGTGCTCTAGATGCCTATGAAATAAATATAGAAAACTCGGCATGATTACTGTGGAAAGCAGATTTCTGGGTGTGGTATAGGAAAACTAGTTGTTGACTGCAATTCTCTTATTAACGTAGTTTAGGATATCATATTATTTGTGTATTGAACACATTTCTAAGGCAACAATTTTTTTTTCACTTGAAAACCGACATTCAATCAAGAAGATGATAATAATCTAAATGAGAATGCGCCATCCTATTTGATGTTAAGGAGTCCCCTTGATGGCATCTCTGTGCTTTTCAAGAAAAGAATAATCTTTTACTGTTCGGAGACGAGAGAGATAAGGTATTGATTACACGCACCAAACCCTCTTGTGTATGTTATCATTGACCATAGCCTATGAAGCACATTTTAATCTGTTTTCTCTGTCACTCTTTGCTTTGAATTTTGCCATTACACATTAATCTATGCGAAGAATGGCAAAGTTCAAGTCTTTTGAGCTTTCAGATTCAAGAATGATGGAAGCCATTTTCGCAGTTCCTGATTTTCGTCTTTCTTGCCCTTATTATTGAATATCTGATCCTTGGTTGTTCCAGATGGTTCGAGTTTCTGGCTTGTGATGGTTTCTTTGGGTTGCAGTTTGGTTCCCATTCTAAGAAACGTCCGAACAATCTAGTCCTGGGAAGAATGTTTGATCATCACATTTTATGATCTTGTGGAAGTGGGCGTGGAAAACTTCAAGACCATGAAATCTTTCTCTTATGACGAGAAGATAGCTTCACGGATGGGCTCCAAGCCATTCTTTGCTCTTATCGGCGAAGGCTTTGAGAGCTCGGGGGAACGGAAACATTTGAAGGAAGTCTTGCTCGACCTTTTCAGGGGAGAGGTAAACAAATTGTCAAGTCTCCATCAGAAGCATCAGGGTTTTCCAACGCCCATTGATTGATTTTATGCATTTGATCGTGCAGGTGGTGGACAACTTGAATCTTGCAGGAGTTGGCCGTGCCTTTGTGTGTACCGATATCTCTGCAAACACCGTTCTCTACACGCATTGTTGCATCCGGCTGAAAGGTCGGGGACTACTATTCCCAGGATCGAGTTGGTGGAGGTTGGACCCTCCATGGATCTAGTTGTTAGGCGGCACCGCCTCCCCAATGCAAGCTTGCAGAAAGAAGCCATGAAGGGCGCTCGTGAACCACATAAGAAGGTTAGGCCCCCGACTCTCCATCCTTTCTTTGCGCCGCAAAGTTCCCATTTATAGTATTGAATTCCGTTTCTCACTGCATATCTTCTCGATTGACGGATGTTTAAATCTGTTTCACACTGTTTTTGGTATTTCCATCTCACAGCCAAAAAATGTGGTCCGAGACATCGTGCATGGGAAGATTGGGAAGATTTATGTTCCAGACCAGAAGGTCAGCGCCCCCACACTCTTTGTTCTTCCTTGGGCACTCGGGCCTTCTCTCTTTTCCTCAAGAACATTTTTGTTCATAATACGGGCGCCCTCAGGTTGGAAATCTGGCCTTGTAAAAAATGACGTCAAAGGGCTGAAGAGGGAGAGGCGTGAGGCCAAGGCCAGGGGCGGCGCCTCCCCAGATCATCCCCCAAAGAGGCAGAAGGCCTCCCCTGGACCTTGACATGGCTACTATGATTGGAAAAATGAAGAAGGGGGCCTCCGAGGTAGTCGGAATTGAAATAATTTCTCAATTATGCTCCTCTCGAGTAATTTTGGCATCAAGAACAGAATTTCACGATTTCGTTTTTATGGTTCTTATGATAGATTGATAAAGAGCGAAGGGGATTTCATATGTTATCCCAATGGGTGTGGTTCATTCATGGGATAAGGAAGAGGGCTGGTGGCACCAAGGCCACCTGAGGAGGATGGAGCCTTTGACCTTTTAAAGTCAACATTTTGGGTCCGATTTTGTCTTGGTTTCATTCATCGGATGGGCGAGAGAAGTCAAAATTCTGCTCTCTTCAAAAGAAGCAAGTCTCTGGTGAACCCAGCGTACTGGGACAGAGATGGAGAGCTGTGCTGGAACAGCCTGAGGTAGGCGATGCCTTCAAGAAGCGTTGACTTCTTACTGGCTTCAGCACTTCCATGGCGACTTGGCTGATCAAGAATGATCAAGAACTCATCATCTTAGGACCAACCCAGGATTTGGGATCTTCTTCTTTCCGCAGCTTCATAGAAACCCAGCATTTCTGTTCTTCATGCCACAGCTTCTGACTGTCAATAACATCCCCGAAATCCCTGATGGGCACACTGTAAATCTCATTCCCAGGCTAAAAATCATCATTGCGCCCATGTTCCACAACTTTGCTCGAACAGGTGATTATATATGGTTATTCACATTTATAGAAAATATCCTGTGCACAATTACAGGCATACGTTGGATGAAGCAGGGAATGATTACATGTGGTTATTCACATTTTTAGAAAGCCAGCCGCAAACCTCGTGGATGACTCCTCGGTTGGGAACACTGGGCAGTTTTTCTTCCTCGCAGAGGGAGGTCCTGCGAGAGCGGGGATCGTCAGGGAGGCGGAAGACATGGAACAACCTCCCCAGTCTGAACCAGTTCGTACAGACCCGTCACCCTGCTATGCAGGAGCTTCGGAGGGCTTCCGTCACATCAATGCCCTGCGGAGATTGTCAACAAGATGGAAAATTTTGTCTCATGTGATGGAAGATGAACAGAATGAGCCAGACCCATCTGAGATGAATCAAGTTTCTGGCCAGAATCTATTCAAAAAGTGGAGATGATGATGCGTATTCTTCTTCGTGGGTCAAAAGGAAAATCTTACAAAAGAGGAAATATATATCAACATTATGTTATTAAACAGAAATCGACCAAGATAAGGGAATTTTTTAAATAAATGGTTGCTTACAGAGACTCGTAGAGAGAAGATCAGATAGTACAGTGATAAGTCTTCATTATCATGAGTTAATAATTAGTAAATAATATAGTTTTAGCCTTAACTCATGATAAATAGACTTATATTTGTGTTAAAGCATGAAAAGTGGTTTTCAGTTGATTAATGTGAATTTTTGGGTAATTATGTGATTTTATAGGATTTTTACAGTCTTAGTTTTGAGATAAATGAAGAACAAGAAATAAAAATAAAAATATTGCAAAATGGGGGGATCCGCCGGCCAGCCGGGCCCGCAAGCGGGTCGGAAGCGCAGTCGGGGAGTAGCCGCGAGCAGGGGCTCGAGCGGCTTGCTTAGATCGATAGGGGCACGTGTGCGCCACTCCCCTTCCACGTCACCGGTGTCAGCCGGCTGTGGGGCTAAATCCACCTTGTAAGGCGCGGGCGACCGCCGCGGGTTCGAATCCTCCCAGAGTCAAAATTCATATATTTTTAACTGATTATCGCGACTTTCCTGCAGATCGCCGGTGAAGGATTAAGCAACCGGAATCGCTGGATCATCGGCGAAAATCTCGTCAACGCGATTCGCGGAGCATTGCTACTAAAATTTCTGAACGATTCGCGATAAAAGGATCGCAATCCATCGAGTAAATCATCTCCGATTGATCGACAAACAAGCCGTCGTCGGGAAGAGGACGATCCGCCGGGAGACCAGTCGCCACCTCCTAAGAGCGTACCAGATGCGATGAAGAGCCTCCTCTTGCTGCGCGGACCTGAGGATGAAGCTCCCTAACACGCGCCTCACCTCCATCCAGCCCCTCTCCGTCGGGTGACCGCCGCCGGAGAGCCGCAAAGTCGCCGTTTTTCCGCTCCGCCGGGTGACAGCCGCCGGAGACGATTCGACGACCCACTTCATTGGTCTCTAGACTTCGCGAGAAGATCTAGAGATTGCCCACGTCGTCTTTGTCCAAGGAGAGCCTTCGAGGCCGTGGACACTGCACGACGACCCTCCTGAACGCTCAGGATTCCGGTGCATCGCCGACGCGTCGCCGTCGCGACGCCGGAACTCTGTTTTCCTGCTTTATCTAGAGATTGCCCACGTCGTCTTTGTCCAAGGAGAGCCTTCGAGGCCGTGGACACTGCACGACGACCCTCCCGAACGCTCAGGATTCCGGTGCATCGCCGACGCGTCGCCGTCGCGACGCCGGAACTCTATTTTCCTGCTTTATCTAGAGATTGCCCACGTCGTCTTTGTCCAAGGAGAGCCTTCGAGGCCGTGGACACTGCACAACGATCCTCCCGAACGCTCAGGATTCCGGTGCATCGCCGACGCATCGCCGACGCATCGCCGTCGCGACGCCGGAACTCTGTTTTCCTGCTTTCAATTTAATTTACGCTTCATTTAGTGATACTTTGTTGATTTTTATTTACCAAACTATACTTCGTTCAACTACGATTCTTCCGGCTTTTACAGCTCTTAATTTGATTAATTGAGTCGTCTGTAATCGCCTACGTAAGAATCGCCGGGCGGAACTCTGTTTCCGCCTGATTCGCGTTCGCCGGGCGCTGACGTCATCCTGACGTCCGCACCCTTATTTCCTCTTTTTTTGTGAATTTTAAATATATTTCCTTTTTATTTCCTAGTATAAAATTCGTAAGAAAATCGTATTCATTGAGAAAAATTCTGAATAATTACCAGATATTATATTACATCCCTGTGATCGACCTGGAAAATTACCACTATTTTTGGGATTTTTATTGAATTATAATTGATATATTTATTTTGAAATACTTCTAAATATCCGAAAATTCGTATTTTCTAGTTTTATAAATTTTATATTTGCGTGATTTAATATACAACGACTGAGTCACGTCATACAGCCCAATCAGATTAAGCAGCACACTGCGCTTCACCGTCAAGTGATTCGGCGTCCATCGATTGCAGACCTGCAACTGCTATCAAGAAATCGCTACCGTCAAGTGATTCATTCTGAGAACAGTTTTCCACAAAAGTGACGACATTGGAGACCCACAAGGCTATCATCTCCTGGTGGCGCCTGATGTAGAACTCTTTCCATTCCTGAGGGATTTTGGTGAAACATAGTCACATATGTTTGCACGGAAATTTTATTTATAGTTGGATTCTCTTTGTTGATCTTTCATTAGGTTTCTGGTTGGATTCATCAGTCCGAAGAATTATCAGAAGATGGAGTTGGAAGAATTATCTGCACAGTTTTCAGTGAAGAATAAACGCCCTGATTGGACGAATTGGGCAAGCAGAAGAAGAAGATGATGAGGAGGAGGAGGAGGAGGAGGATGATGCAGAAAAAGCCAAGATGATGATCGCTTGGGCGGGAGAGTAGGGTGGAGAGGAGACCTCAGGAAAAGGGTCGACCCCTCGTCCTCAACCTCCGTCCCCATTTGTGAAGGGACGGTCGCTCTGTCGATGGTTACGTCTGACGCGCCACCAACGGACACGAGGAGGTAGAATATCTCCTCCTCAGAGCTCTGGCTTCTTCCCCCTCTTCTTATAGAGATAGAGAGAGAGAGAGAGAGAGAGAGAGAGAGAGAGAGAGAGCACCCTCCCAACTGTGAGATCATTGAAAGTCTTTAAAATGATTGGGTCAAGCTGTGAGATCATTCTATCATGACCATTATTGGACTTTACCCTGTAAACCATCTGATAAACATAAATAGTTGGCCACTATTTTTTCCCGTTTCCCAGGTATTGCAGATATTGATGCAAAGTCTTAGAATCAACCAGCCTATGAGACTTGATAAAAGTCTTATAGTAGAAAATGATTGGAGATTACTAGTATATAAACTCTACACAAGGAGTGGAATTGTGTCTTAGTAGGTGGCTGGATAGGTAGATATTTTCCTCTTCAATTACTATGAGTCTTAAGTCAACATGTGAGAATATATTTAGACGTCTTATATTATTTATTAATGAAAATTTTTATCCATTTTAAAATCGACGCATGAACCCAATAAGTGACTTTCTGAACCCATGATTCTCATATTTTATTGATCATATGTATTTGTGTCATAAGATTGACCATGTGATGCCATGATTTTTTAATAAGTAGTATAAATTATTTATATGGTAAAACATATTCCATATCTGAAATAAAGACTCAAATAGTAAAAGCTGGCATTTTCACGTCATGATGATTTTAAAACCTAAATCATCATGACGTGTATTAATGTTGTATTGAGTTCTTTGCTACATAGTTGCTAAGTAGATTAAGCTGACGACAGTTTTGGCTCAACATCATATGGAGATGTTGTATTTTATTTTTAAAATATTAACTTTTCTCAATTTTTTGTGTTCATTATTTTCGTTGGTGGTGTTGTCAAGAAACATAAGAAGATTTTATCCTACTAATTCATTTCCTTATCATAATATTGGAGCTTTTTTTCAGCTTTCTATGGTAATTTCAAAGGCAAGTGAGGATCCCAATTATCCTACTGATTCATTAATCTTGCCTTTTTCATAGTTAAAAAGGTAGAATAATAAATGAAAACATTCGATTTAATTCTAAATATGTAAAATGCATTCTATCTATTTTTCTCCTACAAAACCCACCGACTAAATGATTGGAGGTTGTGGCTTTTCAATCGTCTTGATGTTTTTTAAAAAAATTATTGGCTATCATGCTGGCTATTTAGAAAGAGTAGTTTATAATTTATTCATTGTCCCATAAGGCGTTATAATTTCATAATATTTAATCCCCCATATTTTCTCAATTTAGTTCTGAGACGTTCCCATCGTACAGAAGAAACTCCACCTTCTCCCTGCTGCCTGACGTCTGGTTATATATTTTTTTCCATCGGTGGAGAGGTCAACCCGTCATGTACCCAATAACACGTGGAGTCGTTGACCAAGAGAAATCCCCCAGGGAAAGGGGGACGGCGAAGAATAGAGAGATGATCATCCACAAGGGTGGGACAGTAATCAATAGAACTACCACGACGAAACCAGATCACAAGGCCGCCGAGGGGAAGAAATCGGCGTGTCGAGCTGCCTGACCGCCCCGGTGGAAGCGGCGGCGGCGAGGGATATCAGTGAGCCCGGCGGTAAAGGGAATACGCAGAAAGGATAACGAGGAGGACGAGGATGATGGAGGCGATAAGGGAGACGCCGACCGCGCTGGCCACGTGGCGGCAGAATGTGTCATAGACGCCGCATATCTTGTTCCAGTTCACGTGGGAGTTGCCCTTCAGGCCGATGTACGCCACGCCGCCGCCGGCGCCGGTGGCCGCCGCCACCACGCCCGCCATGATCTGCATGTTCATCCAGTTCAACACCGCGTGAGACAACCGCCTGAATCTAACGGAGTTCCTGAAGAACCGGATCGTCGGCTTCCGTGATTAATTCCAAGATTTTAGGGGGATTACCGCGTCGAGGATGATGAGATGGAGCAGCAGCTTCGTCGACGGCGACGCCTTCCTGACGGCAGTGGCGGAGGCCACGAGGGTCACGACGCTGTAGCCGCAGGCGGCGGCGAGAGCCACCATCAGGTATCTGCCCAGACCATAATTCATCAACATGATCCACTCCGGTGAGCAAACCAGGCGGCGTCGCCGCCGGAGGAGGGAGGAGGAGGCTTACATGAGACCGGGAGCGTGGTCAAACTGGGCGCTGCGCACGGTGAAGAACGGCGCCGCCGCCGTTCGAATTCGCTCCGTCTGCTTGCTGGTGGCGAGGACGACGAGCCCGGTGAGGGAGGTGGCGAAGAGGAGGAGCCTGATGGAGAAGTCGGCGGAGAAGTAGTTCACCGGCGGCGATCGGCGGCCATAGCCAGCGTCGGACTCCATCTCCACTGGGGTCTTCCCGGCGGCAGCGACTTCCATCACGGTTGCGGCGATTGCTGATGGCGGAGGGCAGCAGCGGTGGCGGCGATTGCTGGTGGCGGTGGAGAGGATGGAGGCGGTTGCTAAATAAGGGGGGAAGAGTGATGTGAATGTATGGGGAAAGGGGGAGAGCTTCGACGGCGGCCGTTCTCACGTGGGGTCTCGGGCTTCGAGATTGTCGTCCTTCTTATCCGCCGCCGGCCTACGTTGACCGTGGCCCTAGTACATCTGTTCATACACACATACGGATAAAAGTGACGTGACCGTTAGTCAGCGTATGCTCCTCCGTTCCTGCCTTTTGATTTCAAAACAAAAGGTCTCGGTCCCTCCGACTATGATCTCGCCCTTTATTTCTTCCGAGCTATCAAATGGCGGGCAATCCGCGTATTCTCCATTCACACCTCTCTCTCTCTCTCTCTCTCTCTCTCTCTCTCTCTCTCTCTCTCTCTCTCTCTCTCTCTCTCTCTCTCTCTCTATCCATATATCTATCTATCTATCTATATATTTCTCTCGCTCGTTCTCGCTCTCCCTTACTACCGGCATTAGGGAACCTGCTTGCGATATACATGCTCGCCGGCCGGAGCTTTCCGCAGCCACCGGAGAGATTGCGGGCGAAAGTTGGAGGAATCACCCGGTTCTTAACAGGAATAATTCACTAAAAGAAGTAACGGTTGACCAAACACAAGCGAGCAATCCCAAAAGCAAAAGCCCATCGGACACGCCGTTTGTTGCACCATCCCCAAAGGTGGGAGCTTTCAAGGCTTCCGACCTCGTCTGAAGGGGGGAGGAGAGAGAGAAGGGAAGAGGTATATATACAGCAGGAAGGAAGGAGAAGAGGTGGTGCAACTCAGCAGAGAAGGCCCCATCAGGCGGCGGGTGTCCTGCCTAGCTTGGCGAACCTCCCCTTGATCCTCAGCCTCCCGTCCGCCCTCGCCTTCCTCGATTCGTATCGTATGTGCTTATCGTACCTGTAAATATCATCCATGAAAGCCCATCAGAGATCTAGAGAGAGAGAGAGAAAGAGAGATAGCTCGGCTCTTCTCCCGTTTCGATCGCACGAGTACAAGCACGAATGATGGAGGTTCTAGGAGGAATCCAGTGGGAGAGGAGGGGTAAGAAGGAAAGATTTGTACTCGCCTCCTGGTCTTCCTCTTCTCCTTGTAGCGGGAGAGGACCAAGCCTCGGTCAGCCACGGGCAACTTGCTCCAGGCAACGGCCGGGGACGACGGCGGCGCCGCCGCCGCCGCCGCGAGTTCTGCGGCGATCCCTCGCCCGCCGCCGTCGCCGGGGCTGGCGACAGTCCCGTCGAAAAGAAATTTGCCTTCCACCATGGAAGTTTCCGGTTGCTGCTCCGTGGAGGAAGCGTCCCACCGGCTCTCCTTGCAGTCCTCGCCCGCAGCCTCCGCCTGAGCTCAGAGGAAGAAGAAGCAGGTCAAAAATGAGGCCATGGCGGGGCCCAAAGTGGAAATGGGGAGTTGACCCATGACCAGCTATGAAGCCACGGGATGGAGCGACGTGGTAAATAATGATCCATGGGACAAAAAAACAGAAAGCTTGCTTTAAATGATAGTTCCAGACGACAATTAGGGTTTTTCAGGATAATTATGAGTTCATAGATGACAAGAGCACTGCACATGAAGAGGACAATCAGAAATCGGAGATGGACATATTTTCAGCCAACAATTAATCATTATACAGACACCTGATTTTCCTAATAATATTGAAAGTTCAATCCATCTGATAAAATCTGGTTTTTGATCGAATTGAACAGATAAATGATCCCAAGAGAGCAGGATCCACGTCGGAAGAACGGAAGAACACGGACTACATAAATTGGAAGGATGAGCAAGAAATACACTGAGATTGGAGGCAATCAATGGTAGTTGAGTCGGAACCCAGATCGCAGAGGAAGAATCCTAGAAGGAAAATCGGATTCCTAGAGGAAGACGAAGAGGGAAAGCAGAAAAAAGGACCACTGAATTGATGAATGGATAGAACAGAGACGAGGAACCTGCGAGCCATAAAGCGGGACGATCAGAGATGCATCGTCTTCAACATTCGAGGGCATGGCTCCCTGCTCGAGGCCCTCTGGAGGATGGAAGGCTACATCTGATTCCAGCGGCTCGAAGCCGCCGCCGAAGCAGCCCTCCGGCAAGTCCAGGCCCCGGAGCTGCCGGAGAATTTCCTCCTTGTGCCTCCCGCATGCCGGGTTCCTATCCTGAAGAAGAAGAGGGAGAAGAGGAACCAGGAGCCGTAAGTAATTGGATGATCGAAACCCTAGAGAATCAGGCACAGATAGTTTCAGATTTTGGGAGAAGGAAGATCTGCAGGTGAGAAATCCCAACTTGCAGGGGTGTTCTTGTAGTCTATAGTGCAGACCTTGGGCGGAGGAGGAACCCCCATGGCCGGAAATCCATGGAAGGGCGTGATGGGCAGAAGGAGATCTTCCATGCAGAGGATAGGCGGCGTCTCCCACATCCACGCATCATCTCCCAGCAACCCCTCATCTCCCCCGCCATCCCCACCGCCGTCATCGCCGTCACCGGCGACAAACCGAACCTTCTCCTCCTCAACGGGAACCCCAAGGAGGGAGATCATCTCCTCCGCCGCCGGGCAGCCGGAATAGGGCTCAACGGGGCGGCGCTCCGCCGCCCTCCCGACCTCGCCGGCGTCGAAGTCGCAGTTGGCGCAGAGCAGCAGCGGGTGCCCGTCACGGCGGCGCTGAACACCCGGGGACGCGGCGCCGCATCGGAGGAGGGACGCCGGGGCCGAGACGCAGGCGTCGCAGAGGAGGGACCTCGAATGGCGAGACGAGACCGTGTTGGCGGCGTGAACCAGGCGGTCGCAGGCAAGACAGAGCCTCGCGGAGTCAGCGCGGCAGTACACCAGCGCCTCCGACGACTCGCAGAAGTCGCACTGCCGCCGCCCGCCGCTCCATCTCTCCGCCACCGCCACCCCCACCGCCGCCTCCGCTGCTTCCACCGTCGTCTTCATGCCTACTGCTCTCCTCTTCGCTGCCGGTCCCCGTCGAGGTAGCTTCCTTGTTGCTGCCATATGCGAGCCCTGGAACTAATAAAAAATATCTCCAGAAGGGCACGCATTTCCCGCCGCCGACGCCATTGCTGATGCTGTCAAGTGGTCCGGGGGGGGTCAACGGGGTGCACTTGTCGAGAGGAAAGCGACTTAACGTCATCACGCGGGAAGAGTTTCACCAGGCGATGGAGAAGTTTGACTTCTCAACTAGAATTTCAACAACTATTAACTCTGCTGGAAATTCTGGCCGAAAAATTGGACGAATGAGGGAACTAATGGGCTCGATCAGGCCTCCCCGGGTGAGCCCATTAACAGCCATCTCGGGTCAACTATAGTTGACTGGCAAGGTCAATCGGGAGAGCCACTACGTGGCTGCCCCCCATAGGACCTGGCATCTCTAGACATACCGTAAGCTGGAGACTGGCCGTTGGGCCGCCGCAGCTCAGGACGGTTAGGGGAGCTCATGCGGCGGTGACTGTCGGATGGATAGAGAGAGAGAGAGAGAGAGAAAGAGAGAGAGAGAGAGAGAGAGAGGGAGAAACCCACTACAAATCAGAACCAGCGGCGTCTCCGCCTTGTCTCGCGGGTTGCACCGGCGAAGGGGAAGGGATTCTTCTCTGGTTTACTCCGGCGGCGGCGGATGGGTCCAGGCGGAGGGCCAGGCGGCGGAGGGCCGGGTGGTGGCGGTGGCGGGGGCTGGGGACCCGGCGGCGGGGGGCCGGGGGGCTGGGGACCAGGCGGCGGTGGCGGATGGGCGCCGATCCCCGGAGGACCGCCGGGGATGGGCGGCGGGTGGTGGGGAGGCCCAGGCTACTTCGGTGGCTGCATTCCCAACTGGTAAGTTAGAATCAGCTATATATACCTCGCGGGTATATCGTATATTTTTACTTTATTTTTCTAATTTCATCTGTTGAACTGGCAGATACCACCTTTTTGGAATCTTACCATAATAAGACGCTGATAACCGCCTGACATTTAAAGATTTTCTAATTTTCATTTCCACATTTTCAGTTCAAGCGAAAAAACAACCAGTACCCATGAAAATTTAGGAAATTTGACATTTTTTTCGAAATCCATGTTATCCTCGTCAATTTGCAATATATAATTTATTTATTTTTGTGGCTCACTGAATCACAGATTTACTTTTATTTAAATAAAAAAATGAACATTCCTCAAATATATTATATAATTTATTAAACATGCTGATATGTAGAATTTAATTTATCTACTGCATAGATATTATCTTTTGGCAGTAATAATACGACGGGTGATAATTATCTAATTATTGTGTTTCGTTTGTGGCTGATTGTGGGCAGCTTGTACTTCCTGTGCTGCTGTTTCCTCATCCAAGACTGCTGTGGGCCACTCTTCGGCGGCCCACCGGGCCCACCGGGCCCACCAGGGCCTTTCTGATGCACAAGAATCTGAGACAAGTGGCTGAAGAGAGATGAAAGAGTGGTTTTTTTTTCCCTTTTTTCTTTTATTTCTCTGTTTTCTTGTGGGTTTTTAATCACGCAAAAGATCAATTCGGGGACGGAGATAGATCAACAGATGTGATATGATTGAGCATAAATGTCTTGGAGTGCTATACCTTCTAAAAGTCTCTATCCATGAGAGAGAGAGAGAGAGAGAGAGAGAGCAACCTGGGTGCTTGCAGGATACCCACGTGGCAGTAAGTGCTCCACATCCACGGGCCGGGCCTAATTAAATCAGGGCCGGATCCAGATTGGAGCCCATGTTGACTTCCCTCAATAGATCCGTTGTTTTCAGAAGGGTTTGAACAACTATGGGCGGGAGTCAACTGTCAGAAGAAAAGTGTGATGATGGATTGATTAAGAATCTAAGCCCGTAACCCCTATCCAATCCCTTATTCTCACTAGCTGATTCTCTCTCTAACCAAATCTCTCATCTTCCACTTGCAACACTCAATCTTAGGGATGAAAAGAGTCAACGTGCTAAATTTGGGTCAAACTCAATCTTAGGGATCCGATAATACACAGATAATCGGCTTTCAAAGAGAGAAACGGCAGTAAAAATTAAAAAAAAAAAAAGAAATGGAACGGATCCAGGGTATTTTCCGTCTGAAAATCTTCACTATTTAAAAGAATTATAAATTCAAGAAAAATAAACCAGAACCAGGATGGTGATGAAGGTCAACCCACCAGGATCGAACGATCCATGCCAAGAATGGGTTCTGAGGAATCAGATCGACTAATGACGATCTTGATGAATGCTGAAGCATATATGCTAACATTATCCACCAAGAAAATCATAGTATTATGCACAAAAAATATTCAGGACAATCTGAAGCAACATAAAGAAATGAAGAGATTTTACCGGAAAGGTTCAGAAATTGACAAGGAATTCAGCCCATTGTTCAAGCAGAGAACTTCACGCCTTCGTCGTCGGCTGAGGAGCCTTTGAAGATCGCCACCTTGCCCTTCTGCTCAAGTAATCTTAGGGCACGCATCAAGACACCACGATCAATCCCTTGAAGCTCTGGATGCACACAAGAGATAAGCTTCAGGCATCCCAGATGAATGGAAATAGTGGATGAAGCTGAAGACTGAAACATGGAACCTCCCCTCCGCAAGAGTATGAACATGGGAGTCATGCCCAGCAGGTATAAGGGTATTTTGGGAAATGTTGTGTAGGGTTTGCTTCCCTTCTAAGGGATGTGGGAGGTCCATGACAGAGGAGGTTTCTATATTTCTCAACTCTGTTTTTTATTTTTTATTTGGACATTAAATGTTGAAGAAAAATTAACCCGATGAACCAATCTGATCCTAATTTTGGGGGCAATTCTTGTTCCCCAGAATATCCATTAATTTTAATAATTTTGGATGATAAGATCGACTGGAAAGTATATAGGCTCACAATCGGATGATCCAGACTTGGTTTGGCCAGTTGCAGACCAGACCAGATATACCATAAATGGCAGCCCTTTGATCATATCAGCCAAGTGGGCCAATCCATTTTTCCGATCCAATTTATCATAGCTCAATGGGAACAGATGAAGTAAAGTAATGCGGATGGTTAGCAAAGCTAGCCGAAGAGTAATTGGCAAAGAAGAAGCACAGTTCTACCTGTTCCTCGAAACTCCATGCCCGAACGTATTTCTTCAACGGTCATGACACTATTTTCCAATCCATTCTCTCTCACCTGATACAAAAAAGTTGAGCAGTCAGTAACAGTGCAATACCATCTATGAACTCGCCATAGTAGGATTAGAGCAAGCATCTCAACGTACAAAATTCAGAATATAATCAGCCCAATCTTGGATTCTCAGCCAAAGAATAAGGCATTTCTTGCGCCCTTTGTCCATCCATTCAGCTCGCCCTGCAGTAGATGTGTTAGTTAGTGGGTTTACATACCTTCTTGGATGAAAATATTCATGATAAAAGGCAATGCCCGATTATTGATATTCATAAACATTTAGGACTTTAGCAAACCTTCAGAAACCAAAACATTCAAGAACTGCTCTCTCGAGAGACCCTGAAACAACCGATTGAAGGTCAGAATGTCTCACAGGTTATATCTAAGAGCAAAAGTTGCCGATCAAAAAAAGGATTATATCAAAGAAAGAAAGTCTTACTGTCGATCACTGGATTCACAAATAATGGGAACTCTTCTTCCATTCCAATTATAAAAATCTTCTGGCTTCTACAGTAATCAAGAATAAGTTCTTTCCATAGCTGTATCTGCTTCTCACGTGTTTCTCTTACAGGCTGAAGACTAGAGGCCCAGGATGAACGCAGATTAAAATAAGTGAGAAATATTTCAGCGAGTACTAATCTAAAACCAAAGAATTAACAATAATAAAGTGGAAAAATCTTTTATTTTTGAGATTTTAGCGTCTTAAGCCATATGATGCATAATACGATTTAGCATGTGTATATCAAAACAGCCTACCACTACGGTCAAAGTCCTTTGAAATCCAAAGGAAGTTCCAAAAGTAGTTGAAATACAACTTGCGAAATGAAATCACAATCAGCGTTTTCAATAGAGTCCAGGAAAACATGAATCTTCTCAGAGGGTTAGGACGGTATTCCAAAGCCACAGAAAAGGATAGATCGCAAAACCTCCAACCCAAACCCTAATGTCTACCTAGAAACAGCTCAAAGCAGCCATACATGCCTGGAAACTGTCTTTTCCCACTTCACCCCAGAACCAGAGGGGAATCAGTTATCACCTGGTTTGGAAATCTGGCTGTTACATATATGTTTGTTATTGCCTCAATCTTGTGTATTTCGGATTTCAAATCCAGCTTGGGAGTTTCAGCTTTTGCCTCACATGATAATGGATTATGGGACAAATCCTGAAAACCTATCAACTACAATGCATAAACAACACAGTAATAGTGTTAAATCAGGGTCTGGACTTGGGATCAAATAGGAAAACAAAGGGACTGATGAGCCTAGGTCTGAATTGGTCACGCTAATTTGATTTGCATGTACTATTGAGGCTTAAGGAAAGCATTTACTTGGCCTTTAAACGGCCCTTATAAAGTTTCTATTCCGATACATATTCTAGGACTCTCATGAACTTGACCATTAGAAAAAGGTGAGGAAGAAGAGGAAAAACAGAAGATGAAAATTAGAAGAAGAGAAGCACAAATCCAGAGCCTTGTCCCGTTCTTCAACCATAACTTATCCCAGAAACCGTACGATTTTTTGCTATATTTGTTGCAAAAGTACAGGCTTTGCTGGAAAAACAGGTGACTAGTCATGAAAAATATACTACTTTTGTAAATTTGGTACGATAAAATATCCTCATGAAAAAGCCTTGTATTACTTCCCCTTCTAAACAATGTCTAATTATCGATTTTTTTGTAAATATACTATTTCCATTTTCATACCTTTTAACCAGGCCAAGTAGTCAAATCATAGTGACTAGTTTGAATTAATACAGGTAACATAATAGTTGGATCAATTCAATAACAGGACCGCCATGCACTTAGACAGGCCTTTTTAAAACTACGAGCATTGATTTATCCATCAAATGATCAGATCATAGAGTAATGAGATCATCCCAGACAGGTCAAGTTCAATGAAGCCAGTAAACGACCACATATTTTATCACCAAGTCCATTATTAAATCCGTCATAATTCCATTTTCATAAGAAAAGAAAAAGGCACGATTTTATTCGGATTGGCTAATGCTGAAAATCTAAATAAGCTAGCATGAAGGACTCAACTGTAAGTTGAGTAAATCTGTTCCAATTTTCTTCATCTGTACTTTCTCATCATGCAGATTGTCCAGGCATTAATATACAAGTCAATAGGACTATTCCCATAAGAGGAAATGATGGAGACAATAGAAGAAAGGCGTCAAAAAAAACTAATTGATATTTCATCTCTAAAGCTTCAAAAAGTCATTTAAAAACTTACGTGAAATAGGGAGGGTAGTTAAAAAATTGAGGCAGCTTGAAATTCCCTAGACTCTGCATCTTTCACTCTGGCTTCCTTTCACATACAACAGATTCTGAAACTCTTATCTGCAGTAATTGTGAACAAATGATCTTCTCAAGAGTCTTGGCAAAGGAACTTCAAGAGAAATTCAATCAACAAAGATAAAAAAACGGAAATATTCACCAGAGTATCTCAGCCTAGGGCCCTATATCCCAGAATGAGAGCAATCAATTCTCATAGTGCTTAATGGGAGAGATGTTTCGTGATTCCAGTATCAATGGAAACCAACAAGAAAAATAACCATGTAGTACCTTTTTCTTGTCAAGGAATAAAGCCAACACTCAATGAGGAATGATTTGTCACCTCGTTTTCCAATCCAAACGAACATAATTCTTATGGTCAGATAACGCCATCAAGAGACTACCATGCTATTTTTCTTGTATAACAACAGGTGGAAGAAGCTATATAAATTTCCTTTTATGCATCGTTCAGTTTTGTTTAACGGGACCGAAAACAATAGTGAAAATTAATTTTAAACATTTCTGAGTGGCGACCAAACTTCGTCCTTTAGCTACGAATGCAAGTCCAAATTAAATGGGAAGGAAGAAAAAGATCAAATGCAAGTCCAAATTAAATATTTTTAGTACGATTTTATGTGGAAGAAGAAACCATTAGGGCAGACTAAAACAAAGTAATTGTAGACTTCAGCTACACATGATTATGATATAGCAGTTGCAAGCGAGGGGGCTGTGTAAAATTTAATCAAACTAGGACGAAGATCTAATTAGGACAGAAATACAAACTGCAGGGTCCAAGATATGATTCAAGGGCACGTGGCAGTATTCCGCTCAAACATTGGATTGCATATAAAGGAGACGACAGCTAGCCATAAAAGATCTGATAACAATGGAGGCCAGGATGGTTCTTTCTTCCTCGTTTTAATAGTAAATAGTAGATCAGACTTAAGTGATATGGGAAGGTCCTCCTGGGTTGTGTACAGTTGAGAGCAGTCTTTGCTGTTCAGCTTTACTCACAGTCTATGACACCTATCCGCTTTTTAACAATGGAATTTTCATTCATCATTTCATCTGCTTTCTTTAAGAAAAAATTCAAGCAGCACCATCATGTGAAGGAGCAGGGAAATTGCTAATGGAATGCACGTATTTGTATCCAAAGTATAAAAGATCAAGCACATTCTAAGGAACATAGTATAAAATGTTCAAAATCGTCAATTAACAAAAAATAACCGCTCATTCCTATTACACCAGAAGGTGAAATCTTCTAAGACATCAATGAGTATACTTAAGTACATAATGATATCGTTCTCCCTTCTCCTTCGAGAGACAGGTGTTAGTCCACTCTCGATGTTTCCCTTTTCTTTCACGATGGAAGACAATGCACTTTTCTGCTCCCCATTGTCAGATCTCTTTTTCTCCTCCCTCTCTATGGAAAGGGAGAAGCCAGATCTTCCCCGCCTCTTGACCACGGAACGGAGTGCTACGTCTCTCTGTTGCACATTATTCCTCATGGTAATACTAGACAAAAGAAATTCCACGGGGAACCAGGAGTCCGCTCCCAGCCCCCCAACCACCCATGCCTTCAAAGCTTTTCAAATTATGTGAGCCAACCAAACAAGCACAGAGATTCATCTCAACTCCGGTAATGAGTCCAATTGGCTAATTGGAAACCAGCAAAAAAAAATTGACGCTTAATTTCCGTCCGGTCCATAGTTTCATCTTCATATTTAGAATGAGGTCGGAAATTCCTCAGCGCATTATTTAATCAAAAATAAATTGGCAAAGTGAGCAAGTGATGAAGGAACTTCATAAAAATTCCCACCATTTTGCAAGGTTTGGACATCTGAAAGTTCCATAAAAATATTTTAACAATAGCCACATTATTCAGGCTTCTCCATGATCATAATATGAAGCCCCGGACAAGTTCATTCTAATTTTTTCTGGACTTTATTCGACAATTCAATTGATAACACCAAGGATTATGAAGGTTGTAAAAAAACTGCCCTCCCAATCTCATCTACCCGCGTTCATATCATTCTAGGGCTTAATGCATGCAAACAATCATTAGATTATGCGAAGTTGCCTGAACTGATCGTTCAAAATGGCCGCATCAGGGAGGCAAATGATCCCTATGAAGACGAACAACGCCACAGTACATGAAGATCAGTATCCATCCACTTTACCGGATCCGTCACAGAGGATACCCTCACGATATACCCCAATAAGGTAACAACGTCCCGTGCACGGTTAAATATCAAAAGAAAATAAAGCGAAAATTTCTCCAAACCTTGTGAATACGGATGCCGCCTGTTCCTGCTTCTAAAAGTTACTGCGGACGATGCTATCCGTCAATTGCGGAGGCCTCGTTCTCGGCCACTGGTGTCTGCCACCGGTCGCAGCTGATCAGGGAAACCCGCGATCGGCGGTAGGCTCACGATCCGATCGCGGAGAGAGAGAGAGAGAGAGAGAGAGAGAGAGAGAGAGGAAGGAGTGGGTAAGCCAACGGTCAGCGGATAAAATTAGGTGCGGCCGAGGCACGGCACTTTTTATTTATAATATAAAATTACTACTCCTACGACCAACGGGCCCGGCTTCTTTATAAAACCGGGCCCGGGCCCATCCTGGATAAAAAAAAATCCACAAAAAGGAGCTCCGGGGACCCGTTAAGTTCCAGAATAATAAAGTGAGGAGTCCACGGCCCATTTGAAGATTAATAATTAATAATTATTTAAGCATCTCTGGCTCGTTTTAAAAAAATATATCGATTTTTATCTCAAAAAATTGTTTTTGGGGTTCCATTTATGGAAAAAAGGTGCTTGAATTAAATACTAAAAATTATTTTCCCGGAGTCGACTCAAATTATTATTATTATTATTATTAGTATTATTTTCTCTGTTTTCTTTTTTGGAGCGAGGGCTGAGAAGAGCACCTCATGAACGCGCATGATCCCATGAAGTACTATGAAAATTTTCCAAGGATGATTAAGTGGGGGGCCATGCTCGGAGGATCAAACAGTAGGTACTAAAATAGAAAGCTCCTTAAAATGGACAGAGTTCATCACAGAAAGTTCCGTTCTTTAACTCAGATTCTCTCAACAGCAACCCCACCCAGGGATCACAAGGGATGATGAAACCACGAAAATGGTCTATATACACCACCCAGATAGAGATAGAGAGAGAGAGAGAGAGAGAGAGAGAGAGAGTTCAACAGTCCTGAATTGCAGTGTTCTTCACAAGATTTTTCCATGTATTCCACAGCCGCTTCAGAAGGGTTGCTGCTGCAAGACATGGCACGAAGAGGCATGTAAGGGCACAGATTACCGAATACGGCAACAAATCGAAATTAAAATGTTCTCATGTTTTCAGAAGTCGGATAAAAAATTATGTGATTGATATCAATGACACAATGATTGTTCTTTTGATGTCGTTCAGAAAAGAATGAGGTTGATGGCCCAAGAAAGAACAAGATTATTAAAAATAAATTAGGCAATTTAATTATTTGTTCCACAGGAATCGAACTCAAAACATTCAGCAGAGATGGGTCTTCTTTCTTGGGACAATCTGCCTGGTCAACGGCATTCAGACCGTCAGATGGAAAAATATTTTCCATGATTCATGGGCTCCATTCTAAAATATTCTGAGGGAAGAGATTTTCCATCCTCTTTTGAATGTTATGCATTTTCTTTCCTGGGACAATCTGCGTGGTCAACGGCATCCAGACTGAAAAAAAGAAAAAAAATCTCTTTCCTCATTTGGTAAGTCAATACGACTGAACAAGTCAGCGGGGGCAGGTGGGTTACCTCCTTGCACTTATTCACAAGAGATTTTGGTGTCGAAACTGCTGAGGCAGATAGCGAAGGCCTGGAATGCTGATAGTGGGTAGCGGAAATCCATGGTGAAGAGGTCCTTCCCCACCTTCCCGAACTGGAGAAGAACATCGTCGTCATCCTCCTCCTGCCTCCCTCGCCCATCGTCAGTTGAAGCCACCAGCTGAAAGTTCTTCACAGAGGCCACAGTGACTCGCCCCCGGAAGTTGAGGCACCAGCACTGGAGCTGCTCGTGCCACCTCGGGGACTTGTTCTGCAACACCAGCTTGCCCTTGTCCGTCCCCGGCGGAGCTCCGGAGGAGGCATTTCCAGCATGAGAAGACTTGGACGAGAGGGGGATCGACTGGAGGGGGAGGGGGAGGTCAGCTGGGGTGGGGGCGGCGCCGCCAGGCTCCATGGCCGAACTGGGTATGCAATCCATGGTGCACTGCATCCTCCGGGGCCCCCTGGTCGTCCAGAACATGTGAGGTCTGAGGTCAAATCTACCCAATAATAGCAATAATAACATGTGAGATGCTCATACTAAATTGGATATGATGATGATATGGCTCTCACCTGGGGCCCATTACATTCACATCATAAGCAATGTGGACAACTGGGTAGTTCCCAGAAGCCAGTCTGCTGGGGGAGACTTGCTTTGAGCTAAACCGGGAGGAATGGCTCTTGGTGACCATTGCTCCAGCATGTAGAGGCATCCCATCATGGACGGTGAACTTGGTTCCTAAGAAGTTTGACCTGCAAAATTAGATGATGAAGTCGGTATTTTTAGAATATATATAAAAAAAAGTCACACCATTGTTCTTGGTGTTGACTCTGAGAAACAGAGAGAAAAGTAGCATCTGGCACTGAGAAACAGGTTGTTTTCATTGTCAAAGCATCATGCATTGACTTTTTTATTATTATTATTATAAAGGCAAATAAAAAGACATGAAGAGGCGTGTAGAGAATAGCCTCATATTGTTTATTATAAAAATAAACCTGTGAAAATTGCATTTTTGAAATTTCCGATCATCCATATCGATTATTATAGCAATAAACCAGTAATTATAATGATGGGCATGCTCCACTTATGACCAATTCGGTGTTGAATTGGATTGGACAATAATCCAAACAGTCTGAATTTATGGAAATTCACTTCATCCATGTCAAAGAGCGGGATTTAAACAAGCTAAAAGATAAATAAATAAATACATAACATGCTTGAGGCAACCTACCTCAGTTTCCCAATATACGTAGTGCTTCCTTTTGAAATGTTGTTCGCATCTAGAGAAATTATGTAGTCAGTGTATGTAGGGTGTCTACATCTACGAGCAGCAAGGAGAAACTTTCCCGCATCTGACAAGGCTGTAGGATGTACAATGAGCTATATAGTCAGTAGGACACACTAATATTCTCCGTTGACTGCCAGAAATGAAAGATAAAAGCCTCTGTAAGGCCAAAAAGAAAAAAACTCAGGGACTTTCAACTTTGGCTTTTATGCACCGATAAACAAAGAATATCAACTACCGAAAGAAATGAAAGCACAAGAAGATAGCTGCAGGAGATTTCATGCATATTCAAGACATGGGAGATTTAAAAATCAAAACAAAGGCACAACAATAAGGTCAGTGCCCAATGGCATTATATTATGAAGAAAATAAAAGTCAACATATGTTATTTTAGCATTCAAAAGAGACAGACCCCGCTCATGGAAACTAAAACTTAAATTCTCCATGACTTGTAAAGTCCTACCACCCATGAAAGAGACAGACAAATAGAAACAAAAATTCTCCAAAAGTATCTGTAAAGTCCTACCACCCATGGAACTAAAACTTATAGATGGCATGATAAACTAAATTTTATTATGCCATTAAATTAAATTATAGAAGAAGAAGAAAAATCAGCATGTCTCATTTTAACGTCCAAATCTAAACCCCGCTCAGTTATAGTGAATAGACATGAGATAGAGATAGAGAGAGACGGAAACAAAGATATCCAAAAGTATTGGTAGAGTCCTATCACCCATGGAAACTAAAATTAGATGCCATGATTTTATTACAGTATCTTTCACTGAATTTTCCTTGCAAGGATAATATAATCTCTCTTTGGATCGCAGGAGCTGATGTGATGTCAAAGATTATAGACCACTAAGCTCAAATTTGGATTGGCAATTATATAGACACGAATGATATGCTCAGAAATTGGTATAATGCAAGTCACAATGCCCAAAGCTTTTGGCTGGCGGAAGGTTATACGAGCTACCCTGCAGTATGTATCAACAGGGAAAATCAGTACAAAAGTTCTGATATAACATGTAAGGATTTAAGACTTACAAACTAACAAACCATCCTTGTGCCCAACTGGTTCCAAGAATATGAAGACAGAGACTGATCTTCACCTCAGAGTGCTTCAATTCCTTCTTTTATTTTTAGCTCAGCCTTCAATAAACGATTTTCTCATTTAAGGGATGGCCTGTCCTGATCTAAATCCACACTATATCGGTGGGCCGTTTTCTCCCATTATTCGTACTGCTGTTCCCATTGGCACCGAAAATGGTAAACCAAATAATGTACTTGGATAGAAGAAGGAATCATCTACACCTGTCCACTCCATAACCACTCTATTTATAGTCAAAAGAGTATACAACTTGGCCTCCTGTAACAGTGGATATAGTTCACATTTAAACAATTCTTTCATCAGCCCAACACCACATTTCAAGGCAAGTTTTGCCAGGCAAACGACTCAATTACCAGTGACTTCAAAACCAAGAATATAGTTCACGAGCACAGATGGCACAACACCGAGGTTGTGCCCAAAGGCTTCATGTAGACACAATTTTAGCTGCAAGATATGTCAACTGAAGAAAAAAAACTTTACCTTCAGTTAGACCAAGATACAGATGGTATGTCTGAGTTGCCCCAAATCTTCTTATAAAGCACTGAAGAGGGAAATTCCTTGGGCCAGGCTGCAAGCAACAAACCAAGATTCCAACAGTGAATGATAATATTTCTAAGCGTAAGAAGAACAAGTTCTTAAAGGAAGAGTAAAGAACATGCAAATTTTGAACCATTGCAATGAAATACTTAATTGAATGTCAAGTAAAACAAAGCTTGACGTTGTTGCAATGACTTGAGGGCATTCAATAACATCAGAGCATGTACATATAGATACAAGATAAGATACCATCGACCACAAACATGAAAATTAGACAACGGGTGACCAAAAAGAGACCTTCTACAAGGGTTATGTTCCGATTTAACCAGGTTATCGTTGGACATTGTCACTCGCTAAATGCAACACATGAGAGTAAGCAGTAAAAACAATGGTCAGAAAGCTTCCCTAAGCAAACAAGGAGTCAGTGTCATCCTTGAACAGGAAAATAAAAAATACAGCTAAGAGACTAGAAATATAATCCAAAGAAATATGAAGATCAAGTAAGCTTAGACTTCCCAGATGTGATCTCCTCAGCCTAATCAAGTCAAAAATCAGTGGGTAGAGTTCACCTGTTAATGTTTGATTCTATTTTTACTACATCATATTCAAATCGGGTTTAGTATTTTGATTATATTTACTTGTTGTTCAATAAATAGTCCCATGAACGTGAACCAAGTCTAGGCAGCGGACTTGCTATTTTGGATATATGAGAGAGCGAATTTCAGCATCCATTGAACTTAAATCAAAGATATCTACAATTCAAAAGATCAAAGAGATCTCAGCAAAGACTCATGAAATAGTCACAGTAATCACAACAACTAATTTGGAGGCGGTATTTTAGTTGGATGCTTACAAAACCAAAAACATGAAAGCTACCGTCCCATCTAATTCTTCTGATATATTTAAACAACAACACGATTCCTCTGCAGAAAATTAAATGAAAGCTCATGATTTAGCCACGGCACCAGCAAAACTCGTTACCAAGCAAGCACAACTTCGTCTAACCTGCTTCAATGAGATTGGGAAGGTTAGCCTCCCAGATACTTCAGGGGCCTTTACAATTTCCTTGGTGATCTCCCTCCAGTTCCTGCAGACAGCCGCACAAATCACCACGTTCTTCCGGTATGGCCATGAGCTCTGTGAAGCCTCAATTCTCATGAGCACGTCCCTCAGAAGCTCTGGTGGCATGTTCGCCCAGCAGCTCTGCTTGAGAGCGTCCACGGGAGGGGATGGAGCCGGGCCATCATGAACCACGGCCCGATGAGACCGCGAGCGCATGCTGAAACTGATAAATTTCACATCAAATCCCCTCCCCGAGATGCTTCCCATCTCGCCTTTCATGTCCTGGATGATGCTCTTGAACGGCATAGATCTGGAGCCCCCAAAAAATCACGCAGGGAGTGGAAAAGCGGAGCCTCTCCTCCTCATGAACCGCCCTCCAGATCCGAGCACCAGTTCTTCGCCTCAACTGTACAAAATTCAGCAGCGGCCATGTCTCTCGACCATGGATGCGAGCTTCGACCACCACGATTGGCGAACGGGGAATCCCTGCAGATCCCTCCAAAGGTCCATCCCTCGGAAGCACGACGTCCCTCCCGGAGCTCCCTCCTCCCGCCGGCAGCGATCGGAGAAGAAGCCAATTCACAGTGGTCCTCCCACGCGAGGGAGAGGAAGAGAATTGAAGACCGCCTGGGTGGAGGGATCAGAACCAGAAGCTCGAGATTCTCGAGGGAAGCGGCCAGGGGGATTCTCCCCCCCCCCCCCTACTGATAGCCCTCCACCACGGAAAACTAGGGCTTCATTGCCGTCCTCTTACCCTTCTTAGAGTGAGAAAGGGAACGTTGCGGAGGGGGAGAGTGAGTGACAGAAACAGATAGAGATAGAGAGAGAGGGGAAGTATTCCGACAAATGTGGGGCCCACTTTCTCGAATTGCCACGCATGTCGGGAGGATTTTTCTGGGCTTCTAGGGGCCGCAGACGTGCCATGACGTCATTCTCGTGTTCGGACGGACGGTCGGGATGATTTCGGCACCATCAGACGGCCAAGAATCACCTGGAAACATTCCGCCGTCAGGTGAGACCACCCGGTAGGAGGTCTCTTGTTGCACTGTTTTCGCCTCTTTCCGAGCGAAGTTGCAATAAATAACACGTTTAGTTAGCGTGGCAATTGGCTCTACCCATAGACCATAAAAGCCTATATAATGGGCTATAAATAAATGCCTCTCGAAGCCTCGGCCCAAAACAGCCAACAGCTGTTTTAGAGAGAGAGAGGGAGAGAGAGAGAGGGGGAGAGAGAGAGAGAGTTCAGCCTTAGAATTTTAGGGCTCTTAGGGAATTGGGAAATTATAGCAAGTGCTAGTTACATTCTTTTAACAAAATACCACGATTGATTAAATATTATAAAATGATACTATAAACAAAGGAATTGCCTTCTTAATCCATCTTGAACAGTGTTGAATCATGATGGAAGATTGTTGACAATTTATGAGATAAGAAGCTCCGATCAAAACTTTGCATTTATGTCCTCCCATTTGGGAATTTCCCAAAAGGGTCAGGCATTTTTTATTTGATAAATTTATTTCCCAAACAAGCATTGGATGAGAATATTTTTGAATTTACCCTAAAGTATAGTGTTATTTTAAGGGCAGAAAAGTCATTCTATCTACACTTTTCCTAAATTGTGGTAGCAACTGGTCTTAGAAGGGGGGGATTCTAGAGAGTCATCTACCCTTCCTCAAGTGTTTCTTCTCTTGGATTGTTGTTGACTGTACATGAAAAATGATCAAAGCTGAGTATGTGGTGAGTGTGCCAATCAAAGAAGGAAGAACAAGGGTTTATGGTCACATGATTCTCCAAATCATGTCAATCTAGTGTGTTTCTTTCCCTTCAGACTCTTCATCTCATGTTATTTTACATATTTATCTTTTGTAAGGAAGTGATGTTGCCTCCTAATAGTTATGAGCCCTATTTCTCATGCCTCTTTGCACCACCCTTATCAAGCTTCTACAAGAACAAGTTGGTGGGTGATAAAAAGGTCTTTGTTATCTCTCCAATTATACATCAATTATTTCATCTAGGTAGGGTCTTGACCCATGACATATGTCAAGTCATCCCTTAATCTTCCTCATTGATGGGTAGGGACCACTTACCTCATCATCTTAGAGAGGTGAATAAGGATAGATAGATTGATAGAGAGAGAGAGAGAGAGAGATAGGTAGACATATGTATGTCAATCATAATATTTGACATAATGTTATTTTAACAAGTACAAAATAGATAGAAGGGTAAGATGATTATTTCACATCATAACATTATTTCTTAATAATTTTGTAATGATATATTTGGTATTAATCTTTGATAGGGTCAAAGAATTTTAGGATCAATCTTAAATAACTTTTTCACTTATATATTTTTATTTGAAGAAAAAAATCAACCCAAAAAGAAATTTTGTATAATATTAAATGTCATAAAAAGAGTTAAGAGAGAGAAGCTAGTATAGTGTCACTAACTTTAATCCTTATGGGCTCTATCAAATGTGAAAATAAATATGCTCATGTAAATAACCTTAATTTGGAATTAACAACTAACCCGCATGCATAAAAAATCCCCACATCTTATAGGAAACATTTTTAAAAAAATTACTTGCTACACCCATTATGCTAAATCTTTCTCTTGTTGAGAAGCTCATGGTAACATGCCCATTGAGTGTTTTACCTTCAAATGGTATAAGTTTTTTTGTCCTTTGTTCGTAAATTCATACCAAAATAAGAAGAATACAAGATATCAACAAATGTATAGTGCAATCTTAAAGAGAAACTATGCTTGTAATCTAGAGGCAAGCTAATGCATTGGGTTCCAACCGGTTGTGCTCTAAGAGATGAGTGGAATCTAAAGGATGAGCCTTTAGAAGGTAGGAGGAGCCGGTGAGGGGTCAAATCTTTGTTTCCCCAAAAAGCAGTTGACTATTCAAAAAGCAGTTGACCAGAACCAAATTCGATCAAAACCCAAGGAAAAATATTATCTAATTAATTCACCACCCTCTAAGTTCTTATTGTAGGCTTACAGAAAGTTAGAACTTGGATCAGGTTAACGGCGAGATATGGCTATTCATTTGTGGACTATTGTCATGTGGTGGCACCACCATGTGGCTATTACTTTAAGAGCAGGTCACAGCTCTCAGCCCAGCCGCCTTCCATTCTAGACTCTTTAATGTGGGTGGAGGCCCCGCTCCTTCTCTTGCACTGCATCTCCCTTCACTAAAAGCCAAAGCCCTCTAATTCCAACCTTTAATCACTCAGCCCATAAGGTGCTCTCTCTCTCTCTCTCTCTCTCTCTCTCTCTCTCTCTCTCTCTCTCACTCACTCGCACTCTGGCCCACAAGATGCTCTCTCTCCCTCTCTCCCCTTCACACTTAACTAGCACCAGCTACATTTTGCCCACAAGATGCTCTCTCTCTCTCTCTCTCTCTCTCTCTCTCTCTCTCTCTCGCTCTCTCACGCACTCGACCACAAGATGCTCTCTCTCCCTCTCTCTCCTTCACACTTAGCTAGCACCAGCTACATCTTGCCCGGAAGACGCTCTCTCTCTCTCTCTCTCATTCACACTTAACTAGCACCGGCTACATCTTGCCCACAAGACGCTCTCTCTCTCTCTCTCTCTCTCTCATTCACACTTAACTAGCACCAGCTACATCTTCTTGTCTTAATCCCCACTTCTGTTCAATTTCACATGACAAAACCGTCCAAAATATGGCAATAAATTAATGCTAAACTGGTTTATTTCTTTTACTATTATTCCTTCCCAAGGAGATAAGAGTTGGTAATTGGAACTATTAAAGTAAGAGAAAACTATTTCTATCTAGAGCCATACATCTAAACTGGCGAGTTAGCAATTTACCATAAAGAGAAATAGTTGACTTACTCGAAAAAAATGTTGACTCATCAACTTTGTGGTGGCCCAAATCAACTCTAAAATGGTTTAAAGTTTGTGCGAAAAGGTCAACTCACTCCTCTCTAGATTCCTATTGGGCTCAACTGAGAGGTACTACTAATAACCTTCTACTAGTTGGGATCACCTTCCTCCCCCCGTTTTGTTTAATGACCGCCTCGCCTTTCCTTAACATATAAAATGACGTCATAATAAAATAAAATTATTTTCATGAAAATCTTGAATTACCTACATGGTGAATATGGGTTAAATAACGTGAATTATTTCATGAGATCAAAATTACCACCATAATTTTACAAACGAAGCCCATTATATGAGTTTCTGTCGAAGCCCATAATGGAGTGATGGGAGAGAGAGAGAGAGAGAGATGGTCACGGGCCCATCTAACAGCTCACGGGGAAGGCCCCTGCCTTTCTGGTGCTTGGCTTAAATATTTAAATAATGATTCTCAATGGGTATAACTCTAAGTGTCTCACATAATAGGGTTTCCTTTTAAAGAAAAGCTGGTAGACATCACACGAGAAAGCTCCGCCGTGAGCCCCGTGCCGAGGTACGTGCCCTTCGGTCGCCAGCTGCTTTGACGTTCCACGTGGCCGCCAAACGAAGCCCAATTCTTCTGAGGAGAAGCAGCCAACGTCATATAAAATAATATTTTTATAAGGGATAATCATCGCGTCGTGGCCAAAAAAAATAAAATATCTCGTCTTCTTCCCCGCCTCCGTCACAAATCATCCCCTCTCTCTCTCTCTATCTCTCTCTTGGTGGTGTCTTTCTCTCTCTAGCTTCGATTAGTTGGTGGTGCGCGCGAAATCTCTCCTTCACGACTGGCTGGCTGCATCTTCTTCCTGAGGTCGGAGCTTCCCCACCTCCGCAGTTGCATGGTGCGCGGTCGTTCGAAGGTTGCTGGTACAGCGAGGATCTGGACGGGCGGTTTCGAGCTTCTTCGGGAGCTGCAGCTTTCGCTGTCGCGCGTGTTCTTCTGAGGCCTGGAATTTGAACTGAAATCAGCTCAGGCCGGCGAGGAGGAGGCAGGTTGTCCCCTCTGTTTCTGCACGGGCTTCTCTCTGGTCTGTCGGAACACAGAAATCGAGGAAGATAATATGGCTCCTAGTGTGGGCATCACCCCGGCGCTGATGGCGTTGGGAACCACGTCCGACCACGCCTCGGTCGTCGCCATCACCGTCTTCGTGACTCTCCTCAGCGCGTGTATCGTTATTGGCCATCTGCTTGAGGAGACACGCTGGATGAACGAGTCCATTACTGCCCTCCTTATCGTGAGATTCTGTTCCTTCCACCTCCGCGCTCTTGTTCATCTTATTATTATCGTTTTTATCTAAAGAGATGTGATTTTCTCACCGCGATGAGACGTCCGGTTTTTTTTCCTTTCTTCGTTCACGATGTAGGGACTTGCAACGGGAGGATTGATCCTGCTGTCTACAAAAGGGAAAAGTTCGCGTATTCTCGTCTTTAGCGAGGATATCTTCTTCATTTACCTTCTCCCTCCTATTATATTTAATGCTGGGTAAGCCTCATATTGATGGTTCTGGTAATCTTCTTCCAAACTTTCTTCGTCGTTGGGTGATTGTGCCAATCATGGCATTTGGCGCCTTTACCACTGCTACCTATTTCTTAGCGCGGTTGATGCTCTTAGATTCATTTCCGGCCCAGTGGTGCCTCTCGGGGAACTACAAACTTGCATTTTCGACTTTCTTCTGGTCTTCATTGCAGCGTTGCCGTCTATTACACCACTGAGATTCTATTTCTCAGCATTAACATGATGTTAGAGAAAAGATTTATATCCATTTTCTAATATATCTGGATTTGGATGACTAATCCGCATTTCTCCTGACCTGAATATGGTAAGCGTGAGAGACTTATGCTTCCTGGGCGATACACTAAATTAGCTTGAACTTGGATGCCAGGTATTATTAGTATCTCGTTATACCTTTCACAAATCGGCCTAGGAGTGGTAGACTTTAGGGTACCGTATGCAAGTAGTAGAAAAAGATTACTAATACTCATGGTTGGGAATTTGGAATGCCCTCTATTGTCCATCACTGGATGATTATCTTGATTCATTAGCCCAATAGAGTTGGCATCCTTAGAAACGCATATGTCAGATGAAGTGAGTTCTCATCATTTGATTTAAATGCCAGGTGGAACTAAACATCATCGTCAATAATCAACGAGAATTCGCTGCATTCTTGAAAAAGATTCTTCCATTTTTTTTTAGAGGTATGGACTCTGCATTCGGGTTGCAGAATCTGCTGAAAAATTGAAAATGAGACATAATTTCAATGCTCTAGGGCTTATCTATCTCGAGTGCAGGAACACCTAAAGTAGAGCAACTCAATGAGTGAGTTTTTTTATTTAGCCAATAAGGTTGACTGGAAGCATGCCCATTGTGCCCAAAGCGGCGGGGTCTATCTGTGATATATTCGTAGCCATACATATCTTTGATTCTACTGTAGCATCTTCACTGAAGTTTTGAAGTCATCCAAGAAATATTGAATAATTCTTTAAAGAGAACATCCAATGGTTTTGTATTTTCCAGCCACATTTCTATTAGTTCTCTCTTCATAACTTCTCATATTCATTGGTAAAATCTCAACTATTTGAAGTTGAGTACATAGATCCAATTACTGTATTCAGAAATATAGTCTCTATAATACGGGGAAATCAAATATGAACAGCGTTTTATGGCCGGATGCTACTTTGATCCGACTTGTATTTGGCAGTACTAAAATGACATCAAATGAACCTTATGCGAGCTCATGTATTAAATTTATTTGTCCTACTCTGAAAATTGCATAACTGTCTTATTAAAAGACATTCCATTTAGTTTTTCAATGAATGTTAGATGAATTCATATTTGTTACAGACGTGAGATTTGTTTTGCTTGGGTTTTTTTACAGCAATACTAGTACGGCTAGTGCTATATTCTAAAAACTAGGTTACCCATCTCTGCTTTTAGTTGTATACCAATTATGGTCCTTCGTCAGTAAGAACTTTGTTAACAGCTGTGAGCTATTTTCTTTCCTTCAAAAATTAGCGGCCTTATTATATATACACCAGAAGGTGTACTATGTTTTTCCAATCTTATTGATCTTTTTTAACAGGTTCCAGGTTAAGAAGAAACAATTTTTCCGCAATTTCATGACAATCATGTTATTTGGTGCAATTGGGACATTAATATCCTTTACTATAATTTCAATAGGTAATGTTTCATTATGTTCTTTTTAAAATTCTGTGTTAAAGTCTGAATAATCCTTAATTTATGTCCTGAATTTGAATCCCCCAGTCATTTCAGAACTTCTGCCCTTTGGTTATCTAGTGCTGGTTGGCGTCTATGAATACAAAACAAGCCATGAATGAACTAAGGATAGTCAGGATTGATTCTTTGTTCTGATTCAGGAAACAATAATCCAGAGAAGGACAACTTTTTCATGAATAATCTGACCACTCTAGTTGGGAATTTATTTTTTAACTCTTCTATTATTATCTAGTAGTTATCCCATTTTTTAAATAGAATAAACTTTGTTGGTAATATTAAAGCTTAAGTACAATGACCAAAATAGCGGGAAGTTAAGGCTTTGAGAGTACTTATATGAGGCATATTTGGCGATTGGGTAGCATTATATCTTCAATTTTTCAAGAGTTAAAGCCGCATTGAATTATTAGTGAGTAATATCTAATGACTTTCATTTTTTCCAACAAATAAAATTGAGACTCTTATGTAGCATACAACTATTTTCCGATTGAACAGAATTACATCTTCAATTTTTCCGGAGTTAAAGCAGCATTAACTTATCAGTGATTGATATCTCGTGACTTTCACTGTTTCCAAGAAAAGAATAGAGACTCATGTGGCATACAACTATTTTGCAAATGAGTAGGATCATATCTTCAATGTTTCCAGAGTTGAAACCACATTGAAGCATGAGCGGTTAATATCTCTTTACTTAAGCTTTACTTGAGTTGGAATGCCATATAATTATTAAAGATTTCCTTCTTTTGTTTTTAACTCGTTTCAAAATATTCGAAGTGCACATCAAACTCTCATTCTTCAATACAGGTGCCATCGTATTCTTCAACAAAATGAACATAGACAATCTCGATGTTACCGATTTTCTTGGTATATTTCAATCCTTAAAGAAATTTTTCTTTCAATCTCGATACTGCCAAACAAGGCTGATTTGAGTTTATATTTAATATTTGCAGCTATTGGGGCAATTTTCGCCGCAACAGATTCTGTGTGCACGTTGCAGGTAATGTGACATCATTGGCGGGCAAAACTACAGAATTTGATACCATTGACGAACTACATTATGACATATTTTGATTTATGAAAAACAGGTCCTTAATCAGGACGAAACACCTTTGCTCTATAGCCTTGTCTTTGGGGAGGGTGTGGTCAATGATGCTACATCAGTAGTGCTGTTCAATGCTATCCAAAAATTCGATCTAGTCCACATGGACGTGCAACATGGCTTGCAATTTTTGGGGAGCTTCTTGTACTTGTTTATCACAAGCACCTTTCTTGGAGCGGCTGTAAATAAATTTCATATTTCTTTTTTCATTATCATGGATTGAACTTCTGTTGGTGGGGTCTCAGTTTCTTTCTTTCTTTCTTTCTGTTGCAGGCCGGCTTACTTAGTGCTTACATCATCAAAACACTGTACTTTGGCAGGTCTGCTTTATAGAACTTATCCATATTTTATGTTATGTTGAAAGTCTCTAAATCAAAAAAACATAAAATAGAAATATTTCATGTTTGAATGATTGCATGCTAAATGGGAGACTTGAACCATGAGATCTTTGCACTCAACTAAAATTATTTTTTTGGTGAACGATCCAATTCTTTTAAATTGTTTCAGAGGAATACTCACATTCAATTTTTTCGTGTGTTATATCTGTCTTGTCCTTGCAGAAGAATCATCAAAAACTCGAACTGTAATATGTGAGAATAATTTATCATTAAATGAGATAATGAACACTTGTGGTTAGAATATATGGACCTAATTCCACCGGTCTCATTCTTTTGAAATTCACATGGTGGTAAAGTGGATCCTTCAACAGTGCTCTATAATTTTCTTTGATTCAAGTTTTAAATCGGATTGGGGTACATTCTCGAGCCAAATGGATCGGTTTTGGACTTTATTACCATTATAACATATTAGAAACATTGTGGTTCTTCAGTGTGCTCAGATGAAAACATGAAGCAATTGTATATTTCCGTCTCAAGATCCTATCTTCTGACATTGGTTCTCTACTCAGGCATTCCACCGATCGTGAAGTATCACTCATGATATTGATGGCGTATCTTTCATATATGTTGGCTGAAGTGAGATTCTTTCCGTCATCCATGAAAATATTCGATTTGACTTCTTTTTTTTCTCAGTCACATGCATTGATTTCACGTGAGCCTTGTTTCAGTTGTTGGATTTGAGTGGTATCCTCACGGTATTCTTCTGTGGGATAGTGATGTCCCATTACACATGGCACAATGTGACAGAGAGCTCAAGAGTTACCACCAAGTACCACCTCCCTGCCCCCTCCCTGCGTCATATGAAAGCCTCGAGGGATATTACATTGGGGCAAAGTGTATGACTGATTATTTTTTCGATGTTATTGCAGGCATACCTTTGCAACATTATCATTTATTGCTGAGATTGCTATCTTTCTATACGTGGGCATGGATGCTTTGGATATCGAAAAGTGGAGATCTGTTAGTGACAGGTACAATGACTCCCATACTTGGGCTCATTTTCTTCAAGTAACAGAGCATCAATCCCATGGGCCCTTCAATTCAAGGGTTACACTGGTTCATGTAGCTGCCAGTTCATTTCCTCATAGGGTTCTTCACCTCTTTCTTACAGCCTTGGAAAATCTATTGGCCTGAGTGCGGTGCTCCTGGGGTTGATATTGGTTGGGAGGGCAGCTTTTGTGTTCCCGCTTTCCTTCTTGTCCAACTTGATGAAGAAATCTCGGAACGAAAGGATCTCCTTCAAGCAGCAGGTGGGTTCTCTTCTTATGATCTTCTCTTGATGGTTCCAGATATTAAAAATATTATTTAAATAATAATAATAATAATAATAATCAGGTTATCATATGGTGGGCTGGCCTGATGAGGGGTGCTGTATCAATGGCTCTCGCATACAGCAAGGTAATTGTGTATGATATTCTTTTCAAAAAAATCGTATTTTCTGTGAAAATATTATAAATATACATGAAACTCTTTTTTTTTTTGGATGAAGTGGAGAATAATTATTTTCTGTTTAAATCATATAATAGTTTGCAGTCTCCGGGCATACCCAACTCCGAGGCAACGCATTCATGATCACCAGCACCATAACAGTGGTCCTCTTCAGCACGATGGTTAGTGTTCGTTCCATGCCACATTTTTGCTGAACCAGGGCCCCCTCGATCTGACGATCTTCCACGCCAGGTGTTCGGCCTCTTGACCAAACCTCTGACGACGCTGCTTCTCCCCCCCGGGATGAAGCGCCAGGACAGCATCTCCTCGGACCCTGGCAGCCCCAAGTCCTTCTTCTTGCCGCTACTGAGAGAGAAGGAGGGCTCTGAGATAGAACCGGGGGCGCAGAGCGTCCCTCGCCCCCCCAGCGGCTTCCGCATGCTGCTGACCACGCCGGCGCACACCGTGCACCATTACTGGCGCAGGTTCGACGACGCCTTCATGCGCCCCATCTTCGGCGGCCGGGGCTTCGTCCCCTTCGTGCCGGGCTCGCCGACTGAGCGGAGTGTGCACCCATGGTAGTGAGCCTCCGGCAGACTGCTGCTCGTCTTCTCTCCCCCTGCGGGGTTCTCCCCCAGCCTTGAAGCAATAACCACGGGATCTCCAGGTGATGAAGCTTGTAGATATGCAGTCTACGTTGCCGATTTTTCTGTTACTTCCAGCGCATTAATGTACAGGTATTCGTAATACTCGTAATCCATGGTTTTGTTTCGGAGGTTTTGTAGATTTGACCTATCTATGTGCTTCCCCACCCTTGGGCATCTTCAGGTGATGAAGCCATTATATATAGTCCACATTATGTATTTATTTTTATGTTATTTTCAGGGCATCATATGATTCAAAGTTTCCATTTATGGGTTTGTCTAGTTTTGGTTCGTACAGATACTTCTGACAATAACCCACTCTTTAGGATCTTCCGATGATGAGATTCATCTGGTCTTTGTTGCCTATTTTTCGGTGTGATTTTGAGTGCATTAGTCTATGTATGTTCGCTTATTCAGAGGTTTTATTGCTGAGATATCTTAGTTTTCATCCCTGAACTATTTTTCTGCCCTTTTCTGCACATTAGCATGTTTATCATGAGTATTTAGTTGCAAATCATATTAATATTTTCTAAATGGCATGCTTAATATATTTTATAAGTCTCACTTAATTGACAAAATTAAAAGAATAGTGACCAGCACTGCGGTAATGATTTAAATTAATTAGGGTCCAATATAAATAAATTGTGAAAGAAATTAATTATTATTAACCATTAAAATATGAGGAGGTAATATTCTTCATTAGGGTCACCTATCAAACCTTTTTGTGGTTTTGGTATTTAGCTTAATCAATACCAAAATTATGGTATAAAATAAAAAGTATAAGATGGATGAATATTATGAAAATTCAGATAATTAATTCTTATGCATAAGTTCATTGTTTTTTTGTGAAAAAATCCTATGATTATTTACACAAATGAACTGAGATATAAAATTAAATCTTAACTAAGATATTTTTTAAGATCATTATGCTTATATAGAAGGTAATTATCATTCATGTCAAACATTTCAGAAGCACTTTTGAAGACCAAATTCCTTTTACTAACCATTTATTTACGCATTAAATTATGGTATAAGATCACATCTAGAGAGTACTAGTTACATAACATCATATCAAGGCGTGTTTCAATCACTAGAAGTATTACGTTGATCCTTGGTGACTCTTTTTCAATTAAACCCATAAGTTGTTAGGTATTATTAGCCACATTTTTTCTGTGAAGTAACAATTTTTATTTAAAAAGGTCATTTGCATCTCATCGTTATTAGATTAATATATTTGCAAAATTATCCTCCTAGGCTTTAAGCGATCACTTTCTTCTCTTTCTCTATCCCTATCTCTACCTCTCTCTGCGTATGTGTACAAATATATGTTTTCTTCGAGTAAATTGGTAAATCCCACATTACGCGATTAGTCTTCTCCACTGTGATCAGCAGCCATCCGTCGTCTATTTCGTTTGACGAGGGGGAAAGGGCTTCGACGCTAGGCCGATTTATGAACCTGAATCCCGGGCCACATAGATGATGGGCTAAATTGGGCCTAAAATTACTTTTGGGCTTTGTTTTGGGCCCAAATTGGATTACGATCCAACTTAATTCGACCGTTACCAGTGGGGCCCCAATTGTGTCTTCTCACTGACAGCTGGCAGAACGGAAATAGTTGGTACGTCTTGGCACGCATCAACGAAATGCGAATCAAACATACGGAACGGAGATGGCGTTAGTCCATTGGCTGGTCTCTCTGATCTATGCTCATCTTACGCGATACGCACCCGAACAGTTCCAGCGCTGACTACAGTTAGCTGAAGTGGAAACCCTTTGAATACCCTAAAGTACCCCTCTCAAAGAGGAAATTTTCACGATACTTTCTGGGAGTGAGGTGGTTGTAAATAAGTTTCTTCAAAAGGGTATTTGTATATCCTGTTTGAAAAGGAACGACTAGGCGGGAGGGGGAGCTGTCCCATCAACGTGTCGACGTCTTATAGGCTATCGTTTTTCAAACATTTCTTTTTTATTTTTCTCCGGAAACAATCCTCTCTCTCTCTCTCTCTCTCTCCCCTTCCTGCTCCTCCTGGGGGTCACTCCCGTCTCAGGCAGAAGAAACAGAAAAACCGCCGTCTAGAAAGGTATCTCCCTCTCCCTCTCTCTCTCTCTCTCTCTCTCTCTCTCTCTCTCTCTCTCCCCTCTGTGTTGAGGTTGTAGTACGGCCCAAATGGGGGCCGGCGACTCTGTTTTATCATGACGATCTGTGTTCTCGATCGGAGGTTGTTGCTATCCTCCGCTTTTTTCTTCGCCTTCTTTTATTAAACTTTTCTAAGATCTTCCAGCCCGGGAACCTTGACCTGAAATATTTTTGCCGAGGTCACTAGATCGCCCATGGAAGTTGCAGACGTGTTTTTCTTTCTTTGCCTTCACTCCCCCTTCTGTTCTGTTTCCTTCTCTGGCTTGTAGTCGTCCGCTTGGGAATGTGTGTGTGTGTGGCATCCGACGGGTGAGATCCTCGGCCAGGTGGGCACTAGCAGTGGCCAGCCTTGGGATTCCACCCGCCGCTCTATCCCTCCATATCTGTTGTAGTGATACTTTTTTTTTTTTGTCTAAATAATGGAGTTATTTCCGTCTTTAATCGTTTTGTCTCTGCGACACAGTGATTCTTATGGGCAATTCCGCCTGTGTTAGAAATCTCAGATTGTTTGACAAAAGATAAAGATGCGATTGAATATCTGATTTCGACTTTGATAGCCCGGTTTTCTTGCTTAGCAGTCTAATTATTTCACGGCTTAGCAGGCAACAAAGGAGCTAGAGAGAATTCCCCTGAGTGAGGAGGATTTTCGTGTCAGGATGATGTTGCAGGTAAAACAGCCAAAGCTGTCCCACTCCTGGTGGTTCGACAGCCACAAGAGCAGCCCACGGAGCTCCACTTGGTTGGCCTCGACCCTCCAAGGTCAGTTGTTGATCGTCTGTCGCCTTAATCTTCCTAATCTACACGCGGTTATGACGCTCAGATAGAGGTTTATTTTACTTGTACTTGATTTTCTTGTGTTGATGATGATCATGATCATGACTGTGAGTTGGTTAAACAAAGCTGGTATAGCTATGGGGTATTAGGTCAGTTGCGGCCTGCCCGAGGCCTGTGGACTCTGGCAAGCCAGGCTTCGAAGCCGATTCCATTTCAGATCTCCCGTCAAAAGCACCTACAAGCTCCTATTGGGAAAACGGTGATTGCCTCTCCGGTTCTTCACATCCCTTTTAACACGGATTATGAGGTTTGTTGATTTTACTACGTACACAAATCTATAAATCATTGCGGCATCATGCTCATGATGCAATATGAAGCATTAAATACCGAAACAGAAGACGTCTAGGTGATCCCCACACGTGCAATGTAGGGTAAATCATTTTCCTAATGCCTTAAATCTTCATTTTTCCATGGGAATCTGTGACTTTCCTCTTTCAGAATATAAAATCGAGTTTGATCTTACTACATCTTTGACATAAAGCTGTAGGTGTTATATAGTATAGCCTTGAAGGCACTTGTTCCCACAATGGAATAAAATCCAGTGAATTATGATGGACCAGAACGTAGAAAAAATAAATGCAACAAAGGTAAGTTTTAACCAATCTATCCACTAAGGTATTTCAACATATTTCCCTGAATGGCATCCTCGGCTGTTGATGTATTATTGAGGTAGATCTCTGGCTGTTCACATTTTAAAGATAATTTTTTCAATACTTTGTTTATATACGAAATCCTGGCATATTTCAGGATTTCATTGACTCTGTCTAGAAATATTTTCTGTAGTGGCTATCTCTAACCTGTAGCATATTAGATAACAACACTGCCACTCATTTTTATCATCTTTGCTCTAATGAGAATGCTTTATTTTTTAATTCCTTGTTGGATTTTTTTTTCTCATGTATCAATTTTCTTAACTTCATTTATTTTAAATGTTTTTAAGTATCTCTGTGAATCAATTTACATGATGGGAGGAAAAGACTTGCTGGAAGAAACGCTCCCTTGTTTCCGCATTTGCTCCAATCCTTCAATAAGAAATGAGGTCCAGAATCCTACTGGATAATAAATTACATTCTTAAGATGGCCGTTTTAAACATTATTAAGCGTTATTAAAATAGGTTTCTTGGTTGAGTTCGTGCCGTCGAACAGAAAAATTATCGACCCTGATATCAATCCGGAACTTTCCATTTATTGTTCCCTGGTGGAATATATACTCGGTGCTGCTCATCTATGTTCATACTCTTTCATACCCCATTTGTTGTTCCTCCGTATTTCTTATTTTGGCATTGATAGATGGGCATCTGATTGAACTTAATATGCCGATTAGCTTCAATCCGAAGCTGCTGCTATCATTCAATGTGATAGCAAGAAATACTCTTTTATTCAATGACTTCTTTCGGACAAAATCAACTCTTTTGACCCAACAGAGCTAGATGAGAAGACCAAAGTGATGCTGAAGCTGATTGAGCAGGACGCTGACTCGTTCGCCCAGCGGGCCGAGATGTACTACAAGAAGAGGCCTGAGCTCGTCAACATGGTAGAAGACTTCTACCGGGCCCACCGATCACTGGCCGAGAGGTACGACCTACTGAGGAGTGAGACTGGGGCCCGCCGGCTGGCCCACCCAGGATCTCCAACGAAGAGCTGGTCACAGAATTCCAAGAACACCGTGGATAAGGAATCGAGGACTTCCTCGAATTCCTTCGAGTCAGGGGAGTCTGAAATCGAAGACCCCGAGCAAGAAGAAGATGAAGTCAGCAGCGAGATCAGGGAGACGTCCATTAATGAAGCTTGTGAGAATCAGAGCAAGGAGGAGACCGGCAGCGAGACAGTGAAGCGGATGACTGAAGAATTGGAGAGACTCAGGGAAGAGAATGTGGGTCTCAACGCTCGGCTTCTAGAGAAGGACGAGGAGAAGAGGGAGGTCATCAGGCAGCTTTCTCTCTCAATGGACATCTTGAAGGAGGAGAATGCAGAGATGAGGAAGTGCCTGAAGGAATCCAACAAATGGGGCCCCTTCGGGTTCAAGATGCCCAAGAAAGGGCTGTTTCAAGGTATGTTCCTCGGTGGGTTTGCTAGATTTCACCCTGCAATTATGGCCCTGTGATGGCTTGTGGTGATATCCCCAGATGTCAATTCTGGAAACTCTAGGGATCCGAGGTAGAACGAGGTATACTATATAAAAACTATATATAGTCTGTCATCTTTCAGCAGGCATGTTGGCATATTAATAATCACATTATTCCTTGCATAAATGACTTGATCCATTCTTTATTCATTGATCTAGGTGGCTAATCTGTTGTACCCATCTCCCCAATTTTGCAGATCTCATATTTTTATTGACCCATAGCCCCATTTTTTTCTTCTAGTAATATTTAAAAATATGAAGCAAAATTATCTGCTGAAAATTTGTTCTTTCACTAATAAAATGCTAGGTTTTTAGTAATAATCACATTATTCCTTGCAGAAATGACTAGATCAGTTCTTTGTCCACTGATTAGGAGGCAATTTTGCATACCCATCTCCCCATTTTTGCAGATTTTATACTTTTATTGAGTCATACCCCATATTTTCTTTTCTTTTTTTCTAGTCTCGGCTGAAATATTTTCTCTTCTAGAAAAATTTTAAAAATACGAGTTGAAACTATCCACTGAAAATTTGGTTTTTTCCCTAATAAAATGCTATTTTTTATTAATAATCACACATAAATGACTAGATGGGTTCATTATTCATCAATCTAGGTGGCTATTTTGCGTACCCATCTCCTCTCTTTTATTTTTCTAGTCTCGGCTGAGATATTTTCTCATCTAACCATATTTTAAAAAATATAAAGTGAAAGTGTCGCTGAAAAATCGGTTCTTTTCCTAATAAAATGCTAGATTTTTATTTTTTTAACAATAAAATAATAAAAATGGTTAATTTTTCTTGGGATTATGGCTGATCTGATCCAACCCATTAGATTAGACGGGGTTAATTTATATCGATTGATAGGCGTAAAATCGTTGCAGGCCCCCCACGAGGGCTGCTCACGAGATATCGCCGGGAATGGCTGATTGATTCCCTTCACGAGGACTCGCTGGCCTCCTCGGGCGGCGCCGGTGGCCAAACGTGACGGACGTCCGCCGACTGTAGTAAATACCCTTCTCTCTCTTCTCTCCCTCTCTCTCTGTCTCTTCCCATATGGGGAGAAGGGAGAAGATCACCGCAGGGTCTCCATCGTCCCTTGTCTTCTTCTTCCCCGTCTGCTGCCAACCTGTTGCAGCCCCCCACTTCACGTGCCGCTTCCCCCCGCTCGCCGGCTTTTATCACCTCCTTCCTCCATTCCTCTCTTCACTCTCTCTCCCTCTCTCTCTCACTCTCTCTACCCACAAGTCAGCCAAAGCTCGGAGCTTGCTACTGCGCAAATGGGGGTCGCCTTCTTACTCCCACTGGCCGCGGCGGCGTTCTTCTTCCTCGGCGGCGCCACCGCCGCCGGCCATTCCTCCTTTCTCTTCGCCGGCGGCAATGCCATCTCGGCGGCGCCGACGTACATCCCCGGCGCCCCCTCGCCGGCCCCCTCGCCGGAATATTCACCGGCTCACTCGCCGGCATATTCGCCGGTCCACTCGCCTGACTCTTCGCCAGCTCCTTCGCCGGCGACCGACGAACTGCCGGTGCTCCCCACGCCGAGGAGTGGCGGCGGCGCCGCTATGCCGACCATCCAGTCCAATCCGAGCCCCCCCGACCCGGATAAGTTCGGACCAACCACGCCGTTGGACCCCTTCGGCTCGTCGGAGGCAGCTATCCTCCCGTCGGCGGGGCCGCCGCTGTCACCGGCAATGATCTCCCCGGCGGCGGTATGCGTCCTTCTGCTGCTCCGCAGGTGGTTGTAGCCTATCCCTCGTCATCTCCTCTTCCTTCTTTTTCCCCACATTTCGACGGTGCGGTTACCGCTCCTTAATTCGACCTTTTCGACGTGTAAATTTATCGAGGAGGACTCAATCCGCACTTGAATGGCGCTTCTACCGATGAAATTCTTTTCCTTTTCTGTTCCATGAGCAGACGCTTGCTGTCGATGCTTGATCGGACGGTGGAGGTAGGCCGCGGTGGAATATAACTGGGTATGAATGTTGGGCGAGAGCGGACAAAGGAATTCCTCGTTCGCTCGGTCGATTTTGTCGCCTAGCGGATCGACGCTTCCCGTTGGAACATTTCACTTTGCATGGGGTTCCTACGATCCAATCATATGCCGCCATTTGCCTGCCCCCACAACCTCCACGACGATAAATAGAATACTAATAATAATCAGTAGTAGTAGTAGTAGTAGTAGTAGTTGTAGTCCGCCTTTTTAGAAAATACCAACTATGTACGAGTCCCGCCCTCTCTCTCTCTCCTCACCCAGCAAGTGGCCTATTGATTTGGCCAATAACGATTATTAAATCACTACAATGAGACAAGGGTGGGCTGGTTTTAAATCCATATGATATTTGCGCATTTCTGCTCATGAATTGGCTATTTATTATAAGTAGAAAGAGTCAATTGACTATCAATTTGTCACCATTTGCCTGAAACATTGGCTGTTCTTGAACTTTATGGTAACAATGGCTTCATCATGCTAAGTCTCCCCTTCAACTTGGTAATTGATAGCTGTGATGGATGGCCAAGTGGGGCGTAATATAACTCTCTCTCTTTATCTACCTATCTCTCTCTCTCACTCTCTCTTATCTCTTTAAGATTATTATATCTTCAGAATGTTTGTTGTGATAGTGTTAGAGTTTCTTGGAGCTATAATGCATTCACTAGAGAAAATGGAAGAAGTTGAGAGGAAATTAGACTCTGAAATCACAAGAAAAAACATCCAAAATCTATTGATTTGTAGCAAACTTTGATAGATACCAAAGATTATAATGCATGGGTGGGTGAATTAGTTTCTAATGCAACCATCGCATTTGTCAGACTTGTATGGTTAAGGGCAAGTAACAAGGGAAGTGAGCATTAATGATGGCCATTATAATGTCAACCAACAATAGGGATAGTCAGGACTAGAGTTAGAGACATCTGAGTCATGTCAACCTACACACATGACATGGGGAGAACTGCACGCCCTATAAAGCTACCAAGAACCAATGGAGCAGGCAGCTTTGGAGTCATCTTCCAAGGAGAGTCTCAAAGACTAGTCACCTGGAAGCAACCCCCATCTATCTCTCATCATTCCCTCTCCCAGTCTCTCTCAATCTATGTCTTGGTTTTCCTACTCTCCCTCTACCATCTTAGGACAATTATTAGTGTACCCCTTTTATCTTCAGATTATCATATCCTTCCCCATCCTCTTTCTCTCTTTGATAGTCTACCTCCCATGATGAGGCCACAAAAGGAGGGGTTGTATCAATTTCCTAATATGTGGTATGTTTATGTGATTTTAAATGATTTATATGAATTTCAGCTAAAGTGGATTGACATAGGCTTCAGTGAAATTGTTACATAATTCTTTGTTTGTCACAATGATTTGACATAAAATTTTATGGGTTAACACACTGAGTTCCATGTCATGTCAAACATAATGATTTACAATGGTTTGGTCTCTCCCTAGTCTACATGTACCATCCAAGTTCTCTACCCATACCTTCCATAATTTTCTCAAAGATAAATACCATCCATCATTACTATGTCATGGGATCAACAACTTATTTTAAGATAGATTTTATGAGTTTATCTTCTCATATTAGACATAATGTGACTAGCATTCCTATTTATTCTCATTACAAGCACTTCCTTAGATTCTCTTCATATATGAAATAATGTACTATAAACTTAAAATAATCTTAAAATATTAAATCGATAGCTTCTTTATTGATGTAGATGATTTTTACCAAAGAAGTAAGCTTGGACACACTGGAGCTTGCAGAAACAATTTCTCACATGGATTTAGTAAACAAATATGACATAATTTTCTATCCCTAAGTCATTGCTTGAGAGCTATTCTAGATGATTATTTTGTGGAGTGAATATAGTAAAGAACAACCACATGAATCTCCATCAACAACACTTATTAAGACAAATGATTGAGAAAGATATGTTATTTAGGTATATGATTGCTAAGCTATGATTGATCAGATGTTATTTAGGTTGACACTCATGGGGTATGAGGTCAGATTGCTTCATATTATCAATTTGATCAATTTTTGAGTAAATCAGGTCATAAATGTGCTAGTCAACTTTTGAGCAGCTTAAGGTTTTTCAAGATATGTTGTTCTTATTAGAAATATTATACCACGAGTTTGTAAATGTTCTATGTCAAATATATTTTCTCATGTGTAAAGAAATGTCTTCATTTCCAAAAATGTTTTACCACTTGTTAAGATATATTATACTTCTTTTTTTATATATCTCTCCAAATTGTGTAGATATAATTATGTCAACATACTTTCTCTCTCCAAACCAAAAATAGGTTGATGCACACTTTCTCTCTCCTCAAGTGCGTTGACACATTTTTTCAATGGGTATACATGTAGGTTGACCCGCATTATCTCTCATCTTATTTTTTTTTTTTATGATTTACTTTGACCTAATGCTTACATGATTCTTGACATCTCTTATTTTAATTTGAGGCCTGAAAAATATAATTAAATAAAAAATAAAACTATATCTCAAGATTTAGACCTTTGATTTGTGTCTATGTATTTTAACATATTTCATAGTAATTTTCCTAATTAGATTTATGAGATTAATTTATTAACATCAAAATCATTAAACATTACAGAACCCCTTGAATCCATAAGAAAAGTAAGCGTTGAATGCTCAAGCTAGATAGGAAAGAAAATCTGAGTTCTTATTAGTAGCTGCAAATACTCTAAATAATATGATCTGATAAAACTAAATAAATACAAACGCATAATTCCATTCCTAGTTGGCTGTACGGAGCTCTTTTAAGCTTAGAAACATGGGGCCCTCTTAGGTGAGTTTTTGGTGCGTGTTTGTCGTCTAATGGGATGGCCGTTAGATTTATCACATGGTTTAAATAAAAAAAAACTTTTTTTCTTTCCGCCGTTAGATCAGGATCCAACGGGGGCGAGTGCGTCGCACCAGGTGCAATGACGCAGTAACTCCACCGGCCGCTCCCGACTCTTCGCATGCGTAGTGATGTCTATACGTTTAGAAATAGGGTCCCATTGATTGGAGAAGATAGGTGCTAGTATACAGCGATACGTATCCAAAGGAATTTCTTCTGTTTTCTCTCTCTTCTCGAACCCTCCTCTCCTGACGAGGTGTCTGCTCTGTCTCTCTCTCTGTCTATCTCCTCCCACCGGCGAAGCTCTGGGCGATAAACGGACTGCCGTTCTCCGAGGCTTCGGAGAAGGTAGGCTCTTCCTTTTGACTCCATTTCTTGATTGTAACAATCTTGGGAAGAGTGGAGGAATATCTTGGTCTTGGTCAAGTCCCGTGGAAGAGTTGAGGAGAGGGAGGTCTCCTGTTTCCATCTTCCGCTCCGTTCGAGTGCCATCGAATTCGTCGTCTGAGAAGACGTGAAATCCAGTGCATTATGGGGAAACGGCAGATGGAGTGTTTTACAGCATCGTAGCCGTCTTATACTCTGATGGGGGGGCCCAAACTATTGGTTATTAACGGGGAAGGGGAGGGGATATATATCCCTAGAATTTTTTGATCCGGGTGTGTGGAATCGTTGAATTGAGTTTCCCGTTGTTAAAGATATTGGATCTGAATTCCGAATCCCAATTGTCATCAAATGATCGGTCTTCTTTCTCTTTGACTTGCCAAGTTCTTGATTGCTTTCTTCTGTTGCCGTTCGTTTTTTTCCGTTTCGCTTCTTATCTATATACGCTGAATCTTTTAGTTAAATTTACTTTTATAGTCACGTGCTGTCCGAGGCTCTAAGTGGACTTAATTATTCTAGATAAATTGCGTTCTGGTGGGAATTTCGGCAATTGCAGAATGAAGGAAGGGGAAATAAAGGTATTTTAATGATTAGTTGTAGTTCTTTTGTTATCAATCCACTTTTTATGCCTTTTTGTTTCTAAATTTATTGTCAGTCATGGAAATCTGGAATCGCTTGCTTTCATTTGTTAGCTATTATACTGCTATCTCCAAAATGCTTGCAGATTTTTATTTTTATCGGGGATATAAATGTCTACCTTTGTTCTCGTTACAGTACTTTTAAATGTCTCAGAAAGGTAACTTAACCTGGACCTAGTCAACTGTGTGGAGCATCAAGGAATCCTCTAATGCTACAAATTTAATGAACCAAGAGAGGAGGAAGGCCACAGAGGTCACCAGTTCCATAATTCATCATATACCATAACCTTTTCAACTCTACATTGATGCTTTGTCGATTTTCAAAAATTGTGAAATGTGACTAGTTTTGTTGTGATTAATTACACATGTGTGGCAATCATATGCTTTGTCAGTTAACTATAATATTTTTAAAATTCGTTTATTTAAATTATGTGCCTTGCACGGTTGCCCTACCCTCTTCTTTTATAAGGTGTGGAAGACGCTGCACTAATGTATCCTGGGGTAGTGTTATTTAAGCCATACATGATGACAATCTGACATCATAATTTTCTTATATCCATTAATTTAAAAGGTCGACTTTCTGCATGTAAATCTGTGTGTAGAGGAAGCTACGCTATCAATGATTGTGCTTTGTTCCACTTGCAGTATATAACCCTTTTAGTTTAAGGTTTCATCGTTGTGATATTTTTTGTTAAAATTTCTTGTCTGCGAATTCAGGGGTCTGCCATGAACATATGATCATTGACCACGAAAATTAGATAATTAATATCGTAGAAAATTAGAGATTTGAGTCTACTGAATCATGTTGGCGCATCCAATTATCATTTTGAGGATCACACGTAAGCTTTATCTTAGTTCCTGATTTTGAAGTCTCAGGTCTGTTCCTAAACTAGAACAACATGCATATCGTTCCCATTTTTTGGGTTCCTTTTAGATCATGGGTGATTGGCGATCACTGTCTCTAGACTAGGGTGACCACATAATATGATGTCAGAGAATAGATTTCATCAATACTTGAACTCTTTTGGAGCCATCGTTGATGGTTACTGCAGTAGGAATGTTTTTTATGACATGTAGTACTTCCCATTTTTAGAAAAGCCTGACACTTTGGCAGCAGCATTGCCTTCCTTGGTAGATATCACGGTTTTTGCAGTTTATGATATTGAGCAATTTTATTTTAAAAGCCAACACCCTAAGTTTTACATATTTTTTACATAATTTTCAAAATGAAATCTTTCAACCTGCTCATCATTTGGTTATTTATCTCTGCAATTTTCGTTGATATCTGGAAAAATATGAGTTCTCAAGAACTCATTTGTTTCATCACGAAGAAGCCCTGGCCTATGGCTCTTGGTTTTGCAAGCAACGGACTGCTTCTGTCTATGCTTATCTTCAGCACTAACATCTCCAGAATTCTTCAGGACCTGATACCCATATCAATTGTTCTCAGTAGAAAACTGGTAGAGAAGAAGCTCTTTTAATCGCAATAGTGACAAAGCCAACTGAAATAACTAAGAGTGGCTGAATTATGATCACATGATTACAATCATTAGTAGATGAGCCTGATGGGCTTACTGGGCCGCCAAATATGGTCATTCCCTACCACTAGGAGTCTTTAGACCTGCTGTACTGACAGATATACCCGATACCAGATATATCTTATTATATGACACTTTCATCCCCTTTTCAATCATAATTTGTCAAGCTTCAGAAATTGTGTTACTCATCAAGTACATCTCCATCTGGCTTCTCTGAAAATATGTGCCCCTTGAGTTTTTCCCTCCTTTTGCCTTCTGAATTCCATTCTCAACATCTATGCCTGATCTCTGATTTATAAGCTGCAGACACCCTTCTTAGAGTTTAATCCATTCTACTGAGTAAAACTTCATGTCATCTATGACTCTGAAAATTCCTTTCTTCAGCCAGGAGAGCAGGTATCTGGGAGTGAATCTTTTACACATTCCTTCCTTATTTCTCCATTAGTTTAACATATGTTTGGAGACAACGCTGAGATTTTCAGCCTCTAGTCAGACCTTAACATGCTTGATTGAAGCCATTCAAGAAGGCACTGCTGTCTATTTGAAATCAAACCTCCGAGTCCTGCCAAATTCAAGGGAATTCTACTAATGTCCGAAGACGTGCTTTTGAATTCATCCACTCACATGCTGTTCAGCATAAGATTCTTCCTCCGAAGACAATATTTCTTCTGGTGTAATTATCAGGACAGATTAAAAATCGATCTTTTCGCTGAGAAAAATGTCATTAATAACCCTCGTGCAAGAAGATAAAATTTATCTTGTTGCGAAATGATGTACTGGTTATTAAAAACGAAAAAAATATGACAATTCAGTGGAGATTTTGTCGAGACGACTGGGTAGGTTGGCATTCAAAAACCCCCATAATGTAAATGAGAAATTTCTATTTTGTTCTACTTTTGAGAGAAAAGGGATTAACTGAAATAGGGGCAATTGGACAACAAAAGTCTGTGGGTTGAGAACAGACCTTCTTTGTTAGTTTTATTACTTGCTTAAAAACAATATAAAGTTTGTATTTGACGGACTTTAAAAAATTATTTCCGACTATTTATGCTATTATGTGTTCGAATTTATACTTTTATTTTGACACTTATCACATTCCTTTATTAGTTTTTTTTTATTTTTTAACTTTTTGGGAATTTAGGTGTAAGGGAAATGATGGAGGGTGAAAATATCCTCATTTCTTCCTCTGAACTATTAATGATACTGGTATTATTAGGTTTTTGAAAAACGATTAAAGATTTTTTTTTCAGCAACTGATCGAAGTTAGGGATTCAAAATTCCGAAGTTGTAGTGGATGAAATGTTTAGATGTAAAGAAAATATTTCCACCATATTTGTTTGAATGTTTTTTGGTTCCAAAGCTTCCTACTCATTTCGTTTTATATTTAATTATCCATCATGGGTCTTTATCCATCATGCATCCACTTGATGAATTCTCTGATTGATACATGATCGTCAGCTTTGATGATTAGGTGGTGAACGGTTATGTTTCTTTCTCCTGATGCTTCGTATGATATGGTTTTGTCATTGCCGCAGGAAGCAAGTTCTTCTACTATGGAAAATCCAAGTGCTGATGCTATTATGTTTCCACACATACAACCGTTATGTGATTCTGGTTTGGTAGCGCCAGATAATCAGGAGCAGACTGATCATGGTCCAGGCATCTATGCCATTCCTGTCCTTCCATTTGTTGAGCAGATGACTGGGTTTTCTCCTGGCAGTCTTATTCCACTTACATACAATGTACCGACGTGAGTTGGCCCTACACTTCTGGATTACCTTTCAATGTCAGATATTTAACCGTCCCCTTTTGTCTCTGGTGATTATTTATATTCAAGTTGGAACCGGCATCATTCACATCTGTGCTGTGATTTAATAGATAGAGATTATCATGCATTTTATCAGGTTATTTGTAGAAGCATGGACAAGGACTGTTGACAACTTTCTGGTGTTGGTTAACTGACGTTTGCATTGCTTAGTAGGCCTCAAGGAACAAATGACTTTTCTTGCTTGTTTCAGTATAAAGACGAAATGCATTTGGAAGAAAGTAAATGCACTGAAGGTTTTGAAATGGATGAGTGGAACTGCATTTATGATTCTTGCCTTCGTGTCCTCCATCCGATCTAAAACTAATGAAGTATGAAATGAAAACTTATCGTTGGAAAAAAGAGATATAGAATGTTAACCACTTTCATAACTTGGGAGTCTGGAGATCAATAACCTATTCAATCTCATTTGCTTCTCTTTCTATCTTGACTGGTCTGCGTGCCTTCACCTCTCAGACGAAGAAAAAAAATCAGGTTCTCTTGAAATATTCTTTAGTAAACGCGATCAATTTGAAAAACAGATCAAATTTGATTTGAAAAGTCATAGGAATATCCCCTTCAATGTCTGTTTCGGATTCAGGTTACCTTTAAACGTGTAGCATATTTGGCTCATAAGCAAGGGTACAGTGAGAAGCAGCATGGATGCACGGTGTTTATGAAGAACAGTGACTTTTGTGAGATCAACTGAACGCCTCCTGTCATCCCTGCCAATGAGTAACACAAATCCGATTAGTTCTGCGTTCCCAGGTCATTGTCGTCAAATTCTGATTCATTCCGAGGAATACAGTGCTGCACTTTGTGCAGTTACTTGCGTCAAGACTGAAATAGAAGCTTAAATAACCAATGGACATAAATCATTTTCCTTTGTCTTTTGTTGCCCTCTATTCTTAGGATTGATGCTTTCAGCTGACTGAGGCGAAAACAAATTTGATATTCTTGAACATTCGGAGTTACCATTTGATGTGCGGCCTCTTTATAGAAATCTCTAGGTTCTGTTCTTCACAAAAATATATGCATGGTCTTTCTGAACCTCTATTTTTATTTTTATTTTCATTTTTCTTTTTATTTTTTTTGGTCCAATCAGAGGACCGGATCCTGCTGGAGGAGCCAATAGGGATACTGATCAGGTGGTGCAGCAGCAGCAGCAGCATGCCCCACACGGACAAGTGGTTGTAAGAAGATTCCAATTCGCCGTTCAAATCGACTTGATGTTGATCTTCAAGCTGGCAGCTGTGGTTTTCCTGTTCAATCAAGAGGGATCTCGGCAGAGACTTGTCCTGCTCATTCTCTTTGCGTCAATTATATACTTGTAAGTTGGCTTCCACCTTCACCTTAGAATGGATCTCAACACAAGAAGGCGCTCAAACATCTGAAAAAGAGCACAGAAAATGGACAGAAGACAGTGAAAAGAGTAAAGAAAATGGGCGTCTGGAGCCCAATGTAGCCCCTTACCTTGAAATTATTCCCCATTGAAACCTACCCAGATCCATTTCTTTTTCTTCTTTTTTTTTTTTTTTTCCTTCCTTTGTTACCCATTATGTGCATTTTTTTCAACTCTGATCAATCTTATGGTCTCTTGATCTACAGGTACCAGACCGGAGCTTTTGCACCACTTCTTAGGTGGCTTCGGCAAGCTGGAACCCCTCCCGTGCCGCAGGCTCCCCTCAGGCAAGAGAATCCCCTGCCTGCTGCACAGGACCGTGCGAATGACCTTCTGCCTGGTAATCTCACCCACCTTGCCTCACAGGCACCACCAATAGGCAGACATAGCTCAACACTGTTGGGTGATGAATGAGAAAAAAAGAAGAAGAAAGAAAATTGCCCAAAGCAGCAGTGATGGTTAGGCTAGACACGCCGCCATTATTACTGTTTACGTTCACAAGAACACCGCTTTTTGGCTGCTCTGGATCGATCATATGCTTTCTGGCCCAGTGGTAAGGAGAGGGTTTTTCGTTGATTTGCAGAGGGGAATCCTCCAGGAGTGGGCGACAGAGACAGGGGAGCTGGGAATGGAGGGGAGATGGAGAATGAGGACGAGGCGGAGGGCGGCAGAGGGAATGGCGTCGATTGGCGGGGGATTGTGAACGAGATCAGGATGCTGGTCACCAGCTTCCTGACCTCGCTCTTCCCCGGCTTCCACCTGCACAACGACTGAGGACTTCCCACCGCACACCCACCAGGTGCTGAGATCTCTAACCTCTGTATTCTTTTCTTTGTAGACAAAAGATGTTTTCCAGAAGGAAGCCCAGAAATTAATGAAGTCTGTTTGGCAGCATTCCTCTTCTCTCTCTCTCTCTCTCTCTCTCTCTCTCTCTCTCTCTCTCTCTCTCTCTCTCTCTCTCCCTCTCTCCCTCTCTCTCTCGTAGGTAGTGGGCATGTTTTGGAGAAATTGGGTCCTATAGAGTGTTGATAATATTGACCGTTGTCCAGACCATTTTTTATATTCCATCGTTTGATCAAGATCTTGTGGAAGATGTTATTGTTATTGTCTAAAATGTAGTATGTCTTTGGGAGTGTCACGGGAAATGTACTGCACAGTGGTTGTATTGAATTCCATAGCCAAGGCTTATGATCATCGATTTGAGTTACGGAGATATTCAAGGGAATATTAAATGAGGCGAAAATAGGTGTCAATCAAAGGCCTAATGGGGGCAATGACCCAGAAGATACCATGATGCAAGAACTTGTTCTTCTTGTTTTACTATAATTGGACGCAACTGTTCTAATAGATTTAGAGCTGGGACAGTTTACCTCCTATAGAAAAAGGGAAAACAAAAAAAAATGCAGAATAATAACATAGAAAAAATCTAACAAGTTTTAGTGTGTGTGTATATATATATATTCATGGAAGCAGATATATTTAAGGATAAATGTCTGAGAATATCTCATGATATGAAACAAGCACAGCCACAAACAAATGTTCGAAGAAGTTTAATGATTGATTAGAAAATATCTCATGTTTCCTTGTCTTCTATGTGCTCCAAAAGCGCATGTGTCAGTATGTGTGCCTCTCTCTCTCTACCTCTCTCATAGGGTCTAGAGAGAAGGTTAGAAGACCAGCATATCTTCTAACACGTGCTTTCTTGCCTGGCAGGTGAAGATTTCAGGACATGGCCTTCTCTCTTGCTCATCGTCATCACAGCTTTAACCCTAACAACTAATTATCTTGCAAGAAAGCTCTACAAAAAACCCTTATTGTATATATAAGGTGGTGATTCTTGTCGGGGCTCCTCACCTCCGAAAAGAAACAACCCAATAATAATAATAAAAAGTCTAGTTTTGCACGGTTTCAGACCCAATTCATCAATGGAAGGTCAAAGGTGGTGATTATTGTACGGGCCGTCATGAACACATTTTCCCATTTACAAGATAAACATCAAGATAATTCCAATACAGGATTTAAAACAAGGGTTCATTGCTATATTAACCCATTTTTTAGGATGAGATGAGACTTTAGACGATGGGCAGCAGCAATATGATCTCGATGAATAGAGATAAAAAAAAAAAACAAAAACAAAAACAAAAACAAAACCTTAGCAGATCTACATTCATATTCTTGTTCATTTTTTCCATTAGCCATAATAGAACTATTTAAAACTGCTAGTTCCAGATGAAAACCCATAAATTTGGGATTCCCTGGCTCAAAAGGCTGAAGGAGCCTCCAAATTTTATGATTTCTCCTGGCAAACAGAAAGGATCCATTGGAAGAATAACAGGACGAACAATTGAAAAAAAAAAACGGAATGATATCAAGAAATTAATGGAAAAATGAGCGATAATTACATTGCCAACTCTGGAAACAATAGGAAGCTAGCTTGAGCAGATTTGGGTTTGATTGTTCAGAAAGGGAATGTGGGACCCAAAGAATCTTACTCCACGTGAAGAAGATTGCCCATCAGTGGAGGCGGAGCTTGCATCACCGGTTAATGGCCGGATGGAAAGCGGCCTTGGTCAAATCTCCCGCTGCCCATCTCTCTTGGCACCATAGAAAGGAAGCATCATCCCCTGAAAAATGTTTAATCTTAGTCTTCTCTTGTCAATGTGATCACGCCCAGAGGAGACCATCAAACCCAATCTCTAGGTTTGAAACGGGGACCTCCCCAATGTCAACTTCTGCCGCTTGCTCCTCGTCCGTTGACTCCACATATGGCTCCAGTAGATCGGCAGATCTTTCGGATGGAATTCCGTAGTCCTTGAGAATGCAGGACGAAGAATTGGCAGCTGCCTCCCGTTCCAAAACCACAAGGAAATTGTCTTCGAATTCAAAGATCAGATACTTCTCCTTGCAGGCTGCACAGAGAGAGAGAGAGAGAGAGAGAGAAAAAAGTGATGAGAGATGAGATCCGGAGGAGAGAGAGTCTATTGGATGAAAGAAAGTCAACTAATGCGCCCAAAAGTGTACACTGCTACTTACTATCAAGAAGATGGGCGAGATGTCTGATATTTTTTATGCGAGTTCCATTGAACTTTAGAACCTATGAGGGGAAATAGCAATTAGATCATTTCCATCGATTATATGATACATCTATCATGAGAAAGGAGTGGAGTTGACCAACTACCTGCTGATTGCCCATATCCTCGTAGCCAATGTTGACTTCATTTGCCAGGACCTGAGAGAAAGAGGTTGAATGGCATCAACCGAAGTAGAACTCATATTCATGAGAAAATTTGGTTTCACGAGAAGCATCCAGCTCTTTTTCTTTTATGATAAAAAATAAGCATAAATGCCGTTTCAAGATAGTATGGCATCAATGATCCTGAAAAGCATACAAAGCTCCCCATGCATTTATCTCATCTGACAGAGAATAACATAACCATGGCTTTGAACGACATCTTCTGAACTTTTAGCAGATTCAAATGTAGTCTTACGATGATAAATGGAATAAAATGGCAGAAGGAATTAGGTGAAATATTATATCAATCTAGAATGTTGCTGAAAATCCCTTGTCGTAAAGGGTAAATAAATATTATTGTATGTATCACACGAGCATAAGATCATAATAATTAGTGTTCTCCATGCGGCAACCTCTTCATATATGCAATTTTCATAGCATCTGAAATAATAAGAACAAAGTTCATCCTCTAATAAGAGTTGATTCTATCATGTGACGCTATATTCTCTTGAGAGATCCTCAACTTTTTTTCCGTTTTCATTGTGCAGAGATAAAAGACCTCCTGATTTTCCAAATTCCTTGAGCGAGCGAGCAGAATTAAAACAGCAGGGTGGTCATCAGCTGACCTGTGATAAGATCACAATTTCTTCTCCCTCGAATTTCGCAAGCGAATATCGTGCTTTTGCCAATAATTTCAACTGGAAAAATATCATCTCTCATCATTAATCTTCCCACAGAAGAAGGTACAGTCTGAAGAGCAGTAGGCATGGAATACAGATGCGTATATATCATCAACTTACCCCCATGGTGTCTTCGCACTCCTCACTGTCATTTGAAATGAAAACTAATGAGCCATCTCGTCATGCAAATTCAGCATAAAAATCATAAATAATGCTTACTCGATCAGTGGTTCTGAAAGAGGAGTGAACACTAGCCCAGCGACAATCAGATATGAAGGTTGTCCTCCTTCAATATGATAGGGGACCTGCATAAATGTGGGGAGGCATCAGGAGGAAGGCTAACAAACGAGAGAATTCTATTAATGATTTTTCTCTTTTTTTATCAATGGTGACATGGGATATTGAACTAGATGCTCACCAAAAGCACACGTGGGTTTACAGTTGTTTGAACTTTCAAGTGAACCCCGTCTCTGATGATGCCAAGGTCAGCCACATCACCAGCAAACCTGAGGATTGGAGGGAAAAGCAGCACTATTGGTCAATGAAATGGATTCCAGAGTACAAAGTTAATAAATTAGAGGAAGTGTGGGAAAGTATTTTCAGAGAAAGATCAGGAATGCTAGAAAAGGAAATGTAGAAAGATTGAGAACCGGTATGACAAAAAATATGGCATTAAAAATGTAAAGAAAGGTTTAGCAATGGTCAGAGTTAATTTAATTGATTATTTAAGGCATACCAAGAGACGTGGCAAGAGAGGATCTGCAGAACTATATAAAAGAAAACCTTAAATACTAAGAAAGTACATAAACTGTGAGAGAAGGAAACATCGGGACGAGTATATTTTAATTACTTCTGACTTATAAGGTAGCGGAATGCGATACGTTCTGTGGACCGAAATGGAACAGTTCCTTCACACCCTATTTGGACACCATCAAAGCTCACTATCACGTCCCCCTGCAAAGGCAAAACATCTGATGGGCTATTTCAATAGAAAATGAAACCTTGACAGAATAAATATTCATTATTATTTTAGAGCTAAGAGATAAGTGCCAAAACGTCAGAGCCAAAAGAAAAGATGTTCAAACAAAAAAGTTTACACGAAGAACTTTTAAATTCCATGAACAATCTGGAAGGGAATGACTATCAAATTCAAACAAATTAGTGGAACAGTGCAAATCCCTTGATACCCTTTTTTTATCGTTTTACATTTTGATCACATCACATAAAGAAATGGACAGAACGAGAAAACATCAAGCATTGGTAACCGGGAATCAAGAAATTAATAAACATCAGGACCAGACAAGCAAGAGCTAATGAACTTCAACAGGATCAATGAAGAGAAAAAGGTTAAAACGTAAAGATGCAAAGCAAAAAAGCTTGCTGATAGGATGAATCTCATATGTAACAGAATGAAAAATATCTTAATGACAATGAAGATGCTCCGATCACTTCACATGATCATTTTATGGTCAGTTTAATGAGACAATGCAATTAATATGTACATTTCTACAGAGAGACCGTTTGCTCAATCATCTAATAAATTTGGAAGGATATTTTCTGTTCAGTTTGATAAGACTATGCAATTAGTAAATGTATATTTCTACAGGGGGGATACCTTTCTATAGAGGTATTGTTCGGCCACGCATCTAATAAACTTTTGTCCTTTACGACATTATAATGAAATTTCATACTTTTTTACAATTTTGACATGGTACCTTCCCTCTGGCGTCACACAAACCAGATGCACTCCAATTTACATCCCCTCTTAGCTCATGAAATAACTCATCACGGAAATCATAAATTTGTCTCCCCAGAAGTTGATGCACATCAAATTGAAAAACAGAGGAAAAAAGAAACGGAAAATTCAGCCTACTGTAGATGACTGAAAGGTAGTGATTCCTGAGTTCGATACCTCTTTTAAAATATTATTTGCAGCAGACGTAGGTTCAACTCTCCGGACTAGAACACCCTGTGGATCATGGAAAATTAAACAAATGATAAATCAACCGAAAATCATGAAAACTTTAGACGGCAGATACTATGGATTGTTGAAGTAGCATACGATAAAACAGATTGAAATTCAATTGATATTCTCCTTTAGATAATAAAGTGAAAATTTTCCCAATAAGTTATTTAGATGATTAATAACTTACCTACTAAAGTCATATGTCGAGAAGTTCAGTTAGAACATAGTCTCAATCTTCTAAACCAGATTTCCGATGGTTTATAGGATATGAGTAAAATCGTAGATTTTCAAACAGAAGCACAAAAGAGTACTTGAATATCACGGGAAAAACCAATGTAATTGGAAATTCTCCATTTCAACATAAAGTAACTATGTGGCTTTCATGATAGATGAGATGAAACAGACAGAGGAAGAGCGAAAAAAGTAGAAAGAAAGAAAAAGTCTGTCCTGGGATATGGCAGAGAAGATCCAATTGCAATGTTAACCAATGCCTCGACTCCCAAAGATGGGAACACTGGAACAATGCAAGGATGCAACTATTTTTGAGGTCAGGAAAAGAGAAATGCATAATTTTGATACAACCCCACTACTGACCTACAGAATGCGTAAGAAAAAGTCATGTGTGAGAGGGGTTATAAATACAGCACGAGAAGAGGGGGTCTACGGGAGGAAGATCGTATTCTGGAGAGGCGGGGAACCCTCGCGAACATTGTTCCCATACTTTACTCTTATGTTCCTCTTCTTTCCCTTCTCGTCTCTGTTATCTGAAGGGACTGTTCATTCCATCGTTTTGTCTCTCGTCACTGACGAGAGTCCATGAGTTCAATACAAGCATTTTGTCCCTCCTGTTGTGTTCAGATTCGATCCTCCCATAGAGAATCATATCAGACTTATGAAAATATATACGAAATCTAACATAAAAATGCCTAAAAGGGCTGAAGCTAATGGCATATCAGTTCAATCTGTCGCACAACAGAACCAAAGCAAAAAGCACAAATTATTGTCAAAAAATGAAAACAAGGATTTATAGAATGTGTACAACATTTATAGTTTGAGAGGAAACAAACTTTTGGTCGACCTTTTCACTCTCGAGTGCCATAAGGAACTTCACTACGGGAACAATACAGACTTATGGAGAGATCTGTCGGCGGAGTAATGAGGATTGTGATGTAAGTTATAAAGTATTCTTTGCACCCCCTCCCCGAAACATTCCCTCGCTAAACGACGGTGATTCCTTTCTTACAGATGGTGGACTGGGGGCTGCGGAGCCCATAGGATTTGGAACTTTTTCCACTTCCCTTGTACTTCTGCTGCACCTCCCTCTTGCGACCCTTCACTAGCAAGCCGCACTTCATTTTCTTTCTTTCATAGAAACTACGTAACCAGACACCATCCGATTCAAGTTTGGGTCATACGAGGCAGAAAACCAGCTAATTTCAGGCCTAATTTGGTTTTACTCGATGGTTTTCCAAATAGTCAATAGGTGATCCGATCCCCCAACTCCCCCCCACACACAACACACAATGAAAAGAAAAATCAGAGCTAGTGCTGATTCTGAGAGTGCCACAGGTACACTATTCTTCCGGTATGCATCCAATGAAATGGACAAGAAGAATGCACGATATCCACCGATTCATCCGATCCCTACCCCACCCCACCCCCACAATGAAAAAAAAATAAAATCAGAGCTAGTGCTAATTCTGAGAGTAACATAGCTACACGATTCTTCTGGTTCGGATCCGATAAAATGGACAAGAAGAATGCATTAATGCATGACATCCACCAATTCATCCGATGTAATGAACATATGATTATTCATAGTGAAGAAAACTCTGAAACTCCATAGCATCCTATTCTCAAGTAACGTGAAGCAGTGGAAGCAAATGGCTAATGCAATATGTGATCAAGTCCTTATAGTTTTCAACTCTAGTTTCAAGTAAAGCTTTGAAAAGAAACTCCAGGATTCCCCTGTCAGAGACGATGTTGGCTGCGTTTAGAAGATCTCAGATGTTGAATCTAGCATAAAGTTTCAGGTTTGTGGGTCTCCATAAAATTAACTTCACCTTAAAGGACGAGGGGGGCACAGTACCAAACATATTAAGGGGGTAGATCCAATAAGGGATTGATTTCAGGGTTCAGCACAGTCCAATTGTGAGGTGCTTAACTCCATCATATGTGTCATGCTGAACAGAGTGATATTTTTGAAGAAATCAACAACAGGACGTAGTCATGAATGATCACATGCCGAAGAGGTTTCAAATTTATTAGGGGCTGGGGCAGGGTCATTTCCCAGCAATTTTTTAGCAGTTCCTTACGGTACAATAGACGTTAGAAATGAATACTTTTAACTAAAGCGTTATTGGGAAGGAGATGAAGGGTTAGAGATTGTTAGGACTCCTATCACAGATCTTCCAGTGGATCATAAGATGGATCAACCAATTAAATGTATCTGTACCTGTTGGTTTGTGTGTGTGTGTATTTTCTCAAGAGATGTGGTATTTGCAACATTCCCAAAAAAGTGCAGTTGTACGACAGACGTCCTTATATAGGTACCATTAAGGACACTGGAATTACTTGATGGATCTAACTTGCTAACAGGTTTTCATATTAAGCATCATACCTCATTTGATTGTACTTTTAAGCATGCGCGCAATGCTGGGTTCTCTAACTTTTGAAGCAGGACACCAAGGCAAGGAAATCCTGTAAATAAACGAAAATGAAATCACAACGTTGTTTACAAAAATCCTCAAGAAATCGCTTCAAAGTATGCAGATGTTTCTGAGAAAGTGGGTAGAACAGGAATTGAGTAATATGACTGGAATACACAGGCTATAAGAGGTACCCAACCAGTGGACACTAATATAAAATTCAATTTAAAAGTAGATAATAAGAACCTTTTATAACTTACCCAGTCAATCACAAAAACTTGGGCAAATGAAGTTGACAAAAAAACATACATGTAATAAAGTTAAGAAAGCTGACAACTTGAGAAAAGTGCAATAATATGTGAGCCGGGAATAAAATGATTGGTATTAACTACTAAAAACTATATAGTTGTTGCTAATTGTGTTGACTGTGGAAGCACTTACAGCATGTCAAAGGAGAAATGATGAGGAAGGACATCAGGTTATTTCCAGCAGAGCCGATCTTAAGATCCACCAGTGTGATATCAACCCGTCCTTTAGAAATCCGAGTCATTTGTACTTGAATCCCTTCCAATTAATTGATTAAAAACCACCAAAAGATCATTACGTAAATGACTCCTTATACGTATTTTTACTTGCCATATCCAGTTTTTAGATATCACCTTATCTCATGTCCAGATTATACTCTAGCATGAAAACTGTATCTAAGCCATCTCTGCGTAAACAGAGTGTTGCAGTTCTTCCCCATTTTTACAAGTTCTCATCAGGTCAACAATGGATGATGTTGCCTAGCACTTTTCCCTTTGCCGAAAATAATGAGTTAGCCAACACTGTCAAAATATTTTTCCTCCCCACAAGCCTTCACATCAAAGGACCATCTAGATTCAAGAGATTTCAAATGAAGAGACAAGAACAAAAGGGGAGACTTGAGGCGGGGAGGAAGGAAATTAGAAACAAAAGATAGCTGTAATTTTACGTAACTGCTTTGCTGTTTCTCGAGCCTCTACGCTCATGTGAGAATACTGAGGAATATGCAACAAGGCTTTTCATATTTACGTTGCCCTTGGCATCAGCCTGCTAGCCTGTTATAAATTTCGTTTCCTCTTCTCCACACTATTCTCTTTAATATCCTTTTGTCAATAACAATCAAGAGGATTTAGCAGCCTCAACTGGGGAGTCAAAAATGATAAAAATACAAAGTTTACATCACTTTTAATCAAGGTGAGTCAAATCAGATTATATAGGCAAGTGAGTCTCCAATTTGGCTCCAAAGGGGATCTGCTACCTCTCTGAATATGTACAAACGTAAAAGAAAAACGTATATGGACCAATTTCAGCCAAAGCAACCCTTTATGCCCTACCTTCTCGCAACCAGAAGAGAAACAGAATAAGAAGAAAAACAAGAGGAAGTTTCAGCAGAACTACGAAGAATAACAAGGACAAGAATGCAAATAAGAAAATCAAAACAAAAAATGGTATCCCCAAATTTATTAAACGACACATTTTGGAGGACACTATTCATCCCATTCTTTGGGTTACACGTTTATTAAACGACACATTTATTAATTCCCACGTTACACGTTTTGGGTTGCTTCCCAACATATTTCCCTCAGTGCACCATATTCCCCACGACTCTCAATGTTTTGTGATTACAGGCTTACATGAGTTTCAGAGTTTTGTGATCCACTACGCTCAATGTTCAGACAAGCCTTCACTTGTTGCTGCCTGTATTGAAATAATCTTAATCCATTTTTTTCATTTTCTCATCATTGTCAATGCTCTATTTGTCCTATCGTTCAGAAGTCTCAATGCACCACAACATTGATCTAGTAAGTATATAGCAGCTTATGTCCTTCAAGGATATTCCATCTCTTGATTTTCAAGGATAATCCACCACAGTAAAGGTTGATCCCACCATTCTCCACAAAAGCCCTTGGTTAGACTCATACACAGTGCATACAACCTAACATAAACCCAGGGCAAACGTCCCATTCACCCTGATTCCTGAAAAAAATTGTTTAATAATCCATTCCTTTGCAGACAGCAGACCGAAAAGAGCCAGTGGATGGTTTGGTCCAATTTCATCAAGTTTTTATCAGTTTCAGATAGTTAGGCCACTACATAACAGAATTCGAACCTAACCAGTTACACGGCTAGCCTGATTATCAAAATAATGCTTTGACATAAAATATCATCATGAGAGGGAGAAAAACACGTGAATCAACACGTACTAAGTTTCCTTGATACAAGCCAAAAAGAACACATTTGTGCTAGAGTCCGGTTTTGCTTTTAAAGTAATGCTGATGTGGGAATAAAAAAAGAACATTTTCTTCTCGAATTTAATATGTAGTTTTCGTTGAGAAAGTGATTCAGTAGGCAAAGCATTTTCATATGTGAATTCACCGAAGCATTTAAAAAAGACTTCAACGATATGATGGCAAGGACAATACATTCCATAAGATAGATTACTATCTTAGCATGCGGAAGAGGGAGTGCTTGAATAGGTGACAGACACAATTAATCATGGTTACTCAGCTTGATGCTAACTAAAAAAGTCAGGTTAACACAGTTGAAATATAAATTTCTATTTTATAGTTATATTGTCCATTTTTTGCAGGTGAGAATGCAGAAAACATTTTATTCACCCTAGGTAAGAATGCAGAACATTTTACAGCCTGTGGATACAATGATTATTTCAATTGAAAAGAAGAATGACACCCACCAGTATACTTTCCGTTTCTTTCATAGTCATTTAAGAAATGAGAGACAACAGTTGTGGGAATTACATATCCAATGTTTTCAGCTTCATCGGACCTCAGTACCTAAACAAGATATTGTAATTAAAAACGTATCAACCTCAAAATGTCCTGATTCATTCCCAAAAGAATAAACTAGTCACATATTTTTCATATTTTGAGCAAAGAGAATATTAATGAGTTCAGAATGTCATACAGTTTAACAAAAACCAAACGCTCCTAAGTTAAGGTAAATACCAAAAGCAGTAGAAAAACAAACAGTGACAAGCCATGCACCCTTCATCCAGAAAATGTGACTCGCACAAAAAATTACAAAATATATGATTAAAAACGGTCTCTTTCTAACCTTTAGTCATCCAGGAGTAGGCACTTTTGCATCATTCAACAAAATGAATACTACTAAATCAAATAATACAGTATAATCAATTAGGGATATGAAAGAAGTCCTTTCCTGAGACATAATGGTTAGTGATCTAGCAGTCATATCACAAAAATAATGGATGCACAACAGCACCACATCAGCAGGCTGCCATATGGCAGCCCCTCAGCAGGATGGCTCCCTCCCACCAATTTCCATTAAGAGTCAAAACATTTCCAGTTAACGTTTTAACAAGAAAACCTTCCATTGGAGGTATTTCCGCAATAGGAGACTTTATACCGCTCACTCATATGTTTCCTAAGACCAAAAGGGGTAGCTTTACGAAAAAGATTTCCTGGAAAGCCTGTAAATACTCTCTTCAGCTCTGTAAATATCTTCCCACTGAAGAAGAGGCTTCAGACAGGCCTCCTGGAGACTTTTAAAGTCGATCATGAGTAATTTCAGCTACAGAAAACTTTGTATGATTGGGTTCGCTATATTTCTAAACACCTTAGCAATTGTCTTCGTAAAAAGGTTTCCTGAGAGCTTATAATCCTCTCCTTTGTTCTTTCTTCTTTCTGTGTTGATCACAACAAAGCTTTATCGCAGATTCATTGATAAATTTTCAATGTTTACAACACCGAAAAGAGAGATGAATACAAATGACTGGTCTATGGTTCAACTGCTGCCAATCGTCTGGCGTTAATTCATATCATGAAAAGGTAAACGTTGAGATTAAATTTTGTTAATAGGTTCATATATTCAATCATGGCATAGTTGACCATAAGTGACCTTAGAATCGAAACATTGCTGATAGACTAATGCTTTAGTTAAATAATTGTAACCATAACATGATTACGCACTAAAGTGATTCCAGTGTACAAACGGAAAAATTAGAAAAATATTAGGAACAGCAATAGGGCATCTAAAACAGATTTATGACTATATTTTGAGCTACGTATGATTTTTTCAACGATAAAACTTTTATTCTAGGCTTATAAGGAAGCCATAGTGGTAAGAAGCAACAGAAAAGCAATCAAAGGACAACAGCCCTCCAAATTCTTCAAGATTCATGTTTGGTGATATATTAACTTATCGATGAACTTCTATGTTATCTGCCAAGGAGTTAGCCAATATACACCTTCGGCAAGTATCTTTTAACTATTGCCTGAGTGCTATAAAGTATCCTATTGAAATAACCATGAGAAATAAGCATGCTTATTGCCATCATTCAACTATTGGCTTCCTAATCAATAGGAACTTTTTAGAATGAAGTTACTTTTTCATCCTTCAGGAGTGAATAAATGAACAGGCCCTTTTCCTATGTCCTTGGAAATGGCAATGATATTTTTTTGTTTAAAAATATAAATTTTAATATGAGACCATAAAGAAAATACCAAGAAAGACAATGGGATCAAGGTAAGCAGTTCACCGTGCCATTCCAATGGGCAAATAAAAGAGTATGGTATCCTCCAGAGATTGAAGGCATATACCTGAAATGCTACACCAATGCACTCCCCCTGGTCATTAAATGCAGGACCGCCACTATTTCCTGAAAGAATACAAGTTTTTTACAGTATAAACAAAACAAGAGTTGAGAGGGCAATCTTCAAGAAAGAAATTTCTGACCAACTTAACTAGAAACCCGAACGAATATCCTGGAAACAATTTCACAACAGAGCTCACTAACCAGGGTTTATTGCAGCATCAATTTGAATCCCAAGCAAATCAGATGTACCATGAGCATACGAGGTAACCTGTTAAGAAAGAAACAAGCTGATAGCCATGGAATAAATTTTATCGACGAAAAGAATAATTTGTCAAAAACTGCGTGTGACAACAACTATAGTTTCTCATTCATTAGTCGATGGTATATCAAATATATGAGCCGTAAAAGTGAATAAGGATCTAAAAAATAATCTATAAATAAAATTGTAGCAAAATTCCTGCTGTCTGCTTCCTGTTGTGGATTAAACTTTTCATCAATAATAATTATTTCTAAGAGATCTACCCCTACATCCACATGTAACTCTTTGGTTGTTTTCTATGTATATTTCCATTATGTTAAGATAAAATAGTCAAGGCCAACTTCAATAGTCCGTTTCCATTGATCAGTAATCCTTCAGTTTCTTTTTACCTCCTCATGCATGCAAGAACTTTTCCACCGAACTAGATGGTTATGTTTGTGTTTATTAGTTCTGCAGATAACGAGGGACAACTGAGTTCGTAGATGCTTGGTAACGGGGAGATCCCAACAAGCTTGGGTGATTAACTTGAAACATCATTAGTACCGTTGCTATGGCTCATGGATCTTCATCTTCACCTTTCTCATCATCTAACTCTCTTTTAGAACATTCGTTTCTTTACATCTTTGTTTTGGGGCATTTTGGAATCGTAAGATCAGAAACAAATAAATGCTGTGTTGATAGTTACAAGGCTTGACTTCTCTAATTGCTGTTGTGACTATTCATCAGTTGCCTCTCTTTTGTGATAATCGGAATGCTCTTCAGATAGTCAGTAATCAAATCTTGAGTGAGAGTACAAGACAAATAAATAGAGAACGACTATAATTCATCTGCCGACAGTACTTCTCTGGTACTGTCCCTTTCTCATATGTCCTCTTCAAATCAACTCGCAGACTTATTTACCATGTCTCAGACGAGACCATGGTTCAAAGAGCTTATTGGCAAGCTCATGATGCATGATCTCCCATGAGTTTGAGAGGGGGTGTTAAGAGAGGATACTGTATTCCTTGTACGGTCATTTTCGTATTTTCCTTTCTGTCTTTGCTCTTCTTTGGGCTTCTCTACTTATCTACATATATGGTCATTTCAAAGGAGGCGTAGCTCTCCAATTTTCCCCATTCACAATGTTCCTAACAATATTATCAAATGTCTGAACAAAAAGTAACCACAGCGTCTGATAACAGCGAGAGGCAGATAGCATTTGAATAACAAAAAGTAATCATTGAAAATATAGGCCACAGAGTTTAATTCTTCAATCAAACCTCAATCCGTGAAACAACACCCTTTGTGACAGATATGGTGTCTCCTCCAAGGGGATACCCTACAACAGTAACCGAGTCCTGTAAATTCAATAGAAAAAATGTTTACTTTCGAGGAAATCAACACATTCATCGCATTTGTAATTAACACAGACACTATCACGTGCATTAGATTCTCACATGTTGAAGCAAATGGAATAAACCAAAGATTTAAAATGAGGAAGTACTATCCTCATGCCCATATGACAATTTGTCAAAATTAGTTAATAAAGTACAAGACATGACTCATCAGCCTCCTGGTTCTTTTAGGGAGGTCAGCCGGTGTAAATTGACTAAGAAGACGTGAGAGTGATAATCATAACATTTATTATCCACAGAGAGAAACTACTTGTTTTATTAAAAAGATTTTTTGACCTCAAGTAGAGGGAGGTTGATGTGCACGTAAAGAGACCAACACCAAGACGAATGCATTGGTATCAGAACACAAAACTAGCGAATACAGTTGCATCACCTACTCCCTTGAGGCAAGAACTAGACGACCCTGTACTGTGTTTAAATTATTTTTTTCCCTATCCATTATGCCTCCTTTTGCTACAGGTGCCTTTAGCTCTTGTCAGGTTAATAGGATGCCCTCTAATACTCTCTCCCTCTTTTCACAGACCGGCACATTCAAAATGATATTAAGCAAATATTAATGGTAAGACCTGAAAGACCTTTCATATCTGGTGTTGTGAGGTGGCAAAAGGAGAGTTTAATACAAAAAAGCCCAACTTATGGAATACTATCTTTTTGCTCTTTTCCGGATCGGAGACAATCAAGATGGCAGACCTAACTAGCACAAGAACGTACAACATCATTTGGCACTCCTATAGTTCAAACAAGTGCCAGAGTGGGAGATCAATAACTTTTAAAGAGACATGCGACTCACAGTCATAAAACCATAGATAATAAACATATAATCTGAAACTTTAGGAAAGAGGAGATAACCTGAAGGCAAGGCAAACGACCAAATCGAAGTGGTTCAACATCTTTCCAGAATTCCTCACTATCAACTGACAGCAATGCAAGATCACATTCAACACCTCTAGCTAAAACCTATAAAACAGATAACTGAGCAAGTAGTTAGCCACAGTATCAATGCATAGTGAATAAATTATTCCTTGCAGAGTGAAGCAAGCGATATCTGAAACAAATCCAGAAGTTGCCTGATTGTTATCCAACATTTATGAACCTAGGTAAGTTGATAAATCATGGTCTCGTATCTGAAATATATACTGAGATAAAAGTGCTGGAAAGAAACTGAATGATAATATTGATGAAACATCTATGAGCCACACTTAAGTCTAAAATGAAGGAAATGCTATTTTAAAAAACACGAATGCTCGTTTTCAAGCTTGGAAAATTCAATCAATGTGGAGTCTCCTCTGTTGGGAAGGGTTGGAATAAAAAGAACTTAAAGTGTATTTGCATTGTGCCAAAATGACTTTCAACAATGACAAAGAAATAGCATACCGACATAATATTGCAGAGACGTCAGACCAATGTAAACCACAAAATACAGCCAATGAAAAACTTTTATTTCTGACTAGACAGTGACAGGTGAATCTTCATATGGGGTCAGCTAGACATCCAGTCCAATTTGGCCTCTCACATTAACGTTAGAGTCAGGATGAGCGGACTTCATGAAATTTGGGATGCCTCTCTTTGGCTGAAATCAACATTAACAACTGCCCTGGCAAGCACACCCAGCCAGCAAATTTGCAACAAAGACTTGTTCTTTTTTGAAGCAAAAAACGCGAATTCAGAAATGGATTGAAAACTAAGGTTCCTCCACCCTTCGAGATGAAAAATTAAGTTTCACCAAAATGGAGAATAAATGAAGCTAATTCCCAATCAAATAAATGTCTGGAAATAAATTATAAATATTCACTTATAAATATTAAACTCAGTGAACTGATGAAGGTTGTAAGACCTAATAAACAAAAAAAAATCCTTAAAAATATACATAATAGGAGTTTAAGATACCTTGGCTGGAAATTTGGTATCATCTCCTCTCTTCTTAACTTTGACCTGCGGACAACAACAAAAAATGTAAAAATGTTTTGAAAAAAGGACGTGCACTAAACAGAAATATTTGTACAGCATTCACCAACTATCATAACGACATAATCAATGCAAAAATACACTAGAAGGTAATAAGCTCACTAACTTAACTACTTATGCAGTAATTCATTTCAATTTTATTTGAGAAAAACGATGGAAGAAATAGCTCGACTTATGTCGATTGGTCAATATTTTATGGGATCCAACACTGTTACGTTAATTTTATAAAGACATGGAGACCTATCCACGTTAATTTTATGAGAAAATTCTCGACAGAATTTTCTTCTCTGATTAACACCTATCCACTTGCATATTATACGAGTTCCAGCAGTTTGAGACATGGAGACCACTTATCTCACATCTTATTTGAGGGGGAAAGCATCAGCTCAGTTTGGAGAAAATCTCTGATGAAGAGATGATTGAAAGTATTCATTTTTTTAGGAGTAATTTCTCTCTCATTCATCTTTATTTTATAGATGAGATAATCTTGTTCGAAAAAATGACGACCAAAAAATTAAGATAATGACCTTTCTGGTGTTGCTTCAACACAACGATCACAGATACATATATCAACTCTAATGCAACCACAATCTGTGACTTAAGTTCAACAAGAGTGAAATTTCTCAGCTTTCTATTTTTTCCTTGGGAGAAAGAGGGAACATGAGTGAAACTGAATTAGTTCATCAATTCTACTCAACATTGGAAGATTAGAAGATGAAGATCCTCGTAAGGACAATGATTTGACTCTAAGATGTTATCACAGTTCCTTCATGTAGATGAAATCCATAATTGACTTAAGAAAAAAAATTCAGGACAAAAGGATGATAGTATATTCCTTGTATGATCTTTAGCATGTTTTCTGTTATTTCTTTTTTGCATTTCATTGTTCTCTAGTATTTGTAATATGTATAGATATCCATATCGGAGGATTAACAAACATAACTAATGAAAAAAAAACAACAGAAAATAGAAATGGTCACCTAAAATCATTGTTGATGTCATGTGAGACTGTGTCCGATGCTGTGTAGTACTCTAAGACTCTGGGATTTTATCGGAACTTATGGCCCTCTTTGTAGGAAAGAAAAGAGTGATATTTGAGAGCACTTGGTACAGGGAGGGATTTCAATGCTTCATTGAACATTGAGGAAAGGGTAAGGGAGACAAGATATAAAATGGAGAGAGAGAGAGAGACAGAGAGAGGGAGAGTGAGGGCTTGCTGATTTATAGATATTGCAATTTTCACTTCGATATGCAGCCGCAATGTTGCATTTACCTGTGTTGTCGTGAGGATTTTATAAATAAACCATGTACTTTCATATTGGCAATATATACCCTGAATACTTGTAATCATGTACTCTTAAGGGTCTAGTATAAATACTGGACCCCGTCTGTCTTGTAAAACGGTTTTTTGTTATTCTTTCAATAAAGGTTTTTCTTCCTCTCCAAATGTGTTGCGGGATCTCCAGCACACCAAATTGAGGACTACCATTCTACAACCTGGTCTAATGTTAGAGCAAAACCCTCTTCCTCCAGGCTGAATAGGTTCCTTATCTCAGTTGAGTGGGAGGTGCACCGCCATACATTGGCAGATGTCTGTATATAGATATTCAGATCGCTCTCTGATCATAAGTCTACTTCACTGAAAACTAGCTGAGAGTATCAAATTAGGCATATATTTCGATTTAAGAAATAGTGACTATGTTGGGAAGACTACTACAAATACCTTCAGAGGTATTGAACCAGTATTATTTGTGGCTCGTGCCAATGACAACTTTGATAAGGAGCTGAAATGGTTGGTTCATGATATGTCTGAATGAGGGAGTCGCAAGACCGATGCAGAAAGGATAACAAGGACAAGGTTCTTCAGGGAACAGAGGGATTGGCTGCCCTTAAAGAAGCTCATATGATTGATGATGATGACATATTGGATAGAAAGAGTGATTAAAAGAGAAGTGGAGGGTTGCCCTTTCCAAGGAAGAACATTATTGGCCATAAAGAGTAAGGGATTTCTGGCTGCAAGAAGAAGAAAACAACACAACATATTTTTACAAGGTGGTGTTAGGGAAGAGGAACGCCATTTGCTTTCTGTTAGAGGGGGAGAAACAGATCACCGGAGAAGATATCATCCAGCATATTTGCAACTAATATGCTCATTTGTTCACTGAGGCCGGGTAGAGCCAATCCGGTACAGAGGATTTTTGCATGCAGGATCTCAAAGAAGGCCAAAGAGTTGCAAGACCTTTCACAGAAGAAGCTGAGAGCAACCATATTTTTTACTTTCAGTACAAGGTTCTAGCACCGGATGGCTTCCTTCTGTTATACTTTCAGGAACCATAAGAGAATTGGTTAAATACGGTCTGATGCAAGCTGTGCAAGAGTTCCAAGAGGGGAAGACTCCTTTTTAAGGCAGAATGGAAAATATCGTTGGAGTTGATCCCAAGGAAAGATGGTGCTAGAAGAATGACTATAGGTCCAATAGCTTAATGAATGGTGTACATAAGATCATCACACTTATTCTGACCTTCAGGTTAAAAGGGATGCTAACATGTGCTGACTAGCAGAAACTAAAGCGTATTGATCAAGGATGCCAGGTTCAAGACGATTTTCTAATGGCATATAAGTGCATTCATGAGATTGACTTTGAACAAAAGAGGGAGTTTTTTTCCAAACTGGACTTGAAGAAAATATGTGAAAGAGTGAGGTAAAACTCTCTGTTCCAAGCTATACAGGGGATAGGTGGTGATGACGGATGGATAGGTGGTAAATAAGGCGACACCTTACTTGCAGAGAGGGAGAGGTCTCTGAGAGGGAAATTCTTTATCCGTTCTGCTTTTTGTCTTGATTTATTGAATGATAAGACAATGTGACAAGGGGCAGGAACTTGGACTACATCAAATGCTAAAACCTTATAAACAAGGGACAGGTTAGGCCTACTTATAGACAGGTACACTGTGAGTTCCAAAGCAGACAGTTGGTAGTGGTGAGGGAAGAAAGGATGAACCTTTCCCAGAAGATCATGCAGATGGTGCAATTTTAGCTAGCTCTTCTGTGTCAGCAAGCAAGCATCTTCATTGGGTTTTGACTGAGTTCGAACTGTCATTGGACAAGGAACCTAGTTACCAAGATTTGGTGTCATTGGACAAGGCATGGAGACATCAATACATCATTAGGGGGTGAACAAGACCTTTGTGCGGGCCTGTGACACGCTGAATGAGTGGGTAAAGTTGTTGTAAGAGGAAGGGCATGGCTCTTGATTTTTTGGGTCGTTAGGGTCCGCATTTTTTTCCTTCTCTTTTCGACACCTAGCTAATGTAGGACTAAACTGACATAAAAGGTTTTTCTTTTTGAGGGCTTACATTTCTAACGCTTGTACACTTATATCTTTTGATTTCAATGATCACATAGTACTATCCGCATTCTAAAAGAACCCATCACTCTTTATGCACTACGAAGGGTAGAAATTACAAAGCCTTTAATGATGATATTGCCAGATAGGAATATCTCATTTGCGAAACATCAGCTTAATGGGAAAAAAAAGTGCCCAAACATGTCTTCGAAAGAATTGGCTGTTGGAAATTGAAAACTTCATTATTTTCTGGTTCTTAGATGATAAACAAGTCATCAAGCATTATACTAACCCACGGCTAATTAGATAAATGTCCAAAAACATAGATAAGTCATAAAAATACCAAGGGACACCCACTGGATAAAAATACTGGACAATTAGGGCAGAAACTTAGGCCTGAGTTTCAAACTATTTATCAGAAATCACCAAGGAAACAAACCAGGTTTATGACAGAAAATTTTTGGACGATAATAATAAGCACATTCATCAGAGGACACTCAGAACTAGAAAAATCCTTAGATGCTAACAGCGTCATCTTCAAGTACTGAACTGAAACTTTCATTGAAGAATGAATTTTCAACTTCCACATTTTTTTAGCAATATGCAAGCTACTCTCTCATGCACAAGCAATCCTTGAGAGATCCAGGTTCTAATGGGCATTGGATCCAAGTTTGTCTAAATCTGATAACTATCATTTGGATTTGGTGTTCTCATTATGTTCTTTATCTCCCTAATAGACTTCACTTCATGTAATAAGGCTGTATATACTCTTCCTAATAAGGGTTTCATCAATAAGTTGTATACAGCCTAAGAGATCTTTTACTGGTCTACGCACAACCCTTGTTCAAGGGATCAATTTGCACAAAGATTTATCCCCTTCACCCTTCTCCTAACTCCAAAATTTTACAGCAAGAATCTAAATGAAACGAATAGAGGAAAAAATTATATCACTGTAAAATGTACAGAGTTGGCTACAGGGATATAGAAATCTTCCACTCAATTATGGCCCTTTGACTGATGCAGAAATGATTGTACCACTAAAAATTCACGTCACAGGCAGTCTTAACTATAAACATTGTATATTACAGTAAACGGAAATTCACCTGAGTATAGTGTTCAACACAATGTGCATTTGTTAACAGCTTCCCATCACCTATCATGAAAGCACTGGATAGCCAAGTTACATTGATGTTAGTACAATCCATAAGCATTAACCGTACAAGTAACCAGCGGCGATACCTCATCAATAATGAAAAAAAAAAGTCAGGAAAAATGTAATAGTTGGAAAGCAAACTAGAACTGGTTGCATGCCTTCCTGTACTAGTGAACTGCCTCTGCTTTTGCCAAGGGAGCGAGTAGTCTGGTGAAGTATGGGTGCAGTAAACCTGGCAGAGGCAGCAGTATTTTCCATTTTTATAGAAATAAAAGTGAGAAATGTGAAAATACACTGCAGCATACATCACATCCTGTAATGAAGCTAAAAAGCAAATGACTATTGACGGAAATGAATTTGGTACAACAGTTCTGGATTTGGTTCAGAATCGCTGGATCAAAAAAAGACAAAAGAAGCTGCTTTGTTTTAAAAACAAAAAATTTAAAACATGTTATCATAAACTCATATCCTATGATATTCTAAGCATGAGCAACCTTTAACCAGGTTGTGCATTCAAAATACAGGACAAATAAGTATAACCTCAAACATGCATTCTGGAACATATTAAAATACCTTCACGAGATAACCTAGTTGGATACAAGCCACTATATCAGAAACTAGCATATGAATGAGGACCTTTACAGCATTAAAATATTTTTTTTCAGAAAAGTGTACGTTAATCTATTTGAAAGAATCGTCATAAGGACTCTACAAAGAAATGAAATAAACATTACGTTTAATTTTCGCGAAATGCTGGCTAAAATGAGAGTAGTAAATGAGAACGGCAAGACAGATGCATGGAAACACAAGAATAATCAAATAAATTCATTGGGGAGACATTTAGAATATCTACGGTAGGAAATAATGGCAATGAAGACCAAGGAAAAAGTACCCATCAAGAGACATAAACACGACACAAGAAAAAACAAGATGGAAAAGAAAATGGATAGAGCCTAAGAAAAAAGTACGGGTTTACCATTTTACGAATGGATAATGTGTATGACAGACCTGTCAGATAGGATACATCAACAGCCTTATTTATAAACGTCTTGGTAGAAAATGATGATAGATTTTCTACATAGCATTTGATTCTCACGTAAGATAATGGTTTCAGACACAAAAGTTTATAAGGGAGAACCATTCAACACCTTGGCTGGCAAAAGAGAACACACAGGCACGGCAACCTGGGTTCCAGGTTCCTAATCACAATCGCAAAGGAAAGAATGAAACGGGAAAAGATTCCAAAATCTTCACATAGCTATCAGAAACTGATCACCAAAAATCATTAAATAAAAGAAGCATTCAATTAATAGTTGTATTCATGAACTTTCCTTTTGACACCAGCACGAACTTCTGATTTTACCTTGTTCATGACGATAAAGAGAAATGAGCCCTTAGGTAAAAATGAGGTTCAATGCCCATACCTTCACAACAGCATTAAGAAAAGCAGTATCTTGAAGGTCTCCCATGTCGTATGCCTAATTTAAGATAAGATTTCTCAGTATACACCAAATCTACACCACTAAATGTTTAGATGATGTGAAGACCATAAAATACCACGAAGAACATGAATTCTAGCTTTAAAACTAAGTGAAAACAAAATAAAATCGATGTGAAAGGAGAAACCGTTTGAGATATATATATATACATGAAAAATGAATGATAAACCACACCACTGATAAACCAATTGCATATGAAAAATTCACATGTTTTTCCACTAATGAATGAATCCTCCACTAGCTATTTCTTTATGATTACATGTTCCATTTGATTGAAGAAAACTTTAAATTTAGCAATTAGTAGAAAGCATTTAGAATCACACTTATGAATGAAAGCAGAAAAATATAATTACTACATTAAATTTAAAAAAAGTAAGCATTGCAATGTGTGCATGAGCATGGCTATTGATAAAAATATAACAGAAGTGATGTGAGATCTACTAGTTTTATGAAGGATATAATAGTCATGCCTGTTGATCATTCAGATTATATGTGAACCCTTTCTTGTCTTTCTTCTGAAGGCCAGGTGACTTAAAAGCAGTTGGCTGAGATCGCCCCAGCTCCTCTTTAGCTCCTCCAGGGGACAAGTGAAACCTTTCATCCTTTCCTTTTCCTGTAAGTTTCCTCTGGGGAACAGCTTCAATCTGAAATGCCCAAATGTTGTAAAAGGGTAAATTATAGAGAACCAAAAACCAGTCATAGATATATCAAAAGGGTCTCGATTATGGAGTATTTTCTAGGATGGCATAATAACTCACAAGAAACTGCTTCAAGAGTGCTTTATCAGTGAGATGACACAACAACCAGATAAATTATAAAAGAAAAACATTCAGTTAATTGCATATAGATTTTCTGGTCACCTCCAGTGCATTCAATGTACGAAATGGCAAAGCCCTCACGTTCTGGTATTGCCAATTATCGGAGGGCATGGGTGTAGATCTTTCAGGTAGGTTCTCTCATTGACAAATTATGGGCAAATGAATCGCACAGAACTCAAGAATTTTTGAACATTAAATCTTCCAAAACGGATTTAACAGCCACAAAGATTTGGAGAGTACAATGACGTACTTGACAAAGGGAACAGCAAGACAGATGTAGGTCAAACTCTCAATGGGAGACTTCCTACAAGAGAGATATTAGCCAACTTCAATTCCAGGAGGAAATCAGATGTGGAAGACTACATGAACCATCTATTGCTCAACTGTGAAGCAATTCATTTCCTTAAGGGACCTGTCTTCAACGTCATAGAAGTCCAGTTGGAGACTGAAACGACATGGACTGAAATTTCCAAACCCCCCATTGAAAGTCATAATTTGAGTTTCCTCCTATTCCTCCTAAGCAGGAAACTTTACAGGATGTGAACCAAAGCACAATCTACTTTTTCTGCACTGACATTCAAAACTTAAATTTTCGTAGCAAACAGATAAATAGATGATTGGGCGGTAGAAGCTGCTTAGGAGATTTTTTGGCAAATCTTCTTCTGTGAGATATATTGTTTTTAAAAATCTTTACAGGATAATAAAAATTGTTTTTTTATTGACATATATTTTTTAAAGGAATTTATTTTCTTGCGACCGTTTTTTCTTTTGGGGAATTGCCTATTGAGAAAATGTAGCAGCGGTGCCTCAGTCTATTCATAAAAACCACTATGCAGGTAAATGAACCTTTGAAAATTGCTCACATTTTTAAAAGCTATGATAGAAATACACATGGTACATTTTTTCCCTGAAAAATAGTTATATCAGCACGCCCAGTGAAGCATTTGACAGAAACATAATTTATATGATAAATACTTATTGAAAAATCTATTGTATGTATTGAAGATGGCATCCTGTTAAGATGACAACCCATTTTTAGTTGCTACTAGTTTGAAAGTTGGGAACTGTTATTAAATGTTGGAATCAGTTTGTTGAAACCAGACATTTTTGTAGCGGAAGATTACCCGACTGCTAGGAGCAACATCTGCCTTAAAGAAAGATTCCATAAATAAAAGCGTTGAAAAATTGCCTCGCTTACATTCCCTGGAATCCTTCCTGCTGTCCCCTATTCCCTATTCTTCCAGAAGGGTTTATACGTCTTAGGGTGTATCCACAGAAGAAGATTGCTAGCACGGCAATAAACTCAGAAGGAAGCACACTGGACACACCAGTCATCACAGGCTACACAGCCAGTCCTAGCAGCTAGAAGACAAGGTGGTACTTGGGCTTGACCTCCGAATCGTACGTGGGACGAGTTTCTGCCTCATACTGCTGGGGTCAAAGACCATGCGAAGGTCAGGACAAATGGGGAGACCAATTGCTCCCACTCAAGACAACAGGAAATGCGGCAGAGGTAAGCTTGTGAAGAAGTCCCCCACCCCCCAAAAAGAGAAAACCGGTTCAACTTCTCGTTCTATTCATTCCATCACATTCCATACCGCAATAGGCACCAACAAATGTCTCATAACGACCGGTTCTCTGAGGCGCCAAGGTCAATCTAAGAGGTGGCACCACAACCAGTAGCTCTGCATTCCTCAGCCCAAGAAGAACCCCGATGATCACCATGTTTCTTTTCCATCCACTTCCACAGCCTCCGCATGGTTAAGCCACGAGTCTTGGAATGTTGCTAGGCTGACAGTTTGTAAAAACGGTGCATAAGCCCACAGTAGGTGGAGTTTAGATTGATTAGTCAGAGTTCATAACCTCTTTCCCTGAGTGCAGACATTGAGGACACGGTCTGATGCAGATGAAAGGACATGATCGCAAAAGAAAGTAAACCAGGAGCAGCTCTTGACAGTAAGGAGTAGAATGAAGCTATATTAACTGCGGCTAGTGTGTTCAACTTCCATCAATGGGAAGATTCCGTGGATAAGACGATAAGAGGCAGAAGAGAAGAGGTGTAGAACTTGCTCCCATACAAAATCAAGAATATTTTCCAAAATCGTATCCCTCCCATTTTTCCTTGTGATTGTATGCTACACTCAATAATCCAAGGCTATAGCACGAGCTCAGATAACCTATAGAGCAGCATTCCTTGGCTCATGGAACAAAGCCTGATCGTTCCACGGGTTATTACTTCTCTCAGCAAACTAGACACTCAACAAGAATTGCGGGTAAACGAAAATCAAATCTCTAGAGAATTAATTGTCTTCGAATTGAAGAGCGAACTGAATGCACCTTGACCAGCTCCAGTATCAAAATGCACGGGCAGATGAACGCCTTACCGGCAATGGCAGAACCAATGAGAATGCTAAGCCGGCAGGAACTACCAGAAAATAATCATTACTACAATAATAATGCGGGAAAAAACGGAAAATTCAACACGAAGCTTGCTCCAGATTCCTGACAGTTAGGGGATACCTTGCCATCCTTCTTCTTCCCGTTAACGGAGGTCCAATCTGGAAACGACCTCCTGGACTTGGGAACTCCCTCGGACGAGCAGAAAACAACGTTCCTCCGTGACGCGCCGCGGGGCAACAACGGAGCCAAGGAGCAGCTGGACGCCGCCGCCATCGTCGCCATTCGAACAGAGAGAGAACGATGGCAATGGGCCGTCCTATGATTACGCCGAGGTCATTCCTACCTTATCCTCTCAGGAAGGAAGCTCGAAAAATCTGATTTGCAGCGGGCAGACATCAACCTGCAACTGACATCTGCGTTCTGCCGGTCCTTCGGACCACGATAATCATCCGAATGGCCGGTAAGCTATTGGACCAATAGTTAAATCACATAATAGATACAATCCTACCAATATAGTAAATAGTACCATTTTATGGTTTGACCCGCTTGATCCTCTCTCTCTCTCTCATTCTCTCTCTCCCCTTCTCTCT